TATACAATTCTACTTTTGAGAGATCTTTTGTAATACGAGTTGCCCGTTTATGGAATTATTTGAGAATATTTTCGCCGGCTAATAATGGTTTCCCCCGTAAAACTTATAGGCCACCTTCGTAATTCTGATCTTCATATTATCTAATGTATATTATTAGTTAGTTTGTTAAAAACAGTAAATGTTTTTAGTAATTTTACTTTTGAGATATGTATGTACACTTATTTAAGGCTTGCTGTTTTGTTGCTATCACGCCCTTTATTTATTATTAATATTAACCTTTTTTTAATTTTTGTGTAGTTATGTCTGGGGAGCCAAATATATTGACTTATAACTAAGTCAATATATTTTTTTTTAGTTTTAAGTTATTATTTTCTACTTGGAGCATAATTACGTTATTAACACTATTCATTGGCCTTGGAGGCTTTAGTATTATGGTATGAAATTAATAAATAAATAAATACATTAATTAATTATGGGTTTCAAACGGCCAATGAAACCGTGGCATGCTGCTCGAATGTTGCTCTGCGGTATTTTGGTCCATTTCCGGCGAAGCGCTTGCTTGAGGTGATCGACATTTTGGTATTTTTTAGTACCAACCTTGCTTTGCAAAATGCTTCAGACACAATAGTCCAACTGTCCAACCACTGTGCGCTGGAAATGAGCGAGGATCCTCATTTTGTAACCATTCTTGTGTGGCGTGGGATGGTGCTAAGTCCTGTTGGAATGTCCAAGGTCTACGGCGAAAATGTTTGCATGCCCAAGGCTTTAATACACCCTCCAGAATATTTTCGCGATAATATTCAGCACGAAGGTGTACATTTTTATTTGACTTTTTTGGCAAGTAGACACTATCATTTTGTTTGTTTACAAACTGCTGGACCACGAATGTTTTCTCATCGGAAAAAAACACATTCGGCAGTTCACCACTTTCGGCCAAGCGAAGCAACTCTGTAGCTCTTTTGAGTCCATTTTCTTTCTGTTGTTGTGTAAGTTCTTGCACTTTTTGGAATTTCAATGGCCTTAACCCGAGCTCATTTTTCAATATTTGCCGAATGGATTATTGCGATATGTTCAGCTCACCAGTCATTTTTCGGCCACTGTGACGCGGGTTTCGATCAAGTCGCTTCTTTACTTTTCGAACCATTTCTGCGGATGTTGCTGTTTTCTTCCGTCCACTTCCATGACGTCGGGCTACGCTACCAGTATCACGGTAACGAGCGATGGTACGAGACACAAAAGATTTATTCACATTAAAATGCTGAAGTGCTCTAACGATAGCCACTAGTGGTATTCCAGCCAAATATAAAGAAATCACACTATCACGCTTGAATTTCATCACGAATAACTGTATTTCTGGAAAATTCTCACCAAAATGCTTTTGTACGCTTGTAAAGAATATAATGAGCTGTGACTGGAATAATTTTAACAGCTATCGGACAAGTGGCTTAGAAAAAAAAAGGGTGGCAGAACAATTTTTATTGTGTCTAGGATGGTTGGTATTGAAAATGAGATGCATCGGTCCATGTTTTGGTATAGCCGCCATATAACGGTATCTCCCGATATTTGCTATTTTGATGATTTTTGCCACATTTTTTCCATGGATTTGTCTACTAATTGGTATTTGTGGGTCATAAGGGGTTCTAGCTCCGGTGGCGAAACATTGTATGTATACGTCCACGTTTTTTATAGCCGCCGGTACTTCCCGATATTCGGTGTTTCGAAGATTTTTGTCACATTTTTTCAAAGATTTGTCTTAAAATTGGTATTTGTAGTTTATAATGGGTTCTAGCTCCGGTGGCTGAACATAGTATATATAGGTTCACGTTTTGGTATAGCCCCCACGTAACGGTAGCTCCCGAGATTCGGTGTTTTGATGATTTTTGCCACATTTTTCCACGAATTTTGCCAGAAATTGGTATTTGTAGTTCGTAATGGGTTCTAGCTGTGGCAGAACATAGTATGCATAGGTCCATGTTTTTGCATTCCCCCATATAATGGTACCGCCTGATATTCAGTATTTTCATGATTTTTACCACCTTTTTCCACGGATTTGTCTAAAAATTGGTATTTGTAATTAGTAATGGGTTCTAGCTCCGACGGCAGAACATTTTCACGTTTTCCTATTCCGAACATATAACGATACCCACTGTTTAAGTAAGAATTGTCTCCATTTATTTGAAATGGAATCGTGGTGCAGTTTGTTGCAACACTTATCGTATTGTACATTCGTTGAAATCTGTTTACTACTTCTTATTGCAACATTGATATGTCAATGTCAGATTTCAACGAATTGGCGCTAAAGCTGCCACCTTACTCCAGTCTGTTTTGGTGATTCCTGCTGGCTATCGGTTGAGTGTTCGTTCTCCACACTGTAAATATTACACGTTCGTGTGTAACTACTAAGGTAAATTTGGTTACCTATTGATTTGAATATCAATAAAGAAGTCATATATTTAACTTGTAAGAAACTAAAAAGATCGTGTTTTATTTCTATTTTTCTCTCCCCCTTTATCGGAGCGCAATTTCGGCGCATTAACACCCACCGATATTCGATATTTTTATAATCCTAATCACATTTACCGACGAAATTGTTTTTTAAATTTGTTATTTAAGAAGTTTTGTTAGATGACAATCCTTGAAGTATAAAATTGTCTATAGAGGTTCCCGTTTTGGTATGGCCCCCATATAACGGTCTAACCCAGTTTTTTGAAAAGTTTAAAAGCATTATTTAAATTGTCTTACAGGTTAATAGTAGAAGACGTTAAAATTTTACTACAAATTTAGTTTTGTATATTTTTACACGCAAATAAACAAACAACACTTTGATTTACTTATATTTTTCGATGAAAATAGGGCTCGCTGTGATCGAAAAGTACGTAGGTACTTTACTCATGTATTTCACAACTTAAATGTCGTCCATGTACCACACGAAGGGAGCAATTTCTACATATGGAAAATTTGACACTATATATGTGAAAAACATAGCGTCTGGTAGAGCCTTGTAGTCCTGTATGACTGGCGCCCAATTTTGCAAACTTGGTTGGTCGTAGTGAATTGAGAGTTCTCACTATTGACGACATATTTTAGGCAACGAGAGCCATTAGATATTCAACCTCCGGTTCATACAGTTGTTCTATGTCATCATCGATATTTCGTTGCGACCAAGCACTTCGCGCGATCATGAGATTCTGAAAATTTGGTTTGGTTTAAGAACGCGCAGCTACACGAACACGACAACTGCTTTACTAGGAGACCTTTTTTCCTTGTTCATCCTAGGATAAAATGAAAAGTAGGGATAGGAAAGATATAGACGGAGAAGAAAATATTAATAAAAAGAGAAGTGTAGTCTGCCAAGCCAGGGAATGGCTTGTAAATGATGATGGGATCTATGTCTGAGAAGAACGTTACAGTTTCTACCTCCTACCTGTGAAATAGTCTCTTTTTAGATATCGTGGAACCTGTGCAAAGTAGAAGTTCAAGCGTCTTTACCTCATTTTCATCTTCACATGATATACAGCAGTCAGAAACATTGTTATCCAATCTTGAGGTCTGATATCTGAGCAGTCAGTATGCCTACCATGATTCTTACTCAGTGATAGACGGGTGCTTGTTCTTCTCGATATTACGGGCTGATGATCTTAGATATCCTGCAACCGGCTTTCCAAGTGTCATCTTCATCGATGAGAGATATTTTTGAAGCAGATAACGTAATAGCTCATTGGTGGTTTAACAGTCTCGTCAATCGGTGTATTAATCGACTGGGATCCACCTCGAGATAATTCATTAGCCACTTCATTCCCTACTACATTGCTATGTCCGGGAACCCTACAAAGCTTAATGAGTCCACGTGTTTCAAGGTGGGCTTTCTTGTAGTCAAGAGTTACGCTCGATTTATACGCACTTGACTTGAAAGCTTTGAGAGTCGCTGGACCAATGACCCATATAGTCACTGTCCTGTTATGCCACTGCAGAGTTCTTTTACCATTTCGGCTGCCTTCTTGATTGAAAGAATTTCCACCTGAAAACGCTGCAATTGTCACTTATGTATATGAGTGTTTAGTGCTTGGGTTAGGGCAGAGAACACTGGCATCAGTGCCTTCATCTATCGTGGTGCCATCTGTATGTATGGCCAGGGCGTCCAGGGGTGGTCCACCATCAGCCTAGGCATACCTATCAGGTATACGTATGTAATTAAAGTGTTTAGGATTTGACCATGACCAGAACGTGAAGAGCGCCATACGTCAGTTTCCTGCTGTCTCAGCGTACTCCTTGCTATTCAGTGGCTTGAAGTTTAGCTGAGAGCTCCGGTTGTCAATAAAGCCGCGGCTTCCAATATGTGGTTAATTTTGACATAAGAACTTAATCGCATGCCATCGACAGAGGCACCCATATGACAGAACAGAGGCACCCATATGTCAGAACAGGTATGACACTGTGACTTACATCCAGTGTACTACTTGTGGTTTAAGCCCCCAGCTCTTCCCCATGGCTGTATTCCTTCATGAATAGAGTGCAATGAGGTCCTGGTTTGCTGATCCAGGATCGTATCGAAGTATTTGGCGCTTCCTTAACTTACCTTTGTACTTTTTAAATTCTGCCTTACAGGTGTGCAAATCAGTGCAAATCTTCGGAAATGAACAAAGGAGCCTAGGGCAAAATTGACCTAATTTAACCTAAAACTTCTTTGTTCCGCTTCGAAGAAGCCACCGATGACTTAAGTCAGTCAAATAAGCCCTTTATATATTCCCACCTTAAGTTTAGTTTTGCTGGTCCTGTTATAAGACCTTCTTGGTGTTGACCGAAGAATCGCAAGTTCTCTAGTTTACCAAACCTGTTGGGAATTTCTCCCAGTGATATTGGACAAGATTTCTCAAATGTTGAGAGAAGGACAATTGTGACAATATTCTCTGCTCTTTCGACGTCATTGGTTGATTTCAGACCTCGAGGATCCTGTTTCCGAATAACAGTGTCCTTTCCAAAGGTAAACAAGCCGGTAAAAATTATTTAAAATATTTTTGTCGATGCTATTTATTAAAGCCCATATATTTAAATACTTATTTTAATTATATTGTCATAAAATGGTCTTGGGAACTATACTTTTTCGATGACCCAATATTTCGGATCCATTAGATAGCCTCTGAAAAGGTAAACAAAAATATTTAGATATACTTTTTTAACTGTGACGAAAAATTGAAAACATACCTTTTGGATAATAGCTGTTTGTAGAACCGGTCACTCAAGTCTTCAATTTTACCGGCATGTCCGCCGCATTCTTCGGGGAGTATGTCACGAGGTACATGGGCATATAAAGTATCCAAGCCAGTGACATGGAAGTGCATCTAAAAATGAATATTATTTCATTTTAATTCCCTTTAAATTCCGTTACTGGAAGAAAATCTCTAATTTATATTACTCACCATATCATAGACCTCCTTGCTAATAAAGGGCTTAACCACAGCCATGATTTTATTCAAATACGATGGACAATTAATGAAATGCAAGCCTTTGATACGCACCGAATAGGCCTGTTGTAGGAATTTTAAGAATATGCGTAGAGTCCTCAACGATACGCCAGCAACATGTTGCATACGGTAACCCTCCATATCCATGACAAGAACATCACCTTCGGCCACAACTGGAATGTCATTGACCACGGCATCGGGCATTGTAAAACGACAATCACCAATCATCAGGAGAGTTTTGGCGTCTTGTGTAAAATGCATCTGTAATTAGGCCGATATATTATTTGCTATAAAGAAGTGGTTCCACTACGAGTATACAGCTAATTGAACAAAAATTTTTGTCATCAATTGTTTGGTTGTAAGCTTTATCTTCAGTGGCTGACCTTTTTGTTCTATAATGTATACACTACTTAAGCAGCTCTAGTTGCATTTAAAAAAGTAAAAAAAGCAGTAAGTTCGGTCGGGCCGAACTTTGAATACCCTCCACCATTTGGAACAAATTAGAAAATATTCAAAAAAAAAAAAAAAAAAAAAAAAAAATCCATTAAATATTCTGTTAAAAAAGCAGTATAAGAGTTAGAAAAAAAGCAGTGAGTTCGGCCGTGCCGAACTTTGAATGTTATTGAAAAAGTTTCATAATTTTCCAAAAAAAAAAACCTAAAAAAGTTCTGTTAAAATCTTAAAAATAGAAAATGTAGCTGTTATATTAGGACCTATACGACGACGTGGACCTGCATAGCCAACTTTTGTCATAAGACATTACAATATTCAAATGCGAAACTTGAATAAAATACGAAACTTGAACAACAGTAAGTTCGGCCGAACCCAAATTTTTTCAAAAAATAAAATCCTTAAAAAATTCTGTTTAAATTTTAAAAATACCGAATATAGCCGTTTTATTGCGGTCTATACGACGTGGACCCACAAAGGCATTGTCTGTCATAAGCCATTTCCATATTCAAATTCGATAACTTGAAATATACGGTGAATAATGTAGCTAAAATCATCAAAATATCGTATAAAGGGAGGTACCGTTATATCGGAGCTGTGTGAAGACCTGGACCAGCCAGAAAATTTTCTGTCAGAGGCTGTAGCATCCAATACGAAGTTTAAACACGGTATCTCAAACAATATCGGTGGGTATTGTACCTAAACTCGTCAAAATACCGAATATAGGGAGATACCGTTATATGGGGGCTATACGAAGACGTAGACCTGCACAGACAATTTTCTGTCATAGGCTGTAGTCTTCATTACGAACTTCAAATACCAAATTTTATACAATTCCTGTTAATAATGTCGCTAAAATCATGAAAATACCAAATATCGGGAGGTATCGTTATATGGGGGCTATACGAAGACATGGACCTGCACAGACAATTTTCTGTTTTATGCTGCAGTATCTATTTCGAACTTCAAATACCTAATTTAAAACAATTCCGGTGAATAATGTCGCTAAAATCATCAAAATACCGAATATCGGGAGGTACCTTTATATGGGCTATATGAAAAAGTGGACCTACATGGCCCATTTACGAACTTAACCTGTCTACTGGAAAAATAAACATGTGTGCAAAATTTTAGCTTTCTATCTTAATTCGTTCGAAAGATAGCGTGATAACAACAGACAGACAGACGGACATCGCTAAATCGACTTAGAATTTTACGCTTATCAAGAATATATATACTTTGTTGGGTCTGACATGAGTATTTCGAGGAGTTATAAAGGGAATGACAAAGTTAATATACCCTCCATAGTATGATGGAGGGTATAAAATCGGAGAATAATGTAGCTAAAATCATCAGAATTGCGAAAATAGGGAGGTACCGTTATATTGGGGCTATACGAAGACGTGGACCTGCACAGACAATTTTCTGTCTTAGGCTGTAGCATGGTAGAAGAATATAGGTAGACGCGTCGACACAGCTGCTGGGACAATGAACTGTCAAACCAATTTTGGAATTGAAAATGTTGAATGAAAAATTATTTAAATTTGTAAAAATTGTTGAAAAACGCGAATTATAATAGCCTCCGAATGACGTAGTATAAGAAAACATATAAAAATCTACTTATTTTTGAAAAAACATTTAAATTTTTTTGACATATCAATGCTCCCAAGCGTTGATGCATCTACCTGTATTCTTCTGCCATGGGCTGTAGTATCCATTTCGAACTTCAAATACCTAATTTGAAACAATTTCGGTGAATAATGTCGCTAAAATCATAAAAATACCGAATATCGGGAGGTAACGTTATTTGGGGACTATACCAAAACGTGGAACTACATGGCCCATTTTCAATACCGAAAGTCCTGCAGACATAATATACACTTGAGTAAAATTTTATCAATCTACTTCATTTCGATTGGAAGCTAGAGCGATTTCCACAGACGGATAGAAGGACGGACATCGCTAAATCGACGTAGAATTTTATGCTGATCAAGAATATATATACTTTTTGGGGAGAAAAGAAATGGCGCTGAGTGCACATTTCTGCTTGTTTTAGCTACATGAATTTGGCCGAGCAGAAATGTGCAACTTGTAAATTTGACATTTAATTGGCAGGGGTAACAAGGTTGAAAAATGTATTGATACATTTAAATGTCCGCGCGTCACAACAAATGTAAAGAAAAAAGATCAACTTAAACACTAAAGGAAAAACTAATATTTGTCGTGCAAAAACATAAAGAGAAAATATGGAGCAACTGATGTATTCACTTTTGGATGATTCCAGCAGTTAATTTTGACTTACCTTCTTCAATATTTATTTTTTTTTAAATTTTGGCGTCCTTTTCAGTAAGGTTTCACCCATGGTACAATGAAGAGAAGGTAGATCAACTTTGAAAAAATTGCAAGTATAGAGGTCTACCTGTTTGGCTTGTAATGTCAGAATTAGTATCAAAACAATAAAAAAATCAAACAACTTGTTGCATTTGTTTTGAATAAATAATTGAAAAACGCGATAACTGAATGAAAGGTCAAAACTTCTTTTCAAAATCATGTACTACATATCTCTATAGGATTATTTCGCTACAAAAACTCTAGATTTCGTAGATGCATACGTTGAAATAAACATTTTGAAAACACCCGAATTTGAATATTTTCTGAACAATTTTTTTATTATTGAAAAGAAAACACATACATAAACAAATAAAGATGACATATTAAGCCAAGAAAATAAAAAAATTGAAATCATATCCCAACATACCAAAAATACAATACAGCTTGAGAATAATATTATGAAAATAGTTTATCGTAAGAATTCCTCAACAATGCTAGAGAAAAACTTTTTTGCACAAACTTTTCTCAAATCTGTCCTTTCCCAACATACCAAAAATACAATACAGCTTGAGAACAATATTATAAAAATATAATTTTTCAACAATGCTTGAGAAACACTTATGTTCCACAAACATTTCTCAAATCTGTCCCTTGTTGACAAATTAGTTTTGATTTTTTGTGAAAATTGTCAGCAAGAAACAAAATCATGCGAATTTAGGACCCATTTCTGGACCGAAACCTTAAGGTATGGATGAATAATAAATCCGGGAATCTTTCACATAAATTATTCCAATCCCATTTCAGATTGGAAGCATCAAAAAAGATGAAGGAATTCAATATGTGTGTAGTCTTAGTGGAAGAGATGCAGAAGTTCAAATAAGGGAGAAGAAAGCGTCAGGGTATCAAGGCCACATGAAGGAGTGACTACTGGGATGTCCATCAAGAAAAAAAAATGTGAAAAATGATTAAAAATTAAAAAAAATAATATTGTATACTATTACAAAAATAAGCTTATTTTAATATTATTTTTGTAAGCTTATTCTACAATTTCAAGTATAAGCTTATAAATAAGGGTTCCGTTTCGATTATTCTATACTTGTTACACAAACACTTTTCAATGTTTTCTCAAGATTTTCTCAAGCTTAAGGCTTATGTTCATAAGCTTATTGTAATATTATTCTCAAGCCATTTTGGTATGTTGGGATGGTAGTTCTGCCCTACCTTGAATTCATTGTACCATGGTTTCACCAGTTAGATTTACACTGTTTTCTTTGGAATTTTGAATGTTGACATTTTATCGCATTTCTGTTAATTTTCCGTTCCCTTATTTTTTGAGCACACCTAAATGAGAATGGCATTTCGTACTGTTCTCTCTTCTGCTAGTTTTACTACTAAAAAGTTTCTTCATTCTTCAATACGAATACCTTGCAGTTAATGTTGATACATTATTTGTTCTTATTGAAATATTAACAATATTAAATAAGCGAAATTCTTGTAGGCGAACTATTTTGTCCAGAAAGCACAGAAACGGAAAAATTGTTAAAATCTCAAAGCTAGTTGACAATACTTTAATAATTTCTACTTTGTTTCGGTAACCTTTGCCAATAGCAGCATCATCTTTCTTAGGAAAGTTTTTTTGGTAAAGACATGATAAAATTAACAAGTAAAAAAACATTAAGTTCGGCCGGGCCAAACTTTTAATACCCTCCACCCTAGGGTAAAAGAACATTAGAAAAAATGTGGCAAAAAACATTAAAATGCGAATATCGGGAGGTACCGTTATATAGGGGCTACACCAACACGTGCACCTATAATTACAATGTTTCGACACACGAGCTAGGACCCATTATGACCCACAAATACCAACTTTTACACAAATCAGTGAAAAAATGTGGCATAAATCATCAAAATACCGAATATCGGAAGGTACCGTTATATGGGGACTATACCAGAACGTGGACCTATACATGCAATGTTTTGCTACACGCTCAGGGACCTGTTGTGACCTACAAATACCAATTTTCAGACAAATCCGTGAAAAAATGTGGCATAAATCATCAAAATACAGAATATCGGTAGGTACCGTTATATGGGGGCTATACCAAAACGTGGACCTATACATGCAATGTTTTGCCACACGCTCAGGGACCCGTCATGACCTACAAATACCAATTTTCAGACAAATCCGTGAAAAAATGTGGCATAAATCATCAAAATACCGAATATCGGTAGGTACTGTTATATGGGGGCTATACCAAAACGTGGACCGATATATCTCATTTTCAATACCAACCATCCTAGGGACAATACACACACTTGTGCCAAATTTCAAAGGTCTACGTCAAATAATGTGGGCTCTATCGTGATTTCAACAGACAGACAGACGGACAGACAGACAGACAGACAGACGGACAGACAGACAGACGGACATCGCTAAATCGTCTTAGAATTTTATGCTGATTATGAATATATATACTTTATGGGGTCTACGACGAATATTTAGAGGTGTTACAAACGGAATGACAAAGTTAGTATACCCTCCTACCCATGGTGGAGGGTATAAAAAGGTAAAATCATTTCAAATAACCATTCCCATCTGTGCATTTTCTCTAATTTACTTTGTCAAATTTCACTGATTAGAAAACAGGTTCCGACCTCTGATATGTGTATGCACAATGAATTTATATTTTGACAGTGAGATGTTGTGAAATGAATAATTTTGAAAAAATCCGTCTGTCCATTGTAATCGCGGAATCACGCTAGAGTCAAAATTAATAAAGATAGGAAGCTAAAATTTTGCATCGATCTGCCTTTTGTCTGTAATTCGAAGAAGGGCTATATTGGTGCACGATATCGTATAGCCATCATATTCGGTATTTTGAACATTTTAACCACATCTTTCAATGAAATTGTCTGAAATTCTTACTTAATGAAAAATAAATTGTCAATATAGGTCCACCTTATCGTATAGCACCCATATAACTGTATCTCCCGATATTGGGTATTTTGATGATGTTATCCACATTTTTCAATGGAATTGGCTTAAAATTCACACAAGGAGTTTCTTCTGAGTACTTAACCACCTGAAAGAGAATTGTCTATATAGGTTCACGATATTGTATATCCTCCATATAACTTTTCGGTATTTTGCTGATTTTAGTCACATTTTTCAATGGCATTGTCTGAAATTCTACACAAGCAGTTATCTGTGAGTATTTTACCCCTTGAAAAAGGGGAAGTTAAAGAACAAAGTTGTCAGATCTTTTTCTTTTTGTTTATAAAATATTAAAACAATTCAACAAACCATTTTGGGATCCGGATTCTTAAAGCGTACATAGGTTACTCGATAATTTCTGTGTGTCAATCCCGGCAAGGGAACCATATAGCTGTGGGAGTAAGAAAATGTTGTAATTAATACTATGTTATCCAAAGTTCAAAACAACTTAGCAATTATTTTAACTACAGAGAATATCTTTGATCACTACTCAGATGTCTTCCTCACAAAACAATTAGTTGAGAAGCTGATCATCTAGACGAGCTGTCAAAACGACTATTGTGATTAGTTTCGCAAAGCGGATAATAAACAAACAAGATCTTCTTGTATTAATGTTTAATGAATGATATTGCGTTTAGATATAAAACTTTATCCGGATTAACCCACATTATCAGGGGCTGAAATATTTCTATGAAAATATGAAATGAAAAATATTTTCTTTATAAAATTTTTCATTTGACATTTCTTCCCTTTATAAAATTTTTCATTTCACATTTTCATAGAACAAGAATTGAGACCCAGGATTTATTGAACCAGATTTATCATACAAATATAGATCGTCTCACGACTTAATTGATTTTAAATCAGGTGTGGGATCTGCATACTAACGGAAAGCATTCGCAAAAGCGTTATTTACATTTTGCATTCGAAAAATAACAACTATTATACAGACACAATAGTCCAACGAATTAGTATCCGGAGATTTTGGTGGTCATTGTGCGCTGGAAATGAAGCGAAGAATCTCATTTTGTAACCATTCTTAGGTGGCGCGTGCTGATTGCGGTGATGCTGAGTCCTGATGGAGTGTACAAGGTCTAATACACCCTCCAGAATATTATCGCTATAATATTCGGCATTTATTCTGATGCCACGGTGGATTAATAGGAGCGGAAAGAGCCATCGGCTGTTATGGCGACCCACACCATCAACATGGCCAGCGCTTGAGTTCTGGTGGCCAACCGTGGACATTTTCTGCTAACTTCTTTGGCAAGTAAACACAATCATTTTGTTTGTTTACATTCCTACTGGACTCAGCACGCGCCACCCAAGAATGGTTACAAAATTAGGTTCCTCGCTTCATTTCCAGCGCACAATGGCCACCAAAATCTCCTGATACCAATCCATTGGAATATTGTGTCTTGGAGTATTTTTGAAAGAAAGGTTGGCACTAAAATATACCAAAGTGTCTATTACCTCAAGCAAGCGCTTCGCCGGGAATGGGCCAAAATACCGCAGAGCAACATTCGGGTAGCATGTGACAGTGTGTCATTGACCGTGAAGGTCATAATTCATGCCAAAGGTGACCAATTCGAAGAAATCTAAACGTATTCTAAAATTTGATGCTATTTCCGAAATTTTTTGCTTTCATTCAATAAAATTTAAAAAAAAAATGTAAAAATAATGGCGTTTGATTTTATTGCAGTTTTTAATCTCGCCCTGCATTGCATGCTATCGAAATAATTGTTAAGTTGTTTTGCGTGTTTCATAAAATTTGTATTGTATAACCGATAAATACTTACGTAAAAGCATATGTATTTTCCGTATCCTCATCTTCCGGATCTCGTTGTATAAATAGTTCTGGATATTTATTACGCATCGCGTAATTAACTTCTAGTAGTTTTTTGGTTTCTTCAACATTCTTGAACATACAATAATAGAAACGCGTCAGAACAATGCGATCTGCAAAAAAGTGAATTTCAATAAATAGAAATGAAAATATTGAAAAAATAAAAAAATTATCAATAGAATTTGTAATGACCAAAAGTCGTGGAACTTGTTTTGGGATACAAAATTTTTAATTTCACGGTCAAACTAGTCTCCTAGTAATAGTGAGTAAAAGTTAACCTATCACAAATGTACAATATGTTTTGTATAGTCAGATTTATTGTAATTGGTCAATTATCAGGGTTAACCCAGGTAGAGATTTTGTATGTAAATGTCAGAGATGGTCTGTTTGACAGATTTTTAGGTTTTCGACTGTCGAAAAGTTGTAAACGTCATATACGTGTATGAAACGTAGAAAAAGTATAAATGTCATAAAAGTCTAAAATACTATAATATCCCACGTTTAGGTCGTATTATTGAAACTTCGCTGATCGTAATGAGGTAAGTTTCCTTGTGTAAGACTTCCAAATCTGTTACTTCACAGAGCTTTAAAACTGAGGCTAGCGTTTTGTTCCAAAGGCATAAAACTGTAAAGATTGAACAGAATACACATAGCCTTTTATTGTCTCGATTAGGTAAGAGATGACCGACGACATGGCAAAAAATTATTAGAAAATTTGCAGAAATATTTTATGCCGATATCACGAAAAATACCTTAAGCTGTGGAGAAAAGCAACAGATATGATAAATATGGACTCCTATTAAAGTGTCCGCTATGTTACATTATATCATAATGCTATGTTACGATATTGTGTCATAATATATATTTTTTTCACTACCAACGCCATCTATTGAATTAATGCAACAATATTATATTATATGGCTTTGTGTTCAATCACCACGTTTCTGTCAAAAACTCTTATTATTTGTCTAAATTTATGTATGTATGATACGTCGCAAAAGTATGTCATATACGTCAGAATTTCTGACAGACCACACCATGGTAAATTTACTTCAATGCTAACATAAACAAACAACGATCGAACGCATCTATCGGCGAATAGCTGAACTAAATCAGTCTGGCAATAGGAGATAGGCGGCTTCGGTATGCAAAGCACAGTATTAAAGGAGTTGTTCCAGGTAAGTCGTCTGTTGAAGGTCGATGTGCCAAAATAGGTGTATAACGATTCCTCGCAATCGTATCAGTAGATAGTTTTCGTTGAAGTTACGAGGTGTTTACCACGTTTCCTTAACTGCAACAATTGTTGTGACGTCCTTAGAGTTGAGTGGGGTTTATAACGTTCCTTGTGGAGTTTGTAAGTGTTATCTTGTAAGTAATGTGGGGTTAATAGCGTTCCCTTTACTTCTAAGAGCATTGTATTAAGTGGTTTCAGTTGATAGGAGTTTCTAAAGTTCCCTTTACGTCCAAGAGTATTGTTTCACGTAATTAGAGTTAAGAGGGTTTTTTAACGTTTCCTCAGCTCTTAGATTTATGGAGTTTGTTCTCTTATACGCATAGTGGAGTTTCCAACGTTCCCTTTACTATACATAGAAAGTATTGTGTGACAGTGTTGAAATGGAGTGGGATTCCTAACATTCCCTACACTCGAGTGTATTTTGAAAGAGTCCACAGGTCGCGTCCCTGTAGCGTAAACGATGTCCTTGTCATCCGTCCATCCATCTGTCGTCATCCAAACCCAGTTATTGTCATCACTACCTGAGTTCAAACCCATAACCGATAGAAGAATCACCATTTATACAGTGCCGGCATGGCAGAAGAATACAGGTAGATGCATCAACGCTTGGGAGCATTGATATATCAAAAAAATTTAAATGTTTTTTCAAATATAAGTAAATTTTTATATGTTTTCTTATACTACGTCATTCGGAGGGTATTATAATTCGCGTTTTTCAACAATTTTTACAAATTTAAATAATTTTTCATTCAACATTTTCAATTCCAAAATTGGTTCGACAGTTCATTCTCCCAGCAGCTGTGTCGACGCGTCTTCCTATATTTTTCTACCATGAGTGCCGGTATAAATTATCAAGTGTATACACATTTTTAATGATGTGAACTGTATTCCCACAATACAAGGTGGCGCAAACGAAATCCTCCTATCAAAAATTGATATAAGTTTTACGATTTGTCTTTTTTTCTGAAATCATCGCATGCGAAATATGTGCACGTTAATATGCGATGTTTAGCCGAAGAGACTGGCACAACAAAAGACCCCGGAGTATCCGTTCTGCAGAGAATATTGCTGCTGTAGCCGAGGATGTTACTGAAGTGCCGTCGACATCGCTCAGACGTCGTGGCACGCAATTGGGAATCAATCGACGGTCTTTACAACGAATTTTGGTACAAGTTTTGAAAATGTTTCCGTACAAAGTTCAGATGGTGCATCAGTTGTTAGCTGTTGACCGCCAATCGCGTGTAACATACGCTCCTGCCCAGTGGCGTGAGCGATTGCAAAATCGCCAGATTCGAACGCTTGCGACTTCTTTTTGTGGGGCTTTTTGAAGTCGCGGGATTATGTCAAAAAACCTCAGACTCTTTCAGTTCTTAAAGACAATATCCGGCAAGAATGTGATTACCTATCGCCGAAAATGTTGGCCAAAGTGATGGAAGATGTCATAAAAAGGGCTCATATGACAATAAACTGTGGCGGCTGTCATTTACAAGACATCAAAGTTTTTCAGTTTTTAACAGCCAAAAAACATCGGAAGTTTACTTTTGCGCCACCGCCTGCCCTGGCCCCCCGCTGAATCAATCCCAGCTTCAAAGTGAGAAAACGCGGCGTCACAAATGCCCTCAACTAATATTGATGTTTAATGCCCTCAACTAATATTTAAATAATGTTTAGACACAGTAGTGGTATTGGAAAAATACTTGAACTTGCGTAGATCCTGCCGAGATGTAAAATAAAAGTTCAAGGACGGACCTTGTCTTGCCCGAAAGTTGGGATGATCGCCAATACAACACTGTTGTCAGCTAACGCTGACGTTTATAACGCTGCAACCATGGCCCAAGTATAAAGTCCACCTGCCAAGCCAGCAGACTACCAAATATAATGTCAAATGCATTATTGTGATTGAAATTTCAGAACAAAAGTTAAACTACAGTCAAAAAAGGGTAAACAAATTTTGACATTTCATCTATTTTTAAAATTTGCAGGAACACCTTGTTATTTCACCATGGCCGCCACCATAAAATGTCGACAACGCTTTCCATAGCTACCACAACATATTCTCATAATAACCGAAGCGGCAATGCTGTTGCAAACACAGCTCCACAAATATTCTTTTGCCGTATTTTCTCCGCTCTACTTGATTAAAAATTTCTTCAAACTTTTTACTTATAATTATTTTCATAAAGAATTTACAAACTTTCTATAACACAACGGTCGAAATTCCTCACTCACATCGCTTTCATTTACAAATTGATACAAATTATTGAGTGATCAAACACACCTATTGAATGAGAAGAGAAAACCTACCGAACGGTTAGGGTGTTATTTCAATTCTGATTTTATTTGGTTAAATATTTTTCTTAAGAGCTAAGCTACAATATTATTCTTAGGGTATCTTATTTTTAGAACAACCTCCACTTATCTTCTGTCGGCTGAGTGCATTATCACTTGGGCATTGCCCTTATTATCAGTGCACCCCAACCGTTCACATTAAGTGTCATAAACTATGCTGCACTTATTTAAAACACAAGTGTTTTCCCGATATTTATGACTACGGCAATAAAATATTTTATGATCGAGCATTGTCTATGTATAGATTAAACTAATGTAAAAATTATGTTCATATTTCTATGAACACCTATTAACAAAAACACAACTTGTTTACGAAAGAAACGAAAAAGAGACACGAGAATCACTATTAAACTTCCAAACCGGTTGTTCAAATAAATTCACACAAGCGTTTATATAAACAAATACCTTTGAGTTGTTTCTAATTGCCGGCATTCTTTTAACCGGCGTAGATATCTTATCACAAGAATTAGCTACCACCGTTGGAAATACTCACCAATTTTATTGGGCAATTTTGTATTATCTTCAAACCATTTCTGAAGGTTATCGATAATCTCTTCTTGGTCACTATTGCCTTTAACTTCCATTTCAAATTAAATTAAATATTCTGCAATATTTTTGTCAGTGAATTACTTATTGTATTTTTTTGTTTTGTTTCTGCTTTCTTTCTTTGTATTTATTCTCAATGAAAATGCATTTATTTATAGATGCGTTCTTCTCGTCGTTGTTTTGTTTGTGCGCAGCATCTGACCGCCAAAAATGAATTCATCCAAACACAGAAGAGAGTGGCGTGCGTGCTTCTTTAACGCCTGCCTTCTCAACAACAACTGAATCAATCGTTGAACTCAGCAGATATTACTGTTACTGGCCAGTCAATCGCCAGCCAGACAGTCAGCCAGTTTGGACTTTTTGTTGTTGATTTATCGGAGTCTACGACACTTGTTTATCGTTGGCGTGGTTAAATGTTATTCATGAGTTGTTGTCGCTTTTGTTTGTGGGTCAGTAGATCAATAAATGCACCTTAAACTATACGCTGTATCTGTTAAAGATCAACTGGCTGTAACTTTTAACTTCATCATAATTGTATTTATTAAACAAAGGAAATCGAAAGTTTCGTTCAATATTTTGAAGCAAGGGAAAGATTTAATTTAAAATAATTTTTTTTGCGTCTCTGAATTTTTCCTTGGCTGTCTTAGTTATTGGAGAATTAGGGTTATTAAGCAGGAATTCTTAGCTTTCTTTGGAAGTTCAAGCAAGATGTTGTTTGAAAATCAGAAGGCAAAGACTGAGATCATGGCTTTTATGTCCCGAACCTATCATTCAAAATGGGGATGCAAGGATCGATGATGACGGGGCAACCGAAAGGATTTGGAGCAAGGAGCATGATGAAGTCATATTGAGTAGTAACAACTCTTAAGAAGCTCAAATACTTGAGGACTAATAGTGCAGATCAACATCCATCGAAGTGAGATGGTAACAAGTAAATAAGTGATGGATTAAACAAATGCAGGTAATGTGTATATTGGTTTATTCAGTGAGCTTTGTACTGGTAATCTAGTAACCTTTGTAATCGCCCAGGAACATATCACAAGCTCTGTTTTCCTTTCTCATTACAGTTATCAACATCGGAATATATTCGCCTCAACACATCTATCATTCGAGCTCTCGATACCATATCCAACGTGGGAAGTTATTAAGGAAGCTTCGTATTATCAAATAAATCTACGCCACTGCCTCTCCGATGCCTTTGAAGACCAATATGAACATGACCTTGGATATAAGTTTACTGGACTAAGGAATGAGGGGTACATTAAAATGTATCGTACCAAAGATTGACTACGTTCAATTTTCTTCCGTAACTACCAAAACGGAGAAATTATGATAGTGAGGTTGAACGAACAATGTCAGGTGAAACTGTGGAGAAACTGCTCAGGGCTTTGGGAAGCAAAGACTACTTCGTCAATGATTGTGAAACACAAGGAGTAAGAACCAATTCCATTTTTTGTAATCTATATTGCCAGAAGTGGGGGAAGTTATTGGTATATCCCTAAATATAAGCTCTCTGAGAGGAAGACCTATGCGTACCGGTACCGCCTGTTGAAAGGGACAAATAATAAGGACAAAACAAGGATAACAATAAGGTATATATCAATATGTCGTTTAATGGAAAGCTGTCATTTCTCTCTCAAAGCTTATAGATAGGTGTGAAATCCAGAAAAAGAGGATTTAAAGTGTTGGTGCTGAGTGAAAAACCTTTACATCAAATTTAAATAATAAAGAAAGAGTTTGCCAAAAAGAATTTTTTTGGGAAACAAGTAAAAAGTTATTATAAAGCGAATAGAAAGATAATAGATAATAGGGTACAAATTCCGAATTTATTCCCAGACGTGTGATAAAACCAATTAACAAGGAATGCTAACGGAAATCTTTTTCGTTGGAAGGACGTGTCTTTAGAGGGAAATATAGGCCCTAAAATATATTGTGAAGAAAATCAAAAAAAAATCTTACGGTTCATAGCCAACTGCCATCTATGGGGAGCACTCGAGTTGATAAAAAACTTTGCAATTTGTTAAAAGCTCAGTACCAGAAATTTACCCGAGAATATTTAACTTTACCGCTCGAGCGAATTTACGTATAACAGAATTCGCCGAGTTAACTCAGCCACAATATGGCAATATAAAAGGAACTGACCGAGAGCTAAAATAAGTATAACTAACTAAAATCGTCAAACAAATTTATATTCATACATTTTTTTGTTTCGATGAAAAGTTATTTTATTGTATGACTTATTTATATTTGCTTTGCATTCTTTTAATCCAAATTGACTATTTTTTGTGCAAATGATATAAATTTAATGCTTAAATGAATTCCTCGTCTAGTGTACGGGGTATTTGTTTCACAAAATTGTGCATAGTCTGATACAGTTGATCCTAAGCCCTAGGTTTGTCTATAATAGAGCTCTATTAGGAAATCTAGGTTATTGGATTCTATTGAGCGTAGTCACCGATTGGGGCGTAGTTTTGCCAAGTTATAGTGGGTACTAATAGGCCAGTCGTACTGTTTATTGAGATTTATTTCATTATTGGTTCTTTGAACCTTTCGATATTCCTCCAGTCAGAGGGAAAATAAAACAAAATAGAAAATCAGACTCCAAATTATTTTTTTTGATCTGTACTTATTTTATTGCGTCTCAGTTTTTTTGTGTTGTATTTTAAATAGTAATAATAGGAAAAAGGATATATATTCATAAAATTTCAATCTCTTACAATAAATACTATGTGAACCTGTAGACAATAAAAAATATGATAGTTTAACTGAAAAAAGAAGATGAGGTAAGTGGTGGACTTCCAGCGTTAATAGGGGTCATCAGGAAAAGATCAGTAGTTTGACTATGGTCGGGTGGATGCCTGAGCTCTGAGCTCGTTCGTAGGAATAGTCCGAATTGAATTGTGTACGTTCCTGGGCTACAGATGTGAGGATGGTAGCTGCCCAAAGGGAGTCGGCAATATAGAGCCATCTCTTTGCTTTGAAAAGGACACGTAACAACTAATTATTTCAAATTTACTCGATTTCTAAACAAGATATATTATGTCAGTCAGCTGATCTTTGTTTACGTAAATACAGGATGAGATAAAAAACTGCAACAAAGTCAAACGCCATAATTTCTTATTTTATTGAATAAAAGCAAAAAAAAAAACACATTTTAGATTTTTTCGAATTGGTTAACTCTGGCAAGAATTATGGCCATCAAACGGCCAATGAAACCGTCACACGCTGCCCGAATGTTGCTCTGTGGCATTTTGGCCCATTCCCGGCGACGACACTTTGGTATCTGTTATTTTTTAGTGCCAACCTTGCTTTCCAAAATACTACAGACACAATAGTCCAACGGATTGGTGGCCATTGTGCACGGGAAAGCGAGGAACCTTATTTTGTTACCATTCTTGGGTGGAGCGTGCTGAGTGCAATGGTGATGGAGTCCTGTTGGAATGTACAAGGTCTGCGGCCAAAATGTTTGTGTGCCCAAAGCTTTAATACGCTGTCACGGTTGATTAATACGAGAGGAGAGCGACCATCGGCTGTAATGGCAGCCCACACCGAAGGTGCACATTTTCAGCTGACCTCTTTGGCAAGTAAACACGATCATTTTGTTTGTTTACAAACTGCTGGACAACGATTGTTTTCTCATCGGAGAAAACCAAATTCGGCAGTTCACCACTTTCGGCAATTCACCAAGCCAAGCAACTCTTTATCTTTTTATACCCTCCACCTTGGAAAGGAGGGTATATTAACTTTGTCATTCCGTTTTTAACATCCTTAAATATTCGTCGTAGACCCCATATAGTATATATATTCATAATCAGCATAAAATTCTAAGTCGATTTAACGATGTCCGTCTGTCTGTCTGTTGAAATCACGATACAGCCCACATTATTTGCCGTAGAGCGCCAAAATTTAGCAGAGCAATTTGTATTGTGTCTAGGATGGTTGGTATAGAAAATGAGATATATCGGTCCACGTTCTGGTATAATCACCACATAACGGTACCTCCCGATATTCACTGATTTGTTTGAAAATTGGTATTTGTAGGTCATAACGGGTCCCTGTGTGTGCGGCAAAACATAGCATGTATAGGTCCACGTTTTAGTATAACCCCCATATAAAGGTACCTCCCGATATTCGGTATTTTGATTATTTTTGCCACATTTTTTCACAGATTTGTCTAAAAATTGGTATTTGTTGGTCATAAAAGGTTCCAGATCCGGTGGCGAAACATTGCATGTATGGGACCACGCTTTGGTATAGCCCCATATAACGGTACCTCCTGATATTCGGTATTTTCATGGTTTTTGACACATTTGTGCACTGATTTGTCTAAAAATTGGTATTTGTGGGTCATAATGGGTTCTATCTCCTTTGGCGAACCATTGCATGTGTAGGTCCACAATTTGGTACAGCCCCCATATAACGACACCTCCGATATTCGGCATTTTAATGGTCTTTGCCACATTTCTTCTAATGTTTCCTTTACCCTAAGGTGGAGGGTATTAAAAGTTTGGCCCGGCCGAACTTAATATTTTTTTACTTGTTTGAGTCTACTTTCGTTCTGTTGCGATGTAAGTTCTTGCACTTTTTGGAATTTCAATGTCTTTACCCCGTGCTCATTTTTTAATATGTGCCGAATGGAATATAGCGATATGTTCTGTTCACGAGCCATTTTTCAATCAAGTCGCTTCTTTACTTTTCGACGTTGGGCTACACTACCAGTATCACGCTAACGGGCGTTGGTACGAGACACAAAAGATTTATTCACATTTAAATGCTGGAGAGCTCTAACGTGGAGTGCCAAACTATCACGCTTGAATTCCATCACGAATAACTTTTTTTTCTGGAAAATTCTCACCAAAATGCTTTTGTACGCCTGTAAACAATATAATGAGCTGTCACTGGAATAATTTTAACAGCTGTCGGACGAGTGTCTTAGAAATGACAGCAGTCTGAATTTGGTTGAAATTTTTTACTCTTAACTTGTATTGGTCGGTTCCAGAGGTGCAAGAATATGCAATTGTTTTGCTATGAAACCGATTTTCCCTTTATGATATCGAAAAAAAACTGCAAAAATAACAGATTATTGCAGGATCCGAAACAAAGCATATGTGTTAATTTGTCAGTTAGTGAGTAATTTAGAAACAATTTTTCTGGACGCCTGAGTTGCACAGACGATATTTGTTTTCTTTTTGTTTTTTGTAACCTCAGAAAAAAGACTTACTAAATAACAAAAACAACAAATTTTTATTTTAACATTTATTAAATAAACTTGAATCACACTATTTACAAATTACTCATCTTCCTCAATTTGCTACACATTTCCGTTACTTCTTTGCGTATTACTTTACCCGAAGCCGTTAGGGGTAAACTTTCAAAGAAATAAACTCCGCCATGTAAATTCTCAAAATGTTGCATGCGATTTGCCACATATTCACAAATCTCAGCTTCGGTAATATTTGCACCACGCCTTCTGATAACGGCAGCTGCAGGCAAACGGTCATAGATAAAATCTGGTATACCGACCACACACACCTCTGCCACATCGGATATTTCACAAATGACCTGCTCAATAGCGGTGGGTGAAAAATGAAAATTATTGTATTTCATAATGTCCTGACGACGATCGACAATGAACAGTTGTTCTTCATCGTTGAAGTAGCCCATATCACCACTACGCACCCAGCCATCCTCAAGGAATGTCTTACGATTTGCCTCTGGATTACAATAATATCCTGAACTGGCAAATTTGGTACGTATGTAAATTTCACCGATTTCATTTGGTCCCAAATGTTCTGCACGATCGTTTAAAATCTTAATTTCTGTATTGGGTCCCAGGTAACCCACCGTATTGCTGGGATCCACCAGGCCATGTGTAACGCCGCCACACAGCTCTGTCATGCCATAGAAAATGGGGAAGAGGCAGTTCTCGGCATATTTCTTGAACTTCTCAACCAGTGTATAGGGGAGAGATTTCCCAGTGACAATCATAATTCTGATGCTGGATAAGTCACTGGCGGCCAGGGTTTCTGGACAGGCCAAACATAGTGGAATGTGAGACGGAGAAGCGGCCACAATGGATATTCTATGCTGCTTCACAATATCATAGAAATCGCTGGGGGTAAATGGATTTTCCGATACACAACGAATCGAAGAATTCACTGCGCATTGGATCAACGACACAATGCCCAAAAACCAATAGAGGCTACTGAATATCAACATTTTTTGTCCCTTGAATTGCTCGTTACTGAAAAGTTATGTTGTTTAATTGCGATTGCGGTTGCTTGTGTCAGAGAGATTTTTGGAAAACTCACCTAGTAGTTCGATTTAGAATGGCATAATGAGATAAACGTACAGCTTTGGGTAGATTTGTCGATCCTGATGTGCAAAGATAGAAGGCATCCTGTCGTCCGCCATGTTTGAGAGGGGGTACTCTAGGAAAGGTCAGAGAGATAACATATTTTTAAATATTTAAAAAATTATTTTTAAACAGATTGTGGATAAGATCTGCATCCTATCCTTAAGACAGCTTACTAATGGCTGTTGTGTAAACAATATGTTAGAGACCTAATTATTTTTTTCACACTTCCACTTAAGAATTTTATAGAATACTTTGAGGCGCAGCCCAAATATTTAACCATTAACTCACAATTTCAAAACTTCTATTTATTTTTATACCCTCCACCATAGTACGGAGGGTATATTATGTTTATCATTCCGTTTGTAACACCTCGAAATATACATTTAAGACCCCAAAAAGTATATATATTCTTGATCAGCATAAAATTCTATGTTGATTTAGCGATGTCCGTCCGTCTGTCCGTCTGTGGAAATCACTCGAGCTTCCGAACGAAATAAAGTAGGTTGATAACATTTTACTCAAATGTGTGTTATGTCTGCAAGACTTTTGGTATTGAAAAAGGGTCATGTAGGTCCACGTAATGGTACCTCCCTATTAAAGTTCGTAATGGGTACTACAGCCTAAAACAAAAAAATTGTCTATGCAGGTCTACATCTTCGTATAGCTCCCACATAACGGTACCACCCGATATTCGGTATTTTAATGATTTTAGCGACATCATTTACCGGAATTGTTTAAAATTTTATATTTGACGTTCGTAATGAATGCTACAGTCTATGACAGAAAATTGTCTGTGCAGGTCCACGCCTTCGTATAGCCCCCATATAACGGTACCTCCCGATATTCGGTATTTTGATTATTTTAGCGACATTTTTCACCGGAATTGTTACAAATTTGGTATTTGAAGTTCGTAACGGATACTGTAGCCTAAGACAGAAAATTGTTTGTGCAGGTCCCCATCTTCGTATAGCCCTCATATAACGGAACCTCGCGATTTTCTGTATATGTATGATTTTAGCGGCATTATTCACCGAAGTTATTTCAATTTTGGTATTTGAAGTTCGTAATGGATACTACAGCCTATGACAGAATATTGTCTGTGAAGGTCCGCGTCTTCGTATAGCCCCCATATAACGGTACCACCCGATATTCGGTCTTTTGATGATTTTAGCGACATTATTCACCAGAATTGTTTCAATTTTGGTATTTGAAGTTCGTAATGGATACTACAGCCTATGACAGAAAATTGTCTGTGCAGGTCCACGTCTTCGTACAGCCCCCATATAACGGTACCTTCCGATATTCTGTATTTTGATGATTTTAGAGACATTATTCACCGGAATTTTTCCAATTTTGTTATTTGAGGTTCGTAATAGGTTCCACAGCCTATGCCAGAAAATGGTCTGTGCTGGTCAACGTTTTGGTATAGCCCCCATGGTGCCTCCCTATATTCGGTATTTTGATAATTTTTGCGACATTATTCACCGAAATGGTTTCAATTCGGTATTTTAAGTTCGTAATGGATACTACAGCCTATGACTAAAAATTGTCTGTGCAGGTCCACGCCTTCGTATAGCCCCCATATAACGGCACCTCCCTATATCCGGTCTTTTGATAATTTTAGCAACATTATTCACCGGAATTGTTTCAAATTTGGAATTTGAAGTTCGTAATGGATACTACAGCCTAAGACAGAAAATTGTCTGTGCAGTTCCACGTCTTCGTATAGCCCCCATATAACAGTACCTCCCGATTTTCGGTATTTTGATTATTTTAGCGACATTATTCAACGACATTATTTCAATTTTGGTATTTGAAGTTCGTAATGGATACTACAGACTACAGAAAAGTGTCTGTGCAGGTCCACGTTTTGGCATAGCCCCCATGATACCTCCCTATATTCGGTTTTTGATGATTTTAGCGACATTATTCATCGTTTATTTCAAGTTTTGAATTTGAATATGGCAATGGCTTATGACAAACAAAGCCTATGTAGGTTCACGTCGTAGAGATCCCAATATAACGGCTATATTCGGTATTTTTAAGATTTTAACAGACTTTTTAACGGATTTTATTTTTTTTAAAATTGCCAAATTCGTTACAAATGGTGTAGGCTATTCAAAGTTCTGCCTGGACGAACTTACTGCTTTTTAACTTGTTTTAGTATCCCATTTGACTATTGTAATGACTTATGACAAAAGTTGCCTCTGCAGGTCCACGTCGTCGTATTGACCCAAATATAACGGCTACATTCGGTTTTTTTAAGATTTTAACAGAATTTTTCACGGAAATTGCCAAATTCGTTGCAAATGGTAGAGGGTATTCAAAGTTCGGCCCAGCCAAACTTACAGTTGTTTTTACTTGTCCGCTTTCACATCGCTCTCGTATTTACCTTCTGATGTCAATAAACCTCATTATATTGCAAAAATATTTCATAAAAGTCGTTTGTCCTGATCCTCAATTGGAATGTTCTGAATTTCGAATGAAATTGGTATTTTATGAACCATAATTTTAGATCGTGCATACCTTATGTATAAACTAGTAAGCCAAGGCTAAGTCAGTCGGGGCCGACCAAGTGATATCCCACAACATCATAATATATTGGAAAACTTTTTTAGGTCCAAACACATTTTAGTCGATTTTTTGAAATAATGTCATACAGTCCCGCACAGATGTTATCTTTGTTTTTTTTTGCCGGGGATATTTTCCTTATATTTTCACTCTATGTCGTGCCGATAGGCATCCGAAACAATCTCACCCATTTTATCTGCTAAATATGCAAAATTCCGTGACGATGGGTTTTTAATTGTGACCTGTGGAGCCACTTCAAGACCCTGAACGCACATGTTAACAAGTAAAAAAACATTAAGTTCGGCCGGACCAAACTTTTAATACCCTCCACCTTAGGGTAAAGGAAACATTAGAAGAAATGTGGCAAAAACAATCAAAATACCGAATATTGGGAGGTACCGTTATATGGGGGCTATATCAAATCATGGACCTATACATACAATATTTCGCCAACGGAGCTAGGACCCATTATGACTACAAATACCAATTTTCAGACAAATCCGTGAAAAAATGTGGCAAAAATCATCAAATTACTGAATGTCGGGAGGTACCGTTATATGGGGGCTATACCAAAACGTGGACCTATAATTACAATGACTCGCCACACGAACTAGAACCCATTATGACCCACAAATACCAATTTTTAGACAAATCAGTGAAAAAATGTGGCAAAAACCATCAAAATATCGAATATTGGGAGGTACTGTTATATGGGGGCTATACCAAATCATGGACCCATACATGTAATGTTTCGCCACTTGAGCTGGAACCCATTATGACCAACAAATACCAATTTTCAGACAAATCCGTGAAAAAATGTGGCAAAAAAATTAAAATACCAAATATCGGGAGGTACCTTTATATGGGGGCTATACCAAAACGTGGACCCATACATGCAATGTTTTACCACACGCACAGGGACCCATTATGATCTACAAGTACCAATTTTCAGACAAATCAGTGAAAAAATGTGAAATAAGTAATCAAAATACCGAATATCGGGAGGTACCGTTATATGGGGACTATACCAGAACGTGGACCGATATATCTCATTTTAAATACCAACCATCCTAGACACAATACAAATACCTCTGCTAAATTTTGGCGCTCTACGTCAAATAATGTGGGCTGTATCGTGATTTCAACAGACAGACGGACACACATCGTTAAATCGACTTAGAATTTTATGCTGATTATGAATATATATACTTTATGGGGTCTACGACGAATATTTAAGAATGTTACAAACGGAATGACAAAGTTAATATACCCTCCTTTCCAAGGTGGAGGGTATAAACATAACAGACTTTAATTATGACTGTTTTTCTGTTTTTGGTCCATTTCAACCCCTTCATATTATGCGATCATCTAGCCCCACTTATGTTTTCAATCAGGCCATGATTGTGACCTGTAGCGTGGATCGACCTGGATCGATTCAGCTCGGCGAGATAGGAAGATCCATTAATGGTTTCCAATGTCGGGGACCAATATTTCGAAGTGTTTGGCCCAATCAAACTTATAATAACCAGTGTTGTAGGGCATAAAACTATCTACTTTACCTGAAATCTTCGACGGCATTCTTTTCATCCAAAAACTCCATGACATTTGGAACACCTTCAATGTGATTGCGTACCGTATAGATGACAGTCTCTGCAAGGCCACACTCCTTCAAAGCTTGTTGTACCTTTTCATAAATATCACCATCACAAAACATTACTCTGGGTTTGGTCACAGAATAGATGTGTTTCAGACCTTTGACATTGGTACTGGGGTCTGTGGTACTCAAGCAAAGGCCAGAAAACATGGCTCCAAAGAATATGGGTGCTACATAGTCACTGTTTGCCGCACAAATACCAACCACCTCGGTTTGTTGCAGCTTTAGTCTACCGAAATGAACTGCAACTCGGCATGACATTTCAGCCATTTGGCGATTCGAAAATTGATTTCCCGTTGGATGGCATATCTATGGTAAAGGACAAAAATATTAGTGGTTTAGGGGAAAATGTTGCTTCCTTGTACCTGGGATACATGATCGGGATATTTTCGCAAAGCCTCCAGTACCACGGAGCCAATTGAGTCATCTAAACTGTAACGAGGTTCTATTGTTGGCCCATGCCAGATTTTAGTTTCCTTGTCATAATAAGTTTGGTCTGGATTCATGCCTAAGCCGATTGTTGACAAGCTTTTTGCTGTTTAGCAACTGAAAATATCTTTCGATTTCTTCAATATATCAAATATTCTTCATTGGAATTAATTTTCCATGCGCACCTGAGCCAAAGATAAGAAGTTGTAGATAACACATTCGTAGACATTAAAAATTGATGATAATTAAAGGCAGCGTTTATTTGATGCTTTATCGAAGGCGAAGGCCACAAATCCAAACCCCGGCGAGTTCGTGTGTACTTTATCTTCTTACACCTGCACAATGACAAATCAAATAGACGAACATCAATGAATTACCATTGGCTGATAACGTTATATTGCGATTCTACTCGAACGTTGACCTATGGCAATTTCTTGGCTGGGAGAGTTGTCACCAAACAATAAACGGACGGGATGGATTATTATTTTTTTTTTGCTATGGAAAAAATTCACCAATACAGGAAAGGGTTTCTTCTATAGAAAAAAATTAACGGATCCCCGGAAAGATTTATTTTCTATAGAAAATAAATACTGAACCCGCTGGAGGTCTTTTTTCTATTCACAACCCCTGGGGATGTCTTTTATTCGGTTGATTCAAAAATTCACCTACCCACAGGAGCGTTTTTTTTCAATAGAAATGAATTCCCCCACCCCAGAGGAAAACTTTTTCACTGAGCACCGGGGAGGACTTTTTCTATACAGAAAAATTCACCGATCCCAAGTGAGATCTTTTTTCAATAGAAACAATTCACCAACATCGGGAGTTTCATTTTTATAAGCTCCACCATAGTATGGAGGGTATATTAAGTTTGTAATTTCTTTTGTAACACCTCGAAATAGACATTTTAGATCCCGCAAAGCCTATATATTCCTGATCTGCATTAAATTTTATGTCGCTTTAGCGATGTCCGTCCGTCTCTCTGTCTGTCCGTCTGTTGAAATCACTCTAGCTTCCGAACGAATTGAAGTAGATTGCTAAAATTTTACTCAAATGTATATTATGTCTGCAGGACTTTTGGTATTGAAAATGGGCAATGTAGGTCCACGTTTTGGTAGAGCCCCCATACAACGGCACCACCCGATATTCGGTATTTTAATAACTTTAACGACATTATCCACCGGAATTGTTTCAAATTTGGTATTTGAAGTTCGTAATGGATACTACAGCCTAAGACAGAATATTGTCTGTGAAGGTCCGCGTCTTCGTATAGCTCCCATATAACGGTACCTCCCGATATTCGGTATTTTGATGATTTTAGTGACATTACTCACCGGAATTTTTTCAAATTTGGTATTTGAAGTTCGTAATGGATACTACTGCCTGTGATGGAAAATTGACTATGCAGGTCCAGGTGTTCGTATAGACCCCATATAATGGTACCTCCCGATATTCAGTATTTTGATGATTTTAGCGACATTATTCACCGGAATGGTTTGAAATTTGGTATTTGAAATTCGAAATGGATGCTATTGCCTAAGACAAAAAAATGTCTCTGCAGGTCCACGTTTTGGTATGGCCCCCGATATTCCGGGTACCTCCCGCCATTTGGTATTTTGATGATTTTAGCGACATTATTCACCAAAATTGTTTCAAATTTGGTATTTGAAGTTCGTAATGGATACTACAGCCTGTGACGGAAAATTGACTATGCAGGTCCAGGTGTTCGTATAGATCCCATATAATGGTACCTCCCGATATTCGGTATTTTGATGATTTTAGCGACATTATTCACCGGAATGGTTTGAAATTTGGTATTTGAAATTCGAAATGGATGCTATAGCCTAAGACAAAAAAACGTCTCTGCAGGTCCACGTTTTGGTATGGCCCCCGATATTCCGGGTACCTCCCGCCATTTGGTATTTTGATGATTTTAGCGACATTATTCACCAAAATTGTTTCAAATTTGGTATTTGAAGTTCGTAATGAATACTACAGTCTATGACAGAAAAGTGTCTCTGCAGGTCCACGTTTTGGTATGGCCCCCGATATTCGGGGTACCTCCCGATATTCGATATTTTGATGATTTTAGCGACATTATTTTCCGGAATTGTTACGAATTTGGTATTTGGAGTTAGTAATGGATACCACAGCCAAAGACAGAAAATTGTCTGTGCAGGTTCATGTCTTCGTATAGCCCCCATATAACGGTACCTCCAGATATTCGGTATTTTGATAATTTTAGCGGCATTATCCACTGGAATTGTTTGGAATTTTAAGTTCATAATGGATACTAAAGCCTAAGACCGAAAATATTCTATACAGGTCCACGTCTTCGTATAGCCCCCATATAACGGTACATTCCGATATTCGGTATTTTGATGATTTTGGGGTTTTTACTTGTTTTACCAGGGACTTGGTTTTTTTGTCTATTCCCAAATACCATGTCATAATTTTTTCCATGGAACAAAGTCCAAAATCCGGTGATGCCCGAAAAACATTCCAAGACAAATTAAAAATAAAAATTCATATCTAGGGATTTACCTTGTTAGTGTTTTTTTTTTCATGATTTAATCACGTTGATTTTTTTCAAATTTTTATTTGTTGTTAACAAATAACCAATAATCTTGCCCAGACGTTTTTCTTTGCGATTTTTGGTTATGCCTTTAACGACTTAATTGTCTTTGGCTAGTTATCTTCAAATCAAGACACCTAGACATGTACTATCTAAAAATGATTATTTTAAATTGAGGCGGACGGAAATTTTGCGTTTATAAGAAGCCAGACGTGGTCGGGCCCACTTTCAGTTATTAAACATCAATAGATCTGTCAACACTTGGTTTCGATATGATTGAATCCCAGAGCTATTACAATGAGGATACAAAAATCTGGCATGGACCCATAATAGAGCCTAGCTATGGCTTAAATGACTCGATTGGTTCGGTCATATTGGAGGCTATGCGAAAAGATCCTGACCATGTAATACAGGTATAACTACAAAATATTATTTCATTACCCATAATTATGTCATACACATTATCATAGATCAGCTATCCAAGTGGAAAGGAGTTCACAAATCGAGAAATGGCTGAACTGTCATGCCGTGCTGCCACGCATTACGGGAAACTCAAGTTGGAACAGACCGATGTGGTTGGCATCTGTGCGGGAAACAGTGATTATGTGGCTCCCATATTCTATGGCGCCATATTTTCCGGCCTTTGTCTGAGCACCACAGACCCCAGTGCCAATGTCAAGGGTCTCAGACACACCTACTCCCTGACCAAACCCAAAATTATGTTTTGTGATGGTGATATTTATGATAAGGTTCAACAAGCTTTGCAAGAGTGTGGTCTTGAAGATACTGTTATCTATACGGTTCGCAATCACATTGAAGGAGTTCCAAACGTCATGGAGGTTTTAGATGAAAAATATTCGGATACAGATTTCAGGTAAGTTTTCTTGGTAACAATATTCCAGAATGAAACAAAATGGATTTCGGCGACGTTCATGGTTAATAGTCTGACGGACAGTAATGTATTAGAAGTGCAATATCAAAATCTTGCAGAATGTCCAAAGATTGTATTACCTAGGCATTAATAGGGCTATGTGAACTACACCATAGATGGGCTTTAGAGGCTTTTCTTTATATTCACCCAATGGAAATAAGCTCAGTGTCAAATAAGCAGCAACCCTACTTATCCCAGAGTCTGTGAACTGATAGTGGAAGTCAACAGATTGACCCAGGAGCACAAGCGGATCTGAAGTGTCGCAACTTTGGAACTGATATGAGTAAACTTGAAGTAATGGTTATATTACTCTCGAACCTTGGTAAAAAAACAATAACTTTAAACGAAGTAATGGTGACAGATTCGAAGAGGTGCACTGGCTATTTTAGTCGCCAATTTGTGCATCTTGAGAGCGATAAGGCGAAGCCAAGAGTACTCATCGTATACGATCTCTTCCCACTGAGGAGGTACCATCATAGTTTACTATGGGTGATGTTATGAATGTCATCCGAAACGCTAAGTCATCCAAAGCGTTGGTCTCGGACGTAATATCAATGTCAATGTTGGAAAAATATACTAAAAGGGGTCAACCTGTCATTAGCCACCCACAGAGTTCCCGAATTCTGGAAAATGAGCAGAGTGGTCCTGCTACTGAAATTAGGCAATAATGCCAGCAAAGGCAAATCATACAACCCAATTTGGCTTAAGCAAAGACTATTGAGGCTTCACTCCTCCCTAGCTTCAGAGGAAGTTATCCAGTTTCCGAAAATTAACACGGTGTCCGTCCACAACATCACTATACGCAATACCCATACATATTACGCGAGGATTCAACCAAAACATATCGTGCCATAGAACAGTAGTGGTGGATCTAGATTTATCAAAGACCTTTGATAACAATGTCAATAATGTCACATTGTTCTAGGACGTTAAGAATATTACCTCCGCACGAGTTCGAAACGTTGGAGATTCAATTATACATATGGATATTTTAGACTGAAACAGGGATTTCCTCAAGGAGCGGGTGATATCGCCGGAACTGTTGAACCTCTACCTTTCTAAGTATAATTTTTACATTCTTTGTCTTAAATTTTATTGAATGAAAGCAAAAAAATGTCGGAAATGGCATCAAATTTTAAAATAAGTTTAGATTTGTTCGAATAGGTCTCCTTTGGCAAGAATTGCTTGAGGTGATCATCTCTTTGGCATTTTTTTAGTGCAAGCCTTGCTATCCAAAATACTCCAGACACAATAGTCCAACGGTTTGGTATCCGAAGATTTTGGTGGCCATTGTGCGCTGGAAATGAAGCGAGGAACCTCTTTATGTAACCATTCTTGGGTGGCGCGGGCTGAGTGACATGCAGAGTCCTGTTACAATGTCGAAGGTCTGCGGCCAAAATGTTTGTTTGCCCAAGGCTTTAATGCACCCTCCAGAATATAATATTACCTCCAGATAATATTTGGCATTTATTCTGATGCCACGGTCGATTAATACGAATGGAGAGCGACCATCGGCTGTTATGGAGGCCCACACCATCACCATGGCCGGCGCTTGAGTTCTGGTAGTCAACCGAAGGTACACATTTTCAGCTGACCTCTTTGGAAAGTTAACCCGATCATTTGTTTGTTTACAAACTGCTGGACAACGAATGTTTTCTCATCGAAGAAAACCAAATTCGGGAGTTCACCAGTTTCGGCTAAGAGAAGCAACTCCTTATCTCTTTTGACTCTATTTTCTTTCTGTTGCGGTGTAAGTTCTTGCAGTTTTGGGAATTTCAATGGCTTTACCACGAGCTCATTTTTCAATATTTGCCGAATAGAATATTGCGATATGTTCAACTCAGGAGCCATTTTTTGGCCACTGCGACGTGGGTTTCGATCAAGTCGCATCTTTACTTTTCAAACAATTTCTGCTGATATTCCTGTTTTCTTCCGTCCACTTCCTTGACGTTGGGCTACGATACCAGTATCTCGGTAAGGAGCGATGTTACGAGACACAAAAGATTGATTCACATTTAAATGCTGGAGTGCTCTAACGATAGCTACTTGTGGGTTTCCAGCCAAATATAAAGAAATCACACTATCACGCTTGAATTCCATCACGAATAACTTTTTTCCTGGAAAATGCTCACCAAAATGCTTTTGTACGCTTGTAAACAATATAAAGAGCTTTCACTGGAATAATTTTAACAGCTGTCGGACGAGTGGCTTAGGAATGACAGCAGTCTAAAATTGGTTGCAGTTTTTCCATCTCATCCTATATATTCTTGTTTAGCACAAAATTCTGTGTCGATTTATCGATATCCGTCCGACGGTGGAAATCACTATAGCTTCCGAACGAAATTAAGTAGGTTGATACAATTTTATTCAAATATATATTTTGTCTGCAGGACTTTTGGTATTGAAAATGGGCAATGCAGCTCCATGTTTTGATGATTTTAGCGACGTTTTTCAACGGAATTGTTTCAAAGTTTGGTATTTGAAGTTCTTAATGGATACTACTGACTATGACAGAAAATTGTATGTGCAGGACCATATCTTCGTATAGCCTCCATATAACGGACCTCCCAAAACTCGGTATTTGGATGATGCTAACGACATTATCCACTGGATTTTCTTTCAAGTTTCGTATTTGAATATTGTAATGGCTTATGACAAAAATTGCCTATGCAGGTCCACGTCGTCGAATACATACGGTATTTTGAGGATTTTAACAGAATTTTTATTGGATTTTATTTTATTTGTTTTTTTAATTGCCAAATTCATTTCAAATGGTAGAGGGTATTCAGAGTCTGTCATGGCCGAATTCACAGAAAATATATATGTTTCCTCAGTTACTTTCTGCCAAAATCAATGCATATTTGAAGTCTCCAAATTGAATTTCCTCTTTTTTAGAGTACCTGTACTCAAGCATGGTGGACGGCAGGATGCCTTTTTCCTGTGCACTTCCGGATCGACAAGTTTGCCCAAGGCCGTACGCTTATCTCACTACACCGTTTTAAATCGAATTCAAAGGTATGTCTTCTTTTACCAACAAAAAGAAATGTTCTAATAAAAAATTTCAATTTTTGAATAGCGAACGAACTGAAGATCAAAAAATGCTGGTATTCAGTAGCGTTTACTGGTTAATGGGCCTTTTGACGCTGGTCCAGTGCGCAGTGAATCACACCACTCGTGTGATATCAGAAAACCCATTTACACCCAAGGACTTCTATGATATTGTGGAAAAGCATCGAATTACCCTTGCAGCCAGCTCTCCATCCCACATTCCATTGTGTTTGGCCTGTCCCGAAACCCTTGCAGCCAGTGACTTATCTAGTATAGAGGTCATGGTAGTCACAGGAAAATCTCTGCCCTATCCATTGGTTGCAAAATTTAAAGAGTACGCCGTCAATTGTTTTTTCCCCATTCTTTATGGCATGACAGAGCTGTGTGGGGCCGTGTCGAGTGGTGAAGTAAATCCTCGCAATTCTGCGGGCTCAATTGTGGCCAATACAAATGTTAAAATTATGAACGATGCTGGAGAGCGATTGGGACCAAATGAAACGGGAGAAATTTATGTGCAGGCGAAATTTATCAGCTCAGGTTACTATTGTAATCCGGAAGCAAATAGCAAGACATTCCTTGAGGATGGCTGGGTGCGTACCGGCGATATGGGTTACTTCAATGATGACGGAGAACTTTTTATAGTCGATCGCCGCCAGGACATTATGAAATACAACAATTTCCATTTCTCACCCACCACAATTGAGAAGGTCATTTGCGAAATACCCGATGTGGCCGAGGTATGTGTGGTCGGCATTCCCGATCTAATCTATGACAATTTGCCGGCTGCTGCTGTCATCAGGCGTAATGGTGCAAATATAACGGAGTCAGAGATCAGTGAATATGTTGCAAGTCGAATGCAACACTTTGAGAATTTACATGGGGGTGTTTATTTCTTTGAAAGTTTACCCCTAACGGCTTCGGGTAAAATTATACGCAAGGATGTTACGGAAATGTGTGCCAAATTAAAGAAATTGAATGAACGTTAAAAAAATAAACTGTTGTTTTTTCTTGGACATTGAGGTTGGTGTTTGTTGTGGAACAAACTATTCCAAAAAGTCGAGAAGTTTAGGGTCGATGATTTTTTTTTAGAAAAACCAGTTAAGAAAGTCTTCAAGTCGGGCGGGGCTGACTTTATGATACCCTACACCAGTTTGCTAATTAAGTAGAGCTCCACATAACAATTAAAAGTTTTTATGGGAGAATTCAATCATACACGCTATGATTATAATTATAATTTAAAGTTCAAAGGACTAAATATGCCGAAGCATTTGTATCTTTTAAATTCGGAATTGTATAGCCCATTTGGTGCACAATTAATTTGAAATCGGATAAAGATATATATGGGAGCTATTTCCCTGAATATCGTTGTTAGGGAGTGCATATTACGGTTGTGGGTAACAAATACAACAAATCGGATGAACAATATATATGGGAGCTATAGCTATATCTGAACCGATCTTCACCAAATTTGGCACACTAGCTTATAGACTCAATTCGGTCGTATGTGCCAAATTCCATCCTATTTGGGCAAATATTAGACATTTGGTGCACAATAAAAGGTAAATCGGACGAAGTTATATATGGGAGCTATATCCAAATCTGAACCGATCTCGATAAAATTTAGCAAATGTATTTCTGAGCTGTATTTGATATATTTCTCCAAATATTGTTGTTGCAGAGTGCATATTACGGCGGCGGTGGACAAAAATAACAAATCGGATGAACAATGTATATGGGAGCTATAGCTATATCTGAACCGATTTCGATCAAATTTGGCATACTTATTTTCAGGCCTAATTTGGGTGTATATGCAAAATTCCATACAATTCGGGCTGATATTACACGTTTGGTGCACAATAAAAGGCAAATCGGACGAAGATATATATAGGAGCTATATCTAAAATTTGACCGATTATCTCCAATTTCAATATGGTTCGTCCTTGGGTCAAACAAAAGATCTTTGCAAAATTTCATCTGGATCGGGCAATAAATGCGACCTGTACTTTGTTTACAAAAATACATGGACGGGCGGACAGACGGACAGACGGACAGACGGACATGCATAAATCGACTCGGAATGTGATTCTATGCAGATCATCAAAAGGAACTATGGGTCTATCTCGTTTCCTTCTGCCTGTTACAAACAAATGCACAAAGACATAATACCCTGACCACCTTGTGGTGTAGGGTATAATAAATTCTATGTCGATTTAGCTATGTACGTCCATCTGTCCGTCTGTGGAAATCAGTCTAGCTTCTGAACGAAATGAAATAGGTAGATAAAATTTTACTCAAATGTGTATTATGTCTGCAGAACTTTTGGAATTGAAAATGGGAGATGTAGGTCCACGTTTTGGTATAGCCCCATATAACGGTACCTCCCGATAGTCGGTATTTTCATAATTTCAGCGACATTATTCACCGGAAGTGTTTCAAATTTGGTATTTGAAGTTCGCAGTGGCTACTACAGTCTATGACAGAAAATTGTCTGTGCAGGTCCACGCCTTTGTATAGCCCTCATATAACGGTACCTCCCGATATTCGGTATTTTGATTATTTTAGCGACATTATTCACCGGAATTGTTTCAAATTTGGTATTTGAAGTTCGTAATGGATACTACAGACTATGACAGAAAAGTGGCTGTGCAGGTCCGCGTCTTCGTATAGCCCTCATATAACGGTACCTCCCGATATTCGGTATTTTGATTATTTTAGCGACATTATTCACCGGAATTGTTTCAAATTTGGTATTTGAAGTTCGTAATGGATACTACAGACTATGACAGAAAAGTGGCTGTGCAGGTCCACGTTTTGGCATAGCCTCCCTATATTCGGTTTTTGATGATTTTTGCTACATTATTCACCGATTTTTTTTAGTTTGGCATTTGAATATTGTAATAACTTATGACAAAAGTTACCTATACAGGTCTGCGTCGTCGTATAGACCCAAATATAACGGCTAAATTCGGTAAGATTTTAACAGAATTTTTAACGGATTTTATTTTTTTGAAAATTGCCAAATTCGTTGCAAATGGTGGAAGTTATTCAGCTACACTTCTGCGCTGTCCTAAGCCCTAACCTCATGCAAAATTCCGTGACGATGGGTTTTTAATTGTGACCTGTAGAGCCACTTCAAGGCCTTAAACATACATCTTAAAAAAGAACAGGCTTTTGTTATGACTGTTTTTCTGTTTTTGGTCCATGTCAACCCCTCAATATTATGCGATCATCTAGCCCCACCTACATTTTCAATTTCGTGAGGATCGGCCCATAATTGCGACCTGTAGCGTGACAGACAAACGGACGAACATACATAGCTAGATCGACTCAGTTCGGCGAGATACGAAGATCCATTAAAGGTTTCCTATATCACACTCCTGCAAAGCTTTTTGTACCTTCCCATAAATATCACCATCACAAAACATTACCCTGGGTTTGGTCACAGAATAGATGTGTTTCAGACCTCTGACATTGGTACTGGGGTCTGTGGTACTCAAGCAAAGACCAGAAAACATGGCTCCAAAGAATATTGGTGCCACAAAGTCACTGTTTGCCGCACAAATACCAACCACCTCGGTTTGCTGTAGCTTTAGTCTACCGAAATGAACTGCAACTCGGCATGACATTTCAGCCATTTGACGATTCGAAAATTGATTTCCCGTTGGATGGCATATCTGCGGTAAATGACAAAACTATTAGTGGTTCCGGGGAAAATGTTGCTTTCTTGTACCTGGGATATATGATCGGGATATTTTCGCAAAGCCTCCAGTACCACAAAGCCAATTGAGTCATCTAAACTGTAACGAGGTTCTGTTGTTGGCCCATGCCAGATTTTCGTTTCCCTGTCATAATAAGTTTGGCCTGGATTCATGCTCAAGCCGATTGTTGACAAGCTTTTTGCTGTTTAGCAACTGAAAATATATTGCAGACGTACTTCATTGGAATTAATTTTCCACGTGCAACTGAGCCAAAGATGAGAAGTTGTAGATAACACATTCATAGGCGTTAAAAATTTATGATAACTAAAGGCAGCGTTTATTTGATGCTTTATCGAAGGAGAAGGCCACAAATCCAAATCATTTGTATTTTGGCAACACATAAACCCAGGCGAGTTCGTGTGTACTTTATCTGCTTACACCTGCACAATGACAAATCAAATAGACGAACATCAATGAATTACCATTGGCTGATAACGTTATATGGCGATTCTACTCGAACGTTCACCTATGGCAATTTCTTGGCTGGGAGAGTTGTCACCAAACAATAAACGTATTGTTTTGGCAATGACTGATAGTCAGGGATGGATTATTATTTTTTATTGCTATGGAAAAAATTCACCAATACAGGAAAGGGTTTCTTCTATAGAAAAAAATTAACGGATCCCCGGAAAGATTTATTTTCTATAGAAAATAAATACTGAACCCGCTGGAGGTCTTTTTTCTATTCACAACCCCTGGGGATGTCTTTTATTCGATAGATTCAAAAATTTACCTACCCACAGGAGCGTTTTTTTTCAATAGAAATGAATTCCCCCACCCCAGAGGAAAACTTTTTTACTGAATTTCACTGAGCACCGGGAAAAGCTTTTTCTATACAGAAAATTTTACCGAGCCCAAGCGAGATCTTTTTTCAATAGAAACAATTCACCAACATCGAGAGTTTACTTTTTTTTCAGTAAATTATTGGATGGACAATCTTCTCTGAACCAAGGAAGAATTTTTACATCTCCCCGGTAGTCGATGAACTTTTTATGCATAGTATCGAGGGTATATTAAGTTTGTCATTCCGTTTGTAACACCTCGAAATATACATTTTAGACCCCACAAAGTATATATATATATTCTTGATCAGCGTACAATTTTATGTCGATTTAGCGATGTCCGTCCATCTGTGGGAATCACTCTAGCTTCCGAACGAATTGAAGTAGATTGATAAAATTTTACTCAAATGTATATTATGTCTGCAGGACTTTTGGTATTGAAAATGGGCAATGTAGGTCCACGTTTTGGTATAGCCCCCATATAACGGTACCTCCCGATATTCGGTATTTTGATAATTTTAACTACATTATCCACCGGAATTGTTTCAAATTTGGTATTTAAAGTTCGTGATGAATACTACAGTCTATGACAGGAGATTGTCTATATAGGTCCACGTTTTCGTATAGCTCCCACATAACGGTACCTCCCGATATTCGGTATTTTGATGATTTTGGCGACATTACTCATCGGAATTGTTTCAAATTTGGTATTTAAAGTTCGTAATAGATACTACAGCCTATGACTGGAGATTGTCTGTGCAGTTAAACGTCTTCGTATAGCCCCCATATAACGATACCTCCCGACATTCGGTATTTTGTTGATTTTAGCGACATTTTACACCGGAATTGTTTTAGATTTGGTATTTGAAGTTCTTAATGAATACTACAGTCTAAGACAGAAAAGTGTCTCTGCAGGTCTACGTTTTGGTATGCCCCCCGATATTCGGGGTACCTCCCGATACTCGGTATTTTGATAATTTAGCGACATTATTTACTGGATTTGTCTCAAATTTGGTATTTGCAGTTCGTAATGGATACCACAGCCAAAGACAGAAAATTGTCTTTGCAAGTTCATGTCTTCGTATAGCCCCCATATAACAGTACCTCCCGATATTCGGTATTTTGATGATTTTGGGGTTTTTACTTGTTTTACCAGGGACTTCGTTTTTATACCCTCCACCATACTATGGAGGGTATATTAACTTTGTCATTCCGTTTGTAACTCCTCGAAATACTCATATCAGACCCAACAAAGTATATATATTCTTGATCAGCGTAAAATTCTAAGTCGATTTAGCGATGTCCGTCTGTCTGTCCGTCTGTCTGTCTCTCTGTCTGTCCGTCTGTCTGTCTGTTGTAATCACGCTATCTTTCGAATGAATTGAGATATTTGCACACATGTTTATTTTTCCAGAAGGCAGGTTAAGTTCGTAAATGGGCCATGTAGGTCCACGTCTTCGTATAGCCCCCATATAACGGTACCTCCCGATGTTCGGTATTTTGATGAGTTTAGCGACATTATTCACGGGAATTGTTTCAAATTTGGTATTTGAAGTTCAAAATGGATACTACACCCTAAGACAGAAAAATTTCTGTGCAGGTCCACGTCTTCATATAGCCCCCATATAACGGTACCTCCCTATATTCGGTATTTTGATGATTTTAGCAACATTATTCACCGAAATTGTTTCAAAATTGGTATTTGAAGTTCGTTATGGGAACTACAGTCTATCACAGAAAATTGTCTGTGCGGGTCCAGGTCTTCGTATAGGCCCCATATATCAGTACCTCCCTATATTCGGTATTTTGACGATTTTAGGTACAATACCCACCGAAATTGTTTAGATGTGGTATTTGAAGTTCGTAATGGATGCTACAGCCTGTTACAAAAAATTGTCTATGCTGGTCCAGGTCTTCGCACAGCTCCGATATAACGGCACCTCCTTATATACGATATTTTGATGATTTTAGCTACATTATTCACTGTTTATTTCAAGTTTCGAATTTGAATATGGTAATGGCTTATGACAAACAATGCCTATGTATGTCCACGTCGTATAGACCCCAATATAACGGCTATATTCGGTAGTTTTAAAATTTTAAAAGAATCTTTTAAGGATTTTATTTTTTACAAATTTCCAAATTCGTTGCAAATGGTGGAGGGTATTAAAAGTTCGGCCCGGCCGAACTTACTGCTTTTTCACTTGTTTTTTTGTCTATTCCCAAATACCAAATCCATGGAGCTGAGTCCAAAATCCGGTGATGCCTGAAAATTATTCCAAGACAAATTAAAAATAAAAATTCATATCTAGGGATTTACCTTGTTAGTGTTTTTTTTCATGATTTAATCGCGTTGATTTTTTTCCAATTTTTATTTGTTGTTAACAAATAACCAATAATCTCGCCCAGACGTTTTTCTTTGTGATTTTTGGTAATGCCTTTAACGACTTAATTGTCTTTGGCTAATTATCTTCAAATCAAGACATCTAGGCATGTATTATCCAAAAATGATTATCTTAAATTGGGGCGTATGGAAATTTGCGCTTATAAGAGGCCAGACGTGGTCGGGTCCACTTTCAGTTATTAAACATCAAAAGATCTGTCAACACTTGGTTTCGATATGATTGAATCCCAGAGCTATTACAATGAGGATACAAAAATCTGGCATGGACCCATAATAGAGCCTAGCTACGGTTTAAATGACTCGATTGGTTCGCTCATATTGGAGGCTATGCGAAAAGATCCTGATCATGTAATGCAGGTAAAGGGCGAAACATTATATTTTAGCCTAAAATTATAGATTTCGTATTTGTAATAGATAAGCTATCCAAGTGGCAAGCAGTTCACAAATCGAGAAATGGCTGAACTGTCATGCCGTGCTGCCACGCATTATGGAAAACTCAAGCTGGAACAGACCGATGTGGTTGGCATCTGTGCGGGAAACAGTGATTATGTGGCTCTCATATTCTTTGAGCACCACAGACCCCAGTGCCAATGTCAAGGGTCTCAGACACACCTACTCCCTGACCAAACCCAAAATTATGTTTTGTGATGGTGATATTTATGATAAGGTTCAACAAGCTTTGCAAGAGCGTGGTCTTGAAGATACTGTTATCTATACGGTACGCAATCACATTGAAGGAGTTCCAAACGTCATGGAGGTTTTAAATGAAAAATATTCGGATACAGATTTCAGGTAGGTTTTCTTGGTAACAATATTTCGGAATGAAACGAAATGGATTTTGGCGACGATCATGGTAAAATTAAAATAAGACGCGTCTGTAGTTAGGCGGACATCAAGGGATTCAAAGTGCACTATCAAAATCAACGGGGGAATGAGAAATACACCAACGAGGGCATTAGAGACTTTTCTTTATATTCACCCAATAGAATAGATTCGAAGAGGTGCACTGGCTATTTTAGTCGCCAATTTGTCGAACACTCCGAGAGCGATAGGGCGAAGTCAAGAGTACTCATCGTATACGATGTCTTCCCACCGGGGAGATACCATCATAGTTTACAATGGGTGATGCTATAAATGTCATCCGAAACGCTAAGTCATCCAAAGCGTTGGTCTCGGACGTAATATCAATGCCAATGTTGGAAAAATATATTAAAAGGGGTCAACCTGTCATTAGCCACCCACAGAGTTCCCGAAGTCTGGAAAATGAGCAGAGTGGTCCTGCTACTGAAATTAGGCAATAATGCCAGCAAAGGCGAATCATACAACCCAATTTGGCTTAAGCAAAGACTATTGAGGCTTCACTCCTCCCTAGCTTCAGAGGAAGTTATCCAGTTTCCGAAAATTAACACGGTGTCCGTCCACAACATCACTATACGCAATACCCATACATATTACGCGAGGATTCAACCAAAACATATCGTGCCATAGAACAGTAGTGGTGGATCTAGATTTATCAAAGACCTTTGATAACAATGTCAATAATGTCACATTGTTCTAGGACGTTAAGAATATTACCTCCGCACGAGTTCGAAACGTTGGAGATTCAATTATACATATGGATATTTTAGACTGAAACAGGGATTTCCTCAAGGAGCGGGTGATATCGCCGGAACTGTTGAACCTCTACCTTTCTAAGTATAATTTTTACATTCTTTGTCTTAAATTTTATTGAATGAAAGCAAAAAAATGTCGGAAATGGCATCAAATTTTAAAATAAGTTTAGATTTGTTCGAATAGGTCTCCTTTGGCAAGAATTGCTTGAGGTGATCATCTCTTTGGCATTTTTTTAGTGCAAGCCTTGCTATCCAAAATACTCCAGACACAATAGTCCAACGGTTTGGTATCCGAAGATTTTGGTGGCCATTGTGCGCTGGAAATGAAGCGAGGAACCTCTTTATGTAACCATTCTTGGGTGGCGCGGGCTGAGTGACATGCAGAGTCCTGTTACAATGTCGAAGGTCTGCGGCCAAAATGTTTGTTTGCCCAAGGCTTTAATGCACCCTCCAGAATATAATATTACCTCCAGATAATATTTGGCATTTATTCTGATGCCACGGTCGATTAATACGAATGGAGAGCGACCATCGGCTGTTATGGAGGCCCACACCATCACCATGGCCGGCGCTTGAGTTCTGGTAGTCAACCGAAGGTACACATTTTCAGCTGACCTCTTTGGAAAGTTAACCCGATCATTTGTTTGTTTACAAACTGCTGGACAACGAATGTTTTCTCATCGAAGAAAACCAAATTCGGGAGTTCACCAGTTTCGGCTAAGAGAAGCAACTCCTTATCTCTTTTGACTCTATTTTCTTTCTGTTGCGGTGTAAGTTCTTGCAGTTTTGGGAATTTCAATGGCTTTACCACGAGCTCATTTTTCAATATTTGCCGAATAGAATATTGCGATATGTTTAGCTCACGAGCCATTTTTCGGCCACTGCGACGCGGGTTTCGATTAAATCGCTTCTTTACTTTTCGAATCATTTCTGCTGATGTTGCTATTTTCAACCATCCACTTCCTTGACATCGGGCTACGATATCAGTATCACGGTAACGAGCGATGGTACGAGTCACAAAAGATTGATTCACATTGAAATGCTGGAGTGCTCTAACGATAGCCACTAGTGGTTTTCCAACCAAATATAAAGAAATCACACTGTCACCCTTGAATTCCATAACGAATAATTTTTTTTCTGCAAAAATTTTCATCAAAATGCTTTTGTATGCTTGTAAACAATATAAAGAGCTTTCACTGGAATAATTTTAACAGCTGTCGGACGAGTGGCTTAGGAATGACAGCAGTCTAAAATTGGCTGCAGTTTTTCCATCTCACCCTATATATTCTTGTTTAGCACAAAATTCTGTGTCGATTTATCGATATCCGTCCGACGGTGGAAATCACTCTAGCTTCCGAACGAAATTAAGTAGGTTGATACAATTTTACTCTAATATGTATTTTGTCTGCAGGACTTTTGGTATTGAAAATGGGCAATGCAGCTCCATGTTTTGATGATTTTAGCGACATTTTTCACCGGAATTGTTTCAAAGTTTGGTATTTGAAGTTCTTAATGGATACTACTGACTATGACAGAAAATTGTCTGTGCAGGACCATGTCTTCGTATAGCCTCCATATAACGGACCTCCCAAAACTCGGTATTTGGATGATGCTAACGACATTATTCACCGGATTTTCTTTCAAGTTTCGTATTTGAATATTGTAATGGCTTATGACAAAAATTGCCTATGCAGGTCCACGTCGTCGTATACATACGATATTTTGAAGATTTTAACAGAATTTTTATCGGATTTTATTTTTTTTTTTTAAATTTCCAAATTCATTTCAAATGGTGGAGGGTATTCAGAGTTCGGCCCGGCCGAATTTACAGAAAATATATATGTTTCCTCAGTTACTTTCTGCCAAAATCAATGCATATTTGAAGTCTCCAAATTGAATTTTCTCTTTTTTAGAGTACCTGTACTCAAGCATGGTGGACGGCAGGATGCCTTTTTCCTGTGCACTTCCGGATCGACAAGTTTGCCCAAGGCCGTACGCTTATCTCACTACACCGTTTTGAATCGAATTCAAAGGTACAATTCAAATTTTACAACCAAAGAAAAATTAATATTAAATTAAATTTATTTTGGATAGCGAACGAACTGAAGATCAAAAAATGCTGGTATTCAGTAGCGTTTACTGGTTAATGGGCCTTTTGACGCTGGTCCAGTGCGCAGTGAATCACACCACACGTGTGATATCAGAAAACCCATTTACACCCAAGGACTTCTATGATATTGTGAAAAAGCATCGAATTACCCTTGCAGCCAGCTCTCCATCCCACATTCCATTGTGTTTGGCCTGTCCCGAAACCCTTGCAGCCAGTGACTTATCTAGTATAGAGGTCATGGTAGTCACAGGAAAATCTCTGCCCTATCCATTGGTTGCAAAATTTAAAGAGTACGCCGTGAATTGTTTTTTCCCCATTCTTTATGGCATGACAGAGCTGTGTGGGGCCGTGTCGAGTGGTGAAGTAAATCTTCGCAATTCTGCGGGCTCCATTGTGGCCAATACAAAGGTTAAAATTATGAACGATGCTGGAGAGCGATTGGGACCAAATGAAACGGGAGAAATTTACGTGCAGGCGAAATTTATCAGCTCAGGTTACTATTGTAATCCCGAGGCAAATAGCAAGACATTCCTTGAGGATGGCTGGGTGCGTACCGGCGATATGGGTTACTTCAATGATGACGGAGAACTGTTTATAGTCGATCGTCGCCAGGATATTATGAAATACAACAATTTCCATTTCTCACCCACCACAATTGAGAAGGTCATTTGTGAAATACCCGATGTGGCCGAGGTATGTGTGGTCGGCATTCCCGATCTAATCTATGACAATTTGCCGGCAGCTGCTGTCATTAGGCGTAATGGTGCAAATATTACGGAATCAGAGATCAGTGAATATGTTGCAAGTCGAATGCAACACTTTGAGAATTTACATGGGGGTGTTTATTTCTTTGAAAGTTTACCCCTAACGGCTTCGGGTAAAGTTATACGCAAGGATGTTACGGAGATGTGTACTAAATTAAGGAAATTGAATGAATATTGAAAAAATAAATTGCTGTTTTTCTTAGACATTGATGTTGGCGTTAGTTGTGCGAAAAAACTATTTCAAGAAGTTGGGAAGTTTTTATATAGGATGGTGGGTATATTAAATTTGTCATTCCGTTTGTAACACCTCGAGAATACATTTTAGACCCCACACGGTATATATATTCTTGATCAGCATAAAATTCTATGTCGATTAAGCGAAGTCCGTCCGTCTGTGGAAATTACTCTAGCTTACGAACTAAATGAATTAAGTTGATAAAATTTTACTCAAATGTATATTATGTCTGCGGACTTTTGGTATTGAAAATGGGCCATGCCGGTTCACGTTTTGGTATAGCCCCCATATAATGGTACCTCCCGATATTGGATATTTTGATGATTTTAGAGACATTGTTTGCCGGAACTATTTCAAATTTAGTATTTGAAGTTCCTAATGAATACTACAGCCTAAGGCGAAAAATTGGCTGTGCAGGTCCACGTCTTCATATATCCCCCACATAACAGTACCTCCCGATATTCGGAACTTGGTTGATTTTATCGACATTATTCACCGGAATTGTTTCAAATTTGGTATTTGAAGTTCGTAATTAATACTACAGTCTAAGACGAAAAATTGGATGTGCAGGTCCACGTCTTCGTATAGCCCCCATAAAACAGTAACGCCCGATATTCGGTACTTTGTTGATTTTAGCAACATTATTCACCGGAATTATTTAAAATTTGGTATTTGAAGTTCGTAATGAATACTACAGCCTAAGACGAAAAATTGGCTGTGCAGGTCCACGTCTTCGTATAGCCCCCCTTATAACGATACCTCCCGATATTCGGTACTTTGTTGATTTTAGCGACATTATTCACCGGAATTATTTAAAATTTGGTAATTTGAAGTTAAAAATGGATACTACAGCCTAAGACAGAAAATTGTCTGTGCAGGTCCACGTCTTCGTATAGCCCCTATATAACGGTACATCCCGATATTCCGTACTTTGTTGATTTTAGCGACATTATTCACCAGAATTGTTTCAACTTTGGTATTTGACGTTCGTAATAGATACTACAGCCTAAGACGAAAAATTGGATGTGCAGGTCCACGTCTTCGTATAGCCCCCATAAAACAGTACCGCCCGATATTCGGTACTTTGTTGATTTTAGCAACATTATTCACCGGAATTATTTAAACTTTGGTATTTGAAGTTCGTAATGAATACTACAGCCTAAGACGAAAAATTGGATATGCAGGTCCACGTCTTCGCATAGCCCCCATATAACAGTACCTCCCGATATTCGATACTTTGTTGATTTTAGCGACATTATTCACCAGAATTGTTTCAAATTTGGTATTTGAAGTTCGTAATGAATACTACAGCCTAAGACAGAAAAATCGCCTGCGCAGGTAAACGTCTTCGTATAGCCCCCATATAACGGTACCTGCCAATGTTCGGTATTTTGATAATTTTAGCGACATTATTCACCGGAAATTTTTAGTCAAGTTTCGCATTTGAATATTGTACTGGTTTATGACAAAAGTTGCCTATGCAGGTCCAGGTCGTCGTTTAGACCCTAATATGACATCTACATTTAGTATTTTTAAGATTTTAACAGAATTTTTAACGGATTTTATTTTATTTTTTTTTTTTTTTTTGAAAATTGCTAAATTCTTTCCAAATGGTGGAGGATATTCAAAGTCCGGCCCGGCCAAACTTAAGCTTTTTTACTTATTTTCTATAGGAAGATACATTCCTAGGACAGCAAATGACATGTTCCGCTGGAAAATTTAATTTTTTTATTGTAAGTTTTTAATTTATGATTGATTGATGATTGTGTTATTATAATTCACGATAATTTCGTTAACATTGACCTTCCGACGATGTTTGTACCGTCCAGTAATCCGGGTCCATTAGAAGAGGTCTGGAAATAATAAGAAACGGAATTACAACAAGAAATATAAAAAAAATAATGGTATCTACCTCATTTTCACAACATAGTCCCTATATGCCAAACTTAATTCCGCCATGCCACCGGCATTGCCTCCATACTCCTCTGGCAGCATGTCCTTTGGTATACATTCGTATAGACTTTCAAGACCTTTGGTGTGGCATTTCATCTAATGAAATATCAATTAGGGTTTTAGAATCTCAAAAAGCTGGAAAGCTCAAGTTAACATTGACTACCCACCATGTCGTACAACTCCCTGTTCATAAATGGTTTTAGAAAGGCCAACACTTTATCAAGATACGAAGGACAATTAATCATATGAACCGCCCGCAGGCGATTCGGATAGGCCTGGTTAATATATTTGACAAATACACTCATGGTACTTATTATCAAGGTAGTAACTTGCTTCATGGTGACGCCCCGCATATCCATGATGACAACTTCACCATCCGACAGAATGGCGGCTGTTTTGTCTAATTTCACATCCGGCTCCATGAAGTGGCAATCTTGAATCATAATAAAGGTTTTAATATCCTCCGTAAAGTGTATCTGAAAAAAAGAAAAACAGTTATTTAATTTGAAATCGTTGTCCTCAATTCGATGGAGGTTGTCTCACCAATTTGCTATCCAATTTATGAAATTGAACACAGGTGACGTGATAATTCTCCGGAGTCAACCTGCTCAGGGGGACAATGTGTCTGTGGGGTAGTTAAAAATGTGTTATATTCGGGTCGAATTCTTAAAATACGTATTAATTAAACAGATTACACCTACAGATATTTATACATATTTTCCGTATCGACATCACATGGATCGCGATTGATGAAAAGCCGTGGATTTTTTAGCCGCAACGAGTAAAAGGTTTCCACCAACTTCTTAGTCTCCTCAACATCTTTGGACGAACGTTTATAAAAGCGCCACAGCAAGTTGCGATCTGAAAAAAATAAAATAATAATGTTTAATTGTGGAGGAAAAAAGTATTTGAGGGCCAGGGACACTTTGCCAAATGGCTATTTTTTCAAAAGAACCTGAATTCTCTTTGGAAAAATTAAAAATTTCCATCTCTGGGTAAAGCAGAATGCTACATATGTTGTTTAAAACATTCACAGCGAGCTCAAGAAAGACTAAGGGTGAGAGTACATAAAGCGCTTATTTGACTGGCTTAAGTCTATGTATTCTCACCTTAAGAGTTTTTTATGAGCAACTTTTATCCTTCAAAACGCAAAAAAATCTCTAGAATATGGCACTCTTTTAAAACTTACGAAAAGTTTGGAGGCCAATATGTATCCATATTATCATTAATATTGCAAATCTTAACAAGTAAATAAGCTGTAAGTTCGGCCGGGTCGAACTTTGAATACCCTCTACCATTTGGAATGAATTTGACAATATTCAACCAAAAAAAAAAAAAAAAAAAAATCGTTAAAAACTCTGTTAAAATCTTAAAAATACCGAATGTTGCAGTTATATTAGGGTCTATACGATGACGTCGGCCTGCATAGGCAAATTTTGTCATAAGCCATTAGAACATTCAAATGCGAAACTTGAAAAAAAATTGTTGAAATACGGAATATAGGGAGGTATCATGGAGGTTTTACCAAAACGGGGACCTGCACAGACAATCTCCTGCCTTAGGCTGGACGAACTTCAAATACCAGATTTGAAACAACTACGGTGAATGATGTCGCTAAAATCATTAAAATACCGAATTTCGGGAGGTACCGTTATATGAGGGCTATACAAAAACATGCACCTGCATACGAAATTTTTGTCATAGGCTGTAGTATCCATTACGAACTTTAAATATGAAATTTGAAATAATTCCGGTGAATAATATCGCTAAAATCATGAAAATACCGAATATCGGTTTACTACTGGAAAACTATGCATGTATGCAACATTTTAGCTTTCTATCTCAATTCGTTCGAAAGAAAGTGTGATTATAACAGATAGACGGACATCGCTAAATCGTCTTAGAATTTCACACTAATTCAGAATACAGGGTGAGATGAAAAAATGGAAAAAAAACTCGTCCGACAGCTGTTAAAATTATTCCAGTGATAGCTCATTAAATTGTTTACAAGAGTACAAAAGCATTTTGGTGAGAATTTTCCAGAAAGAAGTTTTTCGTGATGGAATTCAAGCGTCATAGTGTGATTTCTTTATATTTGGCTGGAAAACCACAAGTGGCTATAGTTAGAGCACTCCAGCATTTAAATGTGAATAAATCTTTTGCGTCTCGTACCGTCTCTCGTTATAGTGATTATGGTAGCGTAGCTCGACGTCAAAGAAGTGGACGGAAAAAACAGCAACATCAGCAGAAATGGTTCGAAAGTGATCGAAACCCGCGTGGTCGAAAAATGGCTCGTGAGTTGAACATATCGCAATATTCCATTCGGCAATTATTGAAAAATGAGCTCGGGGTAAAGCCATTGTAATTCCAAAAAGTGCAAGAACTTACACCACAGCAGAAAGAAAATAGACTCAAGGAGCTAAAGAGTTGCATCACAAGTGGTGAACTGCCGAGTTTGGTTTTCGATGGTCCGATGAGAAAACATTCGTTGTCCAGCAGTTTTTAAACAAACAAAATGATCGTGTTTACTTGCCAAAGAGGTCAGCTGAAAATGTGCACCTTCGGTTGGCCAGCAGAACTCAAGCGCCGGCCATGCTGATGGTGTGGGCCGCTAATGCAGCCGAAGGTCGCTCTCGGCTCGTATTAATTAATCAGAATAAATGTCGAATTTTATTATATATAATATTATCGCGAAAATATTCTGGAGGGTGTATTGAAGCCTTGGATACGCAAATATTTTGGCCGCAGACACTGGAAATTCCAACAGGACCAAGCGCCATCGCACTCAGCACGCGCCACCCAAGAATGGTTTAAAAATTAGATTTCTCGCTTCATTTCCAGTGCACAATGGTCACCAATATCTCCGGATACCAATCCGTTGGACTATTGTTTCTAGAGTATTTTGGAAAGCGAGTTTGGCACTAAAAAATACCAAAATGTTGTTCACCTCAAGCAAGCCCTTCGCCGGGAATGGGCGAAAATACCGCAGAGCAAGATTCGGGCAGCGTGTGTCTGTTTCATTTTCCATTTGAAGGCCATAATTCGTGCCAAAGGTGACCAATTCGAACAAATCTAAACTTATTTTAAAATGTGATGCTATTTCTTACATTTTTGCTTCCATTCAATAAAATTAAAAAAAGAAATGTAAAAATTACGCCGTTTGACTTTGTTGCATTTGTTCATTTATGTAATGCGAGCGACAAATGGAAGGGATTTCTCTAATTTAAAGCTATAACCTAGAGATGTAATAGTTTTAACGAGGATATTTTTTAACGTAAGAACCATTCGTGAAGATTCTTCAGAGTCTTGTTATATCAAGACTTTCTGTCATTGATATATTCTGCTTTTATTTTTTCCTCTCCACCCTATTTTCATGTATCTCCAAAATATCCATCCATTCTATTTTTTTATACCCCACATCTCAAGGTGGTCAGGGTATTATGTCCTTGTGCATTTGTTTGTAACAGGCAAAAGGAAACGAGATAGACCCATAATTCCTTTTGATGAGCTGCATAGAATCACATTCTGAGTCGATTTATGCATGTCCGACCGTCCGTCTGTACGTCTGGCCATGTATTTTTGTAAACAAAATACAGTTCGCATTTATTGCCCTATCCAGATGAAATTTTGCACAAATCATTTGTTTGGCCCAAGGACGAACCCTATTGAAATTGGAGACAATCGGTAAAAATTTAGATATAGCTCCCATATATATCTTCGTCCGATTTGCCTTTTATTGTGCACCAAACGTGTAATATCAGTCCGAATAGTATGGAATTTTGCACGTACGATTAGATTGGACCTGAAAATAAGTGTGCCAAATTTGATCGAAATCGGTTCAGATATAGCTGTTCATCCGATTTGTTTATTCGTTACCCACAGCCGTAATATGCACTCCGTAACAACGATATTCAGGGAAATATATCAAATGCAGCTCAGAAATATGTTTGCCAAATTTTATCGAGATCGGTTCCGATTTGGATATAGCTCCCATATATATTTTTATCCCATTTCATATTAATTGTGCCCCAAATGGGCAATACAAGTCCGAATTTAAAAGATACAAATGCTTCGGCATATTTTGTCCTTTAAACTTTAAATTATAACAATAATCATGACGTGTATAATTGAATTCTCCTATTAAAACGTTCAATTGTTATGCGGAGCTCTACTAAATTAGCAAAGTGGTGTAGGGTATCATAAAGTCGGCCCGCCCGGCTTTAAGACATTCTTTACTGGTTTTTGTTTACAAAAGATTCCCTTTTTATACCCTCCACCAAAAAAGGAATGGAGGGTATATTAACTTTGTCATTCCGTTTGTAACTCATCGAAATAATCATTTTAGACCCAACAAAGTATATATATTCTTGATCGGCGTAAAATTCTAAGACGATTTAGCCCTGTCCGTCCGTCTGTCCGTCTGTTGTAATCACGCTACAGTCTAAACGAATTAAGATAGGAAGCTAAAATTTTGCACAGATCTCTCTTTTGTCTGCAGGCAGGTCAAGTTCGAAGATGGGCTATATCGGTCCAAGATATCATATAGCCCCCATATAACGGTACCCCCCGATATTCGGTATTTTGATGATTTTACCCACATTTTTCAACGGAATTGTCTGAAAATCTACACAAAGAGTTCCTTGTGGGTACTTTATACCTCGGCAGAGAATTATCTATATAGGTCCACGATATCGTATAGCCCCCATGTAACGGTACCCCCCCGTTATTCGGTATTTTGATGATTTTACCCACATTTTTCAACGGAATTGTCTGAAAATCCACACAAGTAGTTCCTTGTGGGTACTTTATACCTCGGCAGAGAATTATCTATATAGGTCCACGATATCGTATAGCCCCCATGTAACGGTACCCCCCGATATTCGGTATTTTGATGATTTTACCCACATTTTTCAATGGAATTGTCTGAAAATCCACACAAGGAGTTCCTTGTGGGTACTTTATACCTCGGCAGAGAATTGTCCATATAGGTCCACGATATCGTATAGCCCCCATGTAACGGTACCCCCCGATATTCGGTATTTTGATGATTTTACCCACATTTTTGAACGGAATTGTCTGAAAATCCACACAAGGAGTTCCTTGTGGGTACTTTATACCTCAGCAGAGAATTATCTATATAGTTCCACAATATCGTATAGCCCCCATATAACGGTACCCCCCGATATTCGGTATTTTGCTGATTTTACACACATTTTTCAACGGAATTGTCTGAAAATCCACACAAGGAGTTCCTTGAGGGTATTTTATACCTCGGCAGAGAATTATCTATATAGGTCCACAATATCGTATAGACCCCATATAACGGTACCCCCCGATATTCGGTATTTTGCAGATTTTACCCACATTTTTCAACGGAATTGTCTGAAAATCCACACAAAGAGTTCCTTGTGGGTACTTTATACCTCGGCAGAGAATTATCTATATAGGTTCACAATATCGTATAGCCCCCATATAACGGTAACCCCCGATATTTGGTTTTTGATTATTTTACCCACATTTTTCAACGGAATTGTCTGAAAATCCACAAAAGGAGTCCCTTGGGGGCATTTTACCTCCTCAAAATGAAGTGTCTATATAGGTCCACGATATCGTATATCCCCCATATAACTGTAACCTCCGATATTCGGTATTTTGATGATGTTAGCCACGCTTTTCAATGGAATTGTCTTAAAATCAACACAAGTAGTTCCTTGTGAGTACTTCACCCCCTAAGAGAGAATTGTCCATACAGGTCCACGATATCGTATATCCCCCATATAACGGTACCTCCCGATATTCGGTATTTTATGATTTGACCCACATTTTTCATCGGAGTTGTCTGAAAATCCACACAAGGAGTTCCTTGTGGGTACTTTATACCCCGGCAGAGAATTATTTATATAGATCCACGATATTGTATAGCCCTCATATAACGGTACCCCTGATGTTCGGAATTTTGATGTTTTTAGCCATATTTTTCAACGGAATGGTCACAAGGGGTTCTTTGTACACAAGGGGTTCTTTGTGAGCACTTTACCCACCGACAGAGAATTCTCTATATAGGTTAACGATAACGTATAGCTCCCATATAACGGTACCCCGCGATATTCGGTATTTTGATGATTTTAGACACATTTTCCAATCGTATTGTCTGAAAATCCACACACGGAGTTCCTTGTGAGTACTTTACACGCAGATATAGATTTGTCTTTGTAGGTCCACAATATCGTATATCCCCCCATATATCGGCACCTTCCTATATTAGATATTTTAAAGATTTTAAAAGAATTTTTATTGGATTTTATTTTTTTGAAAATTTTCTAATTCGTTCCAAATGGTGGAGGGTATTCAAAGTTCGGCCCGGCCGAACTTACTGCTTTTTTACTTGTTTCAATATAAATAGTTGTTCGTTCTTCCAAATGTGATCAAACTGTCCAATCTTTCAATTCCATGGCAAGACTGGTTAATAGCTTTAATGCGCGATCAGTGCGGTGCATGTTTCTTTCAATCATTGACTTTGAAAATATTTTGCTTTTATTTTTCAAAACAATAAATACATACATAAAATTTGCAGAAGTCGGACACACTTAGAAAAAAATTGTAATAAGCTGTTAGCTGATGTTGACGTCATATTAGCGGAATTAAAAAGTTTACTTCGCGCAGTCATATGTTTACCATTCAATTTCCAAACTGATTGTCATTATGTTTATTCATAAAGCCATGGTATAAACACAAATCAGGGATGGGAACCGGTTCTCTATTCAGTTAAATTTGAGCAGGTTAATTGCCGAAAATGCGCAGCTGTTGCTCATTTCTTGTTTTATGAAACGAAATTTTTTGTAAAGGAAATAATAAAAAATAAAGAATAAGAAAACAATATAAAGAGCATAGTTTTATTTTATACTTTTGTAGAATAAGAATTCAGTCCACCGATATGCGTTTTCTGAAATAATTTTACCTTGTTTATTCTACAATGATACAAGCGAGCGTTTGCTATGAGTAATATACTTTCGTTTCGTTTTCATTGTTTCGCCATCCAGCAGAGTAAACAAAGAGCACAAAACGAGAAGACCCATAAATGAGTATTGGTTATGTTTCGTTTCGTACTTAGAGAAAATACAGAACGAAACGGCATGGGATTGTTATTATGTGCAAGTTTATATATGTACATACCTATCTTATTCGGTAGCTTTGGGTTTTCTTCAAACCACTGCTGCAGGCCGTCCACGGCAGTTTCTTCATCATGATTTCCATAAAAAAACATTTTTATTATAGAGCTTATATTTTTTAACAGCACTAGCTTTTATGAATTGATCACTTTTTAAAACTTTTCGATTTGCATTCAAAACATGAACTAAAATATGCTTCAACCAAATTGCAAGAGGTTAATTATTTTGGTATTATCAAAGAATGTGAAATTATTAGCTGCAAATTCAATGATAAGTGCTAACTAAAGGGGGCGATATCTATATGCTATTTGTGGATGGGTCATAAAATTTATTTAAATGTATCACAGTGTTATGAAACTGAAGAATGGAGGACACAAGAATAGAAAATAAATTATTAATTATACATCTTTTGGGAAAGTTTTTCCGATTTTTTATTTAAAATATTTTTTTGCATAATTTTTTTGAAGTTATCTAATGAGATTTCAATGTGTCTCAAATTTATTTAGACTTTTTCGTAATAGTCCAGTAATTTGGGTCAATGAGATAATCCCTGAAAAAAATAAAAATGTGTTAAATTATTATTTAATTCCACTATTACTTAGTTCGATCTTGAGTTCAGATTGTTATAAATATCTTTATTTATATCATTATTTCGTAATAACTTTAATTAAAACTTCAGGATAAATAAGCTACATTAAATACACATTTAAAGACTACAAACATACGAAACATCGCAATAAATCCGGCAAAATAAAATTTGTATTTAAAATCTAGAGTAGCATCACTACCATCGTCATCTGTTGTAAATTTTGCACTGTTGTCTTGTTTTATATTGCGATCTATGCGTACTCTTTGAATATCAATATTCTGTAGCTAGCGCTGATGTTGAAGTCATTATTCAAGTCCATGCGTTTTGTTGTTGGCACATTAGGAATATTTGAGTACATAAGGAAAAATTTGTACGGTTTGCTGGGGAGTGTTTCACTCTCAAATTCTCTTACACTCTCAAACTCGTACTGTGAGTTGAGTTGGTACAGTGGCTCTTGAGTGTAGTTTATATTTGTTTTTGATTGTTCTAATGTAGAACTTTTCGCAACTTTTTTTTATTCCTCCACGACGAATGCCATATAAAATATTGCTCATTTTTTATACCCTCCACCGTACATAGTAATTTTAGACATGACAAAATATATATATTTTGATCAGCGCAAAACCTAAGACGATTTAGCACTGTCCGTCCGAATGTTGTAATCACAATAGAGTCAAAACGAATAAAGTGAAATTTTGAACAGATCAGTCTTGTCAGTTGCCAGAAAATTGTTTATGCAGGTCCAGGTCTTCTTATAGGCCCCATATATCAGTACCTCCCAATATTCGGTATTTTGATAATTTTAGGTACAATATTTAAAGAAATTGTTTGAAACTTCGTATTTAAAGTTTCTATAAGATACTACAGCCTGTGATAGAAACTGGTCTATGCAGGTTCAGGTCTTCGTATAGCCCTGATATAACGGAACCACCCTATATTCGGTATTTTTATGATTTTAGCTTCATTATTCACATCATTTTTTTTAAAGTTTCGTATTTGAATATTGTGATGTCATATGACAAAAATTGCCTGTGCAGGCCCACGTCTTTGTATAGATCCCAACGACTATATTCGGTATTTTTAAGATTTTTATAGAAATTTTAAAGGATTTTATTTTTTTGAAAATTTCAAATTTATTCCAAATGGTGGAGGGTATACATAGTTCGGCCCGGCCGAACTTACTGCTTTTTCACTTGTTATTATCTATTTCTGTTCACAATTCTTTCAGAAGATGTAGCCTTTTGATACCAATCTGTTTCTAAAAACAGAGGTTTGTCATTTATTGATATTAAATCCTAAAGCAGCACTAAAACAAGTGTATGCATTGGAAGCAATGTAGTTGTTGTGGACAAAAAATCTATCACTACAAAAACAAAACTTTGCTGTGAAAAAGATCTGCCAATAGAACTTGAGTCGAACCTGGAGAGTTTCTAGTGTATAATTCGCATATGCTAATTTGCAATAAGTTCGAAATATATACTACTTTCCAGAGAACGGCCCTTGTAAGCCATCATCCACACCAAATATGCCTGATGAGCCGCTTAACCAACGGCGAAACGCGTCGCATAGTGGTGAGTGTGTGATAGTGTCTATCTGGCTTTCCTTTTCACTGCAAATTTCAGATCATTAAGCTCGTCTCGAAAGAGAAAACAAACACATAAATCATAAAACATATGATCTTCGCCTTAACAAGGCAAAACTCATAATAGTTTTTTGTTTTCTTACTTTTCGATAAGCAACTGAATATCTTTGCGAAAATTGTTTTGAAAGTTTCTTTGTCAAAATGGCTGGTTTTATAGAAAGTTTTTTTTTTTTTTTTAAATATCCATTTGAATGTCAACAACGACTGTGATATATAGGAAGACCGCGTTTCTGTTAACAGTAGCTCCAAGCGAAACTCGTACACTCAGGAAACAATTTTCTTTCATGCAATATATGATTGTTATCAAATTCACTACCAGAAGAAACCTATATTTTTATACCCTCCACCTTGGAAAGGAGGGTATATTAACTTTGTCATTCCGTTTGTAACATCCTTAAATATTCGTCGTAGACCCCATAAAGTATATATATTCAAAATCAGCATAAAATTCTAAGTCGATTTAACGATGTCCGCCTGTCTGTTGAAATCACGATACAGCCCACATTATTTGACGTAGAGCGCCAAAATTTAGCAGAGCTATTTGTATTGTGTCTAGGATGGTTGGTATTGAAAATGAGATATATCAGTCCACGTTCTGGTATAGTACCCATATAACGGTACCTTCCGATATTCGGTATTTTGATTATTTATGCCACATTTTTTCACGGATTTGTCTGAAAATTGGTACTTGTAGGTCATAATGGGTCCCTGTGCGTGTGGCAAAACATTGCATGTATGGGTCCAGGTTGTGGTATAGCCCCCATATAAAGGTACCTCCCGATATTCGGTATTTTAATTTTTTCGACACATTTTTTCACGGATTTGTCTAAAAATTGGTATTTGTTGGTCATAATGGGTTCCAGCTCCGGTGGCGAAACATTGCATGAATGGGTCCATGATTTGGTATAGCCCCCATATAACGGTACCTCCTAATATTCGGTATTTTGATGGTTTTTGCCACATTTTTTCACCGATTTGTCTAAAAATTGGTATTTGTGGATCATAATGGGTTCTAGTTCGTGTGGCGGAACATTGTATGTATAGGTCCATTTTGATATAGTCCCCATATAACGGTACCTCCCAATATTCGGTATTTTGATGATTTTTTACATATTTTTTTCAAGGATTACTCTGAAAATTGGTAGTTGCAGATCATAATGGGTCCCAGTTCGTGTGGCGAGTCATTGTATTTATAGGTCCACGTTTTAGTATAGCCCCCATATAACAGTTCCTCGGATTTTTCACGGATTTGTCTGAAAATTGGTATTTATAGCCATAATGGGTTCTAGCTCCGTTGGCGAAACATTGTATGTATAGGTCCATGATGTGATATAGCCCCCATATAACGGTACCTCCCGACATTCGGTATTTTGATGGTTTTTGCCACATTTCTTCTAATGTTTTCTTTACCTTAAAGTGGAGGGTATTAAAAGTTTGGCCCGGCCGAACTTAAGGTTTTTTTTTTACTTGTTTATTATTGCATAGGGTACTAAAACTAACCGTAGAACAAAAGTTTATTGTTTTTATTTACAAACCACTGTTGAGGTGAGAAAATTAATAATTAAACATTACAAAAACCATAAATCGCTGAGTGATATATCTGAGATTGTTGACAGTTCAGTACATCATAAAACGCTTCAAAACAGATGGATGTGTAGAAAATAAGTCAGAAACGTTCAAACGGTTGCCCTCAAACAATAGGAAATATACTGCAAAAGTCGAATTACAATGGAAGAAGAACTAGAACTAGAACTTCTAATCAGCAAGCGAAATCAAGAAGTAAAATTGCGATTTGCTAAGGAGCTCATATCAAAAGATTTTTCATTTGGGAATAATGAGCTGTTCACGGACGAGAGCAAATTCAACCATTTTGCTATATAATTGTCCCCACGACATGGATACACCAGCCCAGAGTCCAGACATAAACCCCATAGAGAATTTATGGGGCTATCTCGATGAAAAAAAAATCCTAAATACCATATCTTGCAAAGAAGATTTCAAGAAACAAGGGCTGGAAAAATGGCAAAAAATCGTACATAGCTTTTGCGAAAAACCTGTTAAAAGTATGCCAAATAGGCTACACATGGTGAAAAATTAAAGGAATGCATACAAAATATTAATGTCTAGAAATACTTTAAATTATACGAAATGTACGAGTTTGGCTTTGACATTGAAATATGATATCTTTTAATATTTATTTTTTTTTTTACTTTAAATGAATTGAAATGTTATGTTTTGTTTTGCTTTTTAAACTACTTACATAGTGTACTAATAAAATGGAAAAAAAAAACTTTTTTTTGTAAATTTTGATTTTTGGAAGTTATAAGAACAAGTTAAAAAGTATCAGTCGTTATTGCCGCCAGAGATATACCCTCAGCATATGTTCGATTATCTAAATATATTTTGACTAGTGTTAAGTTTATTCAAACGTTTGACCCTCTATGGAGCAGATCCCGGAGGAATGGGCCAATATTGCCCATTTCCTATCGGACCCAAAATATGATATAAATATTTCGACAGATGTGTCAAGTCTAAATGGAATCGGATGTTAATTTGGCGATTTATGAGCTTCATGGGTACTCAAATTTCAATATTTTGTGGGGGAGGTACCAGAAGGAGTTGGCCGTTGTATTCCCCCTTCACACCAGACCATGGGCTAATACAAATATTAGGATGTGCGAAATTTGAAGACAATCGGACTTTTACATCATATTTAATGAGATTATAATTATTCAATATTTTAACCATTTGTGGGGGAGGTACTTGATGGAGTGGACCGATATTGTCCATTTTCACACCTGTCCTAGCACTGACGCAAATATTAGGATTCGCAAAGTCGGAGCAAATTCGGATTAGCATTTCTCTTTCTGTGCAAAAAATATGTTTTTTTTTTTTGAAAATTTCGACTTTTTGTGTGGGGAGGTACCAGAAGGAGTGGGCCGATATTGTTCATCTTACCACCAGACCTTGGGTTAGTATAAATATTGGGATGTGTGAAATTTGAAGACAATCGGACTCTTACATAACATATTATAAGAGTTTTAATTATTCAAAATTTTGACCATTTGTGGGGGAGGTACTTGATGGAGTGGAAAGATATTGCCCATTTTCACACCTGACCTAGCACTGACGCAAATATTAGGATTTGCAAAGTTGGAGCAAATTCGGATTATCCTTTCTCTTCCTGTGCAAAAAAATATATTTTTTGAAAATTTCGACCTTTTGTGGGGGAGGTACCAGAAGGAGTGGACCGATATTGCCCATCTCCGAACTCGACCTAAGTTTGACAAAAATATTACGATGTAGCCAATTTGGACCAAATCGGATACTCCCTTCGAGAGTTATCGTGCGCACCAGCCAGCCAGACAGACAGACGGACGGACGGACGGACATCGCCAGATCGACTCCAAATGTTCTGATACGGATTTGGTCCAAAGAGACCTAGGGTCTAAAACCGTTATTTCGACTAGGCACGTTTTGGCCGTATCAAATGATATATACCCTCTGTAGCCATATGGCTGAGGGTATAAAAATAAAAATTTTTCTTTAGCTGTGCGAGTTTTGCTTGGATCTTCTGTATATATCTATATTTATAAAAGAGGAAAATGTTGTATGTATGTTTGTTTGTTTGTTTGTAATTTATGGACTCGAAAACCGCTGAATAGATTTTACTGAAAATTTCCATATATACTGCAACATCGCCTGAAAGTTACATAGGCTATATACATTTTTGAATTTCCAATTGGAACTGGAGATATAGCATCAGAATCGGAGGTACCTCCCAAAAATTTAGATTTTATATGCACATATCTATTGATTGGTTGAAGATACAGTCTCCAAATTTGGAATACGTAACGGAATTTGGAACAAAAATAAGTTTGCAAAATTATATTGTAATCGGTTCAGATTTAGATATAGCTCCCATATATATTTTTGACCGATTTCGTTCATTTGATGCCTCAAACACAATATGAATGTTCTATTCCAATGAAATTTGGAATGTGTGACGGGATTTAATCCGAAAATAAATTTGTCAAATTATATTGAAATCGGTTCAGATTTGGATATAGCTCCCATATATATATTCTCGGCCGATTTCAAGCATTTGATGCACCAAACACGCTATGTATCCCCAATTTCAAAGAAATTTGAAACGTGTGATAGATTTTATCTAAAAAATTGATTTTCCAAATTAAATTGAAATCGGTTCAGATTTGGATATAGCTCCCATATATATTTTCGACCGATTTCATGTATTTGATGCTCCAAACACGCTATGTATCTCTAATTTCAATGAAATTTGGAATGTGTAGCGGAAATTAAAACAAATATGCATTTGTCAAATTATATTAAAATCGGTTCAGATTTGGATATAGCTCTCATATATATTTTCGACCGATTTCATGTATTTTATGCACCATACACGATATGTATGTTCGATTCCAAAGAAATTTGGAATATGTAACGGGATTTTGATTAGAAAATAAATTAGTCAAATTATATTAAAATCGGTTCAGATTTGGATATAGCTCCCATATATATTTTCCGCCGATTTCACATATTTGATGCACAAAACACGATACGTATTTCCGATTCCAACGAAATTCGGCATGAGTGGCTAAATTTGGTACAAAAATAAATTTGACAAATTATATTCAAATACGCTCAGATGTGATTATAGCTCCCATATATATACTCAGCCGATTTCACATATTTGATGCACCCAAAGCGAGAGAGACAAAATCTGGCACCAGGAAAAATTGCCAAATTATATTGAAATCAGTTGAGGCCGATTTCATACATATTATGCACCAAACACGATATATATGACCGATTCCAATGAAATTCAGAATGTGTGGCGGAATTTGGTTATAATAATAAATGTGATAAATTAATTGGAAATTAGTGAAGATTTGGATATAGCTCCCATATATATATTCTCGGCCAATTTCACATATTTGACGCACCAATTTCAATGAAATATGAAAGGTGTGGCGGAGTTTGGTGTAAAAGTATTTTTTTGAAAATTATATTTAAATCGGATCAGATTGGGATATGATTTTAATAAGAACCATTGACCCACAACGCCTTAGGCTAACACTAAAAAACAACACAACAATTTATTTGAAATACGCTTATTACGGCGAAGTATGTTGCTATCTCGAATTCACTAATTGCAATAGAAATGCCACTCTACTTAAAAAAATTGCAGTTTCCTGCACGCTTGGTATTTGCTATGAAATAAATAAATCCAAAGGACAAACCCTTCGTGTATGCATGTCATGTTACGGCTTTGTAATGATTTTGTTTATTAACGCATTAAATTAGTGCAATATTTTTTTTTAATTTTTAAATTTGTTTTTCTTTATCCAACATATTTTGAACATATATAAAATCAAATTTGAACATATATAAAATCAAAAGGGGTAGCGAAGCGCACCGGGTTCAGCTAGTATTTTATATAAATGCTAATTTCGGTTTTCGATGCATACGAGTGGCCTCTTTTGAATGTTCTTCTATTCCTTCAGCTCAATCGCAGTAGTAGTTTTGCGTGTTCATTGCAAAGTTTTGAATGGTTTTTGTTATGAATAGCCCTAAGAATAATAAAAATATATTATAACTCCCAAATCCCAAAACTTTTTAACTTGAATCTATAAATTGTTTAAATGTCAGATTACAAATTATGCTGGAGTCATTTGCAAAATAACTTTATCCACATTTATCTTTGACATTTTTGTAGCAAATTTTTGGAGGATTCTACACCTTTTCTAGATATAGCTCGAAATATTTTAATATAATTTGTAGTACTTCATTTATTACTCGAGATTTCCAATTTTAATTTGTAGAATTTCAATTGAAATAAAATAAAACCTTCCGAATTTGATCTGAAAAAGTTGTAGACTTTTCATATCGAAAATCATACAGTTTAAGGCCATTATATGGTATTTTTATACCCTCCACCATAGTATGGAGGGTATATTAAGTTAGTGATTCCATTTGTAACAGCTCGAAATATACATTTTAGACTCCACAAAGTATATATGTTCTCGATCAGCATAAAATTCTATGTCGATTTAGCAATGTCCGTCCGTCTGTGGAAATCACTCTAGCTTCCGAACCAAATGAAGAAAGTTGATAAAAATTTACCCGAATGTGTATTATGTCTGTAGGACTTTTGGTATTGAAAATGGACCATGTAGGTCCACGTCTATCTCCCGATCGGTATCTACCGATATGCGGTATTTTGGTGATTTAAGCGACATTATTTACCGGAATTGTTTCAAAACTGGTATTTGAAGTTCGTAGTGGATACTACAGCATAAGACAGAAAATGGATCATGTAGGTACTCGTCTTCGTATAGCCCCCATATAACGGTACCCACCGATATTCGATATATTGATGATTTTAGCGACATTATTTACCGGAACTATTTCAAATTTGGTACTTGAATTTCATAATCGATACTACAGCATATGACAGAAAATTGTCTGTGCAGGTCCACGTTTTATAACCACCATGGTACCTCCCTATATTCGGTATTCTGACGATTTTAGCTACATTATAAACAGATATTTTTCAAATTTCGCATTTGAGTAATGCAAAGTTTATGACAAAAGCTGCCTATGCAGATCGTTGTATATATCCTAATATACGGCTACATTCGGTATTTTTAAGATTTTAACAGAATTTTTAACGGATTTTTTTTTGTTTTGAAAATTGCCAAATTTGTACCAAATGGTGGAGGGTATTCAAAGTTCGGCCCAGCCGTACTTACAGCTTTTTACTTGTTATTCAGATTACAATAACAAGTTAAAGTTTTGCAATTAAAATGCTAAATATAAAACTTGAAAAACTCGTGAAAATAACCTGGCATATATCACTTTCAAAACAAAAGTTCTATGAAACAAGTGAAATGAAAACTTTTATTAAGAAATTATTTTTAATTTTATATTTTCATAGAATAAGAAACCAGAATAGTATATTTTACCTTTTGCTTCGTAAGGAATTTTGCATTTCCTCGGATAAATCATCAACCGAGCCTGCCTTACCACCATACTCTGCAGGCATCATATCCTGGGGAACAAACTCAAAGAGACTTTCTACAGTGTGGACGTGAAAATGAACCTGTAAAAACAATTAAAATAAATATGTTAAAAATTGACAATTGATGCAATGATTTAACTGAGTTCAAAGGTTGCCGAAGTTTCAAATTTTGAGACTACCTTATACCGACACCTTAATTATTAGTTTTGTCATTAATTTGACGCATTTCATTCATTTTTTGTCGGTATTAATATTTATACATAGTCACATTATCCTTATGAGCAAAATTAGAATATTTCATTTCATTTTCATTTCATTTTGTATTAATAATGTTTAGCTCCGAGCCACTGTTGTGTTGCCAAATTTGTCTCTGCAAATTTCTCTCATTTTGTTAAGATGTGTCTCCAGCTTTTTTATACCCTGCACAGTACGTAGTATCGCAATTCTGTTTGTAACTCATCGAAATAATTTTAGACCCAACAAAGTACACATATTATTGATCAGCGTTGAATTCTAAGACGTCCGTCTGTTGTTATCACGCTACAGTCAAAACGAATTAAGATAGGAAGCTAAAATTTTGCACAGATCTGTCTTTAGTCTGCAGTCAGGGCAAGTTCGAAGATAGGCTATATCGGTCCACGATATCGTATAGAGCCAATAAAACGGTACCTCCCGATATTCGGTACTTTGAAGATTTTAGCCGCATTTTCCAATGGAATTGTCTGAAAATCTACACAAGGAGTTCTTTGTGAGTACTTTATCCCCTGAAAGAGAATTGTCTGTATGGGTCCACAATATCGTATATCCCCCATATAAAAGCAATTTTCGATATTAGGAATTTTTATGATTTTAGCCAAATTTTTCAATCGAATTGTGTAAAAATCCATTCATACAAGTTCTTTCTAAGCACTTTACCCCCTAAAAGGAGAAATGTCTGTAAACGAGTAGGTCTGTGATATCTCGTAGCCCACAAACCACGTTTCCATCTGATATTTCATATTTTGACAATTTTAGAAATATTATTCACCGGAGTTGTTTCAATTTTCGTATTTAGAGTTCGTAATGAAACTACAGTCTATGACAGGAAATTGTATATGCAGGTCCAGGTCTTTGTATAGTATAGGCTGAACATTGAATACCCTCCACCACTTGGAACGATTTTTACAATTTTCAATTTTTTTTTTCAAATCCCGAATGTAACCTATGTCTATGCCGATTTAACAATGTCTTTCCGTCTGTCTGTCTGTAGAAATCTCTAGCTCTAGCTTCCGAACGAAACGAAGTAAGTATTATGTGTATTATGTCTGCAGGACTTTAGGTATTGAAAATGGGCCAGGTAGGTACCTCCATATATTCGGTATTTTTACTTGCAGATCATCATCACTCTCAATGAGGTGGTTCGTAAACAAAGCCACAATATGTAAGTGGTTACTCTAATGGTGCAATAAGAAAGTAGAACAGTCTCGTAGAACTACTGAAACACAGCACTGAGGCTATGATCAATTTCTGCCACATTTATTCAAAATTAGATGCAACAAGTTGTTCTCATTTTTTAAATATTTTTTCTCATTTATTTAATATTTTTAATATTGGTTAAAAATCGCGAAATATGAATGCGATGCCTGAACTCTTTCCAAATCGTTTAATAAATAATTTTTAGGGGTAGCCTGCTTAGACTCTTTAATAGGCCATTCGCAGACAAACAGAATGTGCAAAGCTGGCTAAAATTGTCAAAATACCGAATATCCGGGGAGACCGTTATAAGGGGGCTACACGATATCGTGGACCGATGTAGCTCATCTTCGAAAAGTCTGGTCCGCGCAAAATTTTAGCTTTCTATCTTTATTCGTTTTGACTATAGCGTGATTACAACAGACGGACGGGCGGACATGGCTAAATCGTTTAAGAATTGTACGCTGATCAAGAATATTTATAATATGTTAAGTCTAAAATAATTATATCGATGAGTTAGAAACGGAATGACGAACTTAAAATACCCTCCATGCTGTGCATGGTGGAGGGTATAAAAACTGGTTTCCATATCCGGTTTGGGCATGGGCAACGGATTCACGAGTATACATTGTGTCAGTAGGATGTTGTCAAATGTATTATTTAAAACAAGTAAAAAATTTTTAAGTTCGGTCGGGCCGAACTTTGAATACCCTCCACCACTTGGAACGAATTTTACAATTTTAATTTTTTTTGTTCAAATCCCGAATGTAACCTATGTCTATGTCGATTTAGCTTCCGAACGAAACGAAGTAAGTATTATGTGTATTATGTCTGCAGGACTTTTGGTATTGAAAATGGGCCAGGTAGGTCCACGTCTTCGTATAGCCATCATATAACGGCATCTCCTGATATTCGGCATTTTGATGATTTTAGCGACATTGTTTACCACAATTGTTTCAAATTTGGTATTCGAAGTTCATAATGGATACTGCAGCCTATGACAGAAAATTGTCTGTGCAGGTCCACGTCTTCGTATAGCCCCTATATATCGGTACCCCCTGATATTCGATATTTTGATGATTTTAGCAACATTATTTACCGGAATAATTCAAATTTTGTATTTGAAGTTCGTAATGGATACTACAGCCTATACCAGAAAATTGTCTATGCAGGCTTATGACAAAAGATGCGCATGCAGGTCCACGTCGTCGTATAGACTCTAATATACGGCTACATTTGGTATTTTTAAGATTTTAACAGAATTTTAAATGGATTTTAATTTTTTTTTTTAATTTCCAAATTTGTTTCAAATGGCGGAGGGTATTCTAACTTCGGTCCGACCGAACTTACAGCTTTTTTACTTGTTTTTTTTTTATTTAGAGTACGTGTACATATAAACGGGTTAACCTATACTTCAAGTAAATCCTCATAAATTAGGTTAATCAAAAATACGCAAATCTTTAAAGAATCACTAACAGGATCAGAGAATGTGATATATCTGCAGAGAATGTGATATAGCTGCAACTAATTTGCGAGGAAACGAATTTTCTTCAACAAATATTTGTAAAAATTAAAAGGTCACTCAGAACTTACCTTATCAATAGTTTCCTTACGCAGCATTGGTTTGACCACGGCAAACATATTATTCACATAGGCCGGACAATTTATAAGGTGGATTGTTGTAATCTTGACCGGACAATATTTTTGCATAAATTTCGAAAATGCAAGTAATGGTGACAGCGAGACATGTGTCATGTGTTTCATTGAAACACCATCCAAGTCCACAATTTGTATTAAACTCTCAGCGAAATAGGGTACATCATCGATCATCAAATCGGCATCTGAAGCAGCACCATCATGAGCCATAATGAGGTTTGCCAAGTCCTCCGCAAAGTGAACCTAAAATAAAGGGACAACTAGGAAAGTGTCAATAAAACGTAAGGCAAATAAGGTGGGAGCTAGTAGTATGTTTCAAGTAAGGATGATGATGTCTGTAGAGAACAATCAGAGGTAAGAAGGTAATCCTGTATTTCATTTGTTCAAAATTATTCCTTGACTCAACAAGAAGAATCAACGTTTTTCTTTTATACCCTGCAGCATAGTATGGAGGGTATATTAAGTTTGTCATTCCGTTTGTATCACCTCGAAATATACACTTTAGACCCCTCAAAGTATATATATATTCTTGTCAAGTTAAAAGTAGTAGTAGATACCTTTTGTTGCATACATGTGAAAATATACGATTACATGCAACCCGGATACAACCCTGAATTTTTAAAATGTAACGAAGTTGAAGATACGAAGCCAACCTGACAAGGCGTACTAGTTTAAGCTCGTATAATTGATTTTAATAAACGTTTGTGAATTCTTAATTTAATATAAAAACGGTCGTTGTATTTCATTTGAGTATACGGAAACCAACAGACTTCAATCGATCACTTGACATTTTTCTCAGAAGTGGGATACGACAAGTCTTATTGGAAGAAGCGTCTACCAACAAGAAATATGGAGAATTTGCACAAATGCACGGTTAAGCAGTTGCAAGCGAAATGCAGAGAAATTGGTGTTTCTCAAAGTGGTAACAAAAAGCAATTGATCGAACGACTTGAAGTCAACAACGAAAGCGAGCTGCACGGATTCGCATCTCCTCATGATATGCAGGAGCGAATTTCGCATTTGGAAGATATGGTAACTGAATTGCGTTCATCTATGGAGCAACGTGGACAATCAGAATTTGAGCCGAACAACGCATCATCCCCTTTGAACACGTTTTCGACACCGGATGGTAATATGTCCCTGCAAGGCACACGGCCTAGCTTGCCAAACGTGGCAAACGTTGTGACAATATTACCGGAATCACGTTCGATTCCATCGTATGTTCAAACGAATACTTCTTTTGGTGCATTTCAGACTACGTCAACAATTCCAACGGTCCACACGTGTGCTTCTGCTGGTTTACCAACGTTTACACCTTCATTGCACGGACATGCTCAACTTCCACGAAATACAACGCAAAATGTAGCGACGTCATGCTACAACGTACCAACACATATAACGACACATTCGAATTTTACAACAGCAACACCGACAGGAGTGTTCACGCAGCCGAACAATGGATATGTTCAATCAACGCAGCCCTACAACGCATATCCACAACCGCCGATATTTGCAACAAGTGTCTATTCAGCGCCGCCGCAGTCAGAAATAGTTATGCAACCTTCACAACGTTATGTTCAGCACAACCCCTTTGGGAACGTTAAGGAAATAATTCAACTTTTGCCAGAGTTTAATCCGTCATCTGAAGAATCGATTAATCCTTCACAATTCGTGCGACGTGTGGAATTATTGAAGACAGCTTATAACTGGGACGACGCATCAGTTATATTTGCAGTGCAACAGAAAATGGCTGGCCCAGCCAAGTATTGGGTTGACTCACTGCAAGAGGTATTTCTGTCTTGGCCTCAGTTTGTTAACAAATTTCTTTTAGATTTCCCTCAAAATGTAAATGCAGCCGATGTACACATTAGAATGGCACAGACAAAACGGCAGTTCGACGAAACGCCGCAGGAATATTATTACAGAATGTATGCTATTGGAAAACGGGGCAATATAAATGAATCATCCATAGCACGGCATATAGTCAACGGAATTAATGATCAAGGATTGAAGCAGAAAATATCTAACGAGTATATTACCTGTAATCAACTTTTGAGTGACATCAACGCATACTGTAGTTATAACGAGGTAAGAAGAGTGCTGAACCCGATATCGAATAAGACGAAACGTAGCAATGAAAATAGAACTGCCCCAGAAAGGAAAAGCGATGAAAGAGTGAATAAATTCAAATGTTTTAATTGTGGTAATACTGGTCACAAAGCCGTAGACTGCCCAGATCCACAGAAGAAGAATAGATGTACGATATGCAAACGGACTTCACACGGTGCAAGTGAATGTCCAACAAAAACCCTGAACACAAATGTCAACAATATAAGGGACAGCGTAAAGTCCAACGAAATACTATGTAAACGTGTCAAAGTAAAGGACAAGGAGTTTGAGGCATTTATTGATTCGGGAAGTGATCGGAGTCTGATCAGACGAAGTTTTGCAATGATAATTGGCGAAACGGAAAATTGCAGTATGGTTTTAAATGGCTTTGCTGGTGGCAAATACGAGTGCACAAAGGTGGTTAAAGTGCCAATTGACATTGATGAGACGAGTTACGACGTGAACCTTTATGTTGTGGAAAATTCTATGATCCCGAATGATGTTCTTTTAGGTCGAGATGTTTTATGCCAAAAAGGTCGACGCACCATTATTGAAGGAGATGAGTGTTGGATGCAAAACGTAAATGCGATTAGTATCAACGAAGGCTTAACATCTGAAGAGCATAAGAAGTTGCAGTTGAACATTCAAGAAAACCGACAATGTTTTTCAGAAAAGTCAAGCGAATTGGGTAAGTGTAACTTAGTGAAGATGGAAATCGAAGTTACTACTCCAGAACCAATACGATGCAAGCCATATCGACTAGCATTTGCCAAACGTCCTATTGTGGCAAATATTGTGAAAGACTTACTGGATAACGAAATCATAAGGAAATCGAATTCTCCGTATGCATCGGGAATTGTTTTGGTCGAGAAGAGAAATGGTGAACACCGTTTATGTATAGATTATAGACAGTTGAATCGAATAACCGTACGTATAGCGCATCCTATGCCTGTACTGGATGAACAGATTGCACAACTCGCCGGAAATCGTTATTTCACCACACTCGACTTACGTATGGGTTACCACCAAATTGAAGTAGAGGAAGAATCGAAAAAGTTCACAGCTTTCGTGACTTCAGATGGTCATTATGAATTCAACCGGATGCCATTTGGTTTGGTAAACGCACCTGCAGTTTTTCAGGCAACGATGAACCGAGTTATAAGCTTTATGAAACCAGGAGAAGTTTTAGCGTATCTGGATGACGTCATAATTCCCAGTAAAACAGTCGATGAAGGTCTGGACCGAATAAAAAGATTTTTGGATATCCTTAAGAAATGTGGTCTCACGTTACGATTGGCGAAATGTTCGTTCCTAGCCGAAAAGATTTCTTATTTGGGACACATAGTTACACGTGACGGAATTTTACCTGGAGAAGAAAAAGTAAAAGCGATTAGAAATTTTAAGGTACCAACGAATGTAACAGAAGTACGACGATTCCTTGGCCTAACTAACTTCTTCCGAAAATTTGTAAAGGATTATGCAGCCATTACGAAACCTCTTGCGATGTTGACACGAAAGAGCGAAGAGAATAAATTTCGTTGGGACGTACACCATGAAAACGCATTCAGAAGTTTAATCCAAATTTTGTGTAGTGAACCAGTTTTAGCAATCTACGATATGAAAGCAGATCACGAGGTGCACACGGACGCTAGCAGTCTCGGATTAGCAGGAGTGTTATTACAGTCCGATGGTAATGGTAATTGGCAACCAGTGTTTTATTTTAGCCGCCACTGTTCTGAAACGGAATCGAAATATCACAGTTACGAGCTGGAAGTTTTAGCTGTGGTTGAAACGGTGCAGCGTTTCCGTATATATTTACTTGGAAAGCCATTCCGAATCGTCACTGATTGTGCCGCAATTACTAATGTGAAGACAACGAAGGAATTACAACCTCGAGTAGCACGATGGCTGATGAAATTACTTGAATTTGATTGTGAGTATGTACACCGACAAGGGTCACGTATGGCTCACGTTGATGCTCTCAGCCGTTCACCGGATCAGCCACAGACGGAGATTGAACCAGCAGGGTTCATAATGAATATTGATAGCGATGATTGGATTCTCACGATGCAGCTAAACGACGACCACATAAAGAATATTATGAGAGTACTGCGAAATGAATTGAAATCTGAGCAAGAGAAACAGATAAAATCTGAATACTTATTGGAAAAACATCGACTATACCGGAAAACGAAAAATGGACTACGATTGGTCATACCGAAGGCTATACGATGGCGCATAGCTAAATACTGTCATGATGATATTGGCCATTACGGGTTGGAGAAAAGCCTCTCACGAGTCGAACAAACGTTTTGGTTCCCCCGCATGAGGAAATATATGAAGGAGTACATTGCAGCGTGTGTAGAGTGTTGCTACAACAAGGCAAAAGGTGGTAAACACGAAGGAGCTCTACATTTTAGTAATGTCGAACCGCTACCATTTAGGCAAGTACATATTGATCACTTGGGACCGTTTATAAGAAGCAAGCATGGTCATACACATATAGTGGCAATCGCCGATTCCTTTACGAAATTTGTGGTTATTAAAGCTGTAAGGAATACGAAGACATTGCCCGTCATCAACGTTTTAAATGAGGTTAGTGGATACTTTGGTTTACCTCGAAGAATAATTTCGGACCGTGGGACAGCTTTTACGTCAAAAATGTTTGAGGAATATTGCGATCGAAACAATATTCAACACATTAAGAATGCCGTTCGTACACCAAGAGCCAATGGACAAGTTGAGAGGGTCAATCAACTTATCCTGTCTTATTTACGAACTACCACTGAAGAACCGAAGGATTGGGACTCGGCACTTCACGTTTTACAATGGTCAATCAATTCAACCAAAAATTCGACAACAGGTTACAGTCCGAATGAGTTGATTTTCAATTACAAGCCCACCGACTTAATACAAAACCGATTGTTAGCAGCTGTACAAGATGATGTACAAAACGAAGAAATTTCCATCAACGAAAAACGTATCATGGCCGCAGAAAACATCAAAAGCGAACGAGAACGATGGAAGAAAAGATTTGACAGCAAGCATTCGAATCCGAAATTGTATGTGGAAGGTGACTTGATCCTTATACAGAATGAACCACCAGCGACAGGTGAATCCCGGAAGTTAGAACCTAAATACAAAGGTCCATACATAATAGCACGAGTATTGGGCAACGACAGGTACCTGATAGAGGACATTCCTGGAATAAACATCACGAATAGGAAATTCTGTTCCGTATTCAGTTCCGACAAGTTGAAGAAATGGTGTGAATGTTCCCCCGAATTGGATGTTTCAAGCGAAGATGAAGCCGAGGACGACTTCAGGTCAGGAAAGGCCGAGTTGTCAAGTTAAAAGTAGTAGTAGATACCTTTTGTTGCATACATGTGAAAATATACGATTACATGCAACCCGGATACAACCCTGAATTTTTAAAATGTAACGAAGTTGAAGATACGAAGCCAACCTGACAAGGCGTACTAGTTTAAGCTCGTATAATTGATTTTAATAAACGTTTGTGAATTCTTAATTTAATATAAAAACGGTCGTTGTATTTCATTTGAGTATACGGAAACCAACAGACTTCAATCGATCACTTGACATTCTTGATCAGCATAAAATTCTATGTAGATTTAGCGATGTCCAACTGTCTATTGTCTATCCGTCTGTTCGTTTGTGGAAATCACTCTAGCTTCCCAACGAAATGAAGTAGATTGATAAAATTTTACTCAAATGTATATTATGTCTGAAGAACTTTTGGTATTGAAAATGGGCCATGTAGGTCCACTTTTTGGTATAGCCCTCACATAACGGTACCTCCCTGACATTCGGTATTTTGATGACTTTAGCGACATTATTCACCGGAATTGTTTCAAATTTGGTATTTGAAGTTCGTAATGAATACTACAGCCTATGACATATAACGGTACCTCCCGATATTCGGAATTCTGTTGATTTTAATTACATTATTCACCGAATTTTTGTAATCAAGTTTCGCTTTGAATATTGTAATGGTTTATGACAAATGTTACCTATGCAGGTCCATGTCGTCGTGTAGACCCTAATATAACAGCTACACTCGGTATTTTTATACCCTCCACCGTACTATGGAGGGTATATTAATTTTGTGATTCCGTTTGTAACTCCTCGAAATACTCATGTCAGACCCAACAAAGTATATATATTCTTGATCAGTGTAAAATTCTAAGACGATTTAGCGATGTCCGTCCGTCTGTCTGTCTGTCTGTCCGTCTGTCTGTTGTAATCACGCTATCTTTCGAACAAATTGAGATAGAAGGCTAAAATTTTGCACTCATGTATATTTTGCCAGTAGGCAGGTTAAGTTCGTAAATGGGCCATGTAGGTCCAAGTTATCATATAGCCCCCATATAACGGTACCTCCCGATATTCGGTATTTTGATGATATTAGCGACATTATTCACCGGAATCGTTCCAAATTTGATATTTGTTCGTAATAGATACTGCAGAATAAAACAGAAAATGGGTCATGTAGGTCCACGTCTTCGTATAGCCCCCATATACCGTACCCCCAGATTTTCGGTATGTTGATGATTTTAGCGACATTATTTACAGGAATTGTTTCAAATTTCGCATGTGAAGTTCGTAATGGATACTTCATCCCATGCCAGAAAATTATCTGTGCAGGTCCACGTCTTCGTATAGCCCCCATATAACGGTACCCCCTATATTCGGTATTTTGATGATTTTAGCTACATTATAAACAGATTTTTCTTTAAGTTTCGCATTTAAATATTGTAATAACTTATGACAAAAGTTGCCTATGCAGGTCCACGTCGTTGTATAGGCATTCGGTATTTTTAAGATTTAAACAGAATTTTTAACGGACTTTAGTTTTTTTTTGGAAATTGCCAAATTTGTACCAAATGGTGGATGGTATTAAAAGTTCGGCCCGGCCGAACTTACAGCTTTTTTACTTGTTAAGATTTTAATAGAATTTTTAACGAATTTTATTGTTTTTGAGGGTTGCCAAATTCGTTTGTACTTTTTATACCCTACACCACAAGGTGGTCAGGGTATTATGTCTTTGTGCATTTCTTTGTAACAGGCAAAAGGAAACGAGATAGACACAAAGTTCCTGTTGATGATCTGCATAGAATCACATTCTGAGGCGATTTATGCATGTTCGTCTGTCCATGTATTTTTGTAAACAAACTATCGTTCGCATTTATTGCGAATGATGAAATTTTGCAAAAATCATTTGTTTGGCTCAAGGACGAACCCTATTGAAATTGGAGATAATCGTTCAACATTTAGATATAGCTCCCATATATATCTTCGTCCGATTTGATTTTTATTGGTCACCAAACGTGTAATATCAGTCCGAATAGTATGGAATTTTGCACATACAACCAAATTAGGCCTGTAAAAAATAATGCCAAATTTGATCGAAATCGGTTCAGATATAGCTATAGCTCCCATTTATATTGTTCATACGATTTATTATTTATTATTTTTGTCCTCCGCAGCCGTAATATGCTCTCTGTGCTGAACAATATTTGGGGAAATATATCAAATACAGCTCAGAAATAACTTTGCTAAATTTTATTGAGATCGGTTCAGATTTGGATATAGCTCCCATATATAACTTCGCCCGATTTACCTTTTATTGTACACCAATCATCTAATATTTGCCCAAATGGGATGTAATTTGGCACATACGGCCGAATTGAGTCTAGAAGGTAGTATGTCAAATATGGTGAAGATCGGTTCAGATATAGCTATAGCTCCCATATATACTGTTTATCCGATTTGTTATATTTGTTACCCACAACCGTAATATGCACTCCGTAACAAAGATATTTGGGGAAATATATTAAATACAGCTCAGAAATATCTTTGCCAAATTTTATCAAAATCGGTTCAGATTTGGATATAGCTCCTATATATATATATAATGGGCAATATAAGTCCGAATTTAAAATATACAAATGCTTCAGTATATTTAGTCTTTAAATTATAATTATAATCATGGCGTGTATGATTGAATTCTCCCATAAAAACTTTTAATTGTTATGTAAAGCTCTACTAAATCAGCAAAGGGGTGTAGGGTATCATAATGTCGCCCCCGCCCGACTTTAAGACTATCTTTACTGTTTTTTTAAATTTTAATTTTTTTAATTACAGTTTGTTTAACCCATTTGTATTTTTCGGGGTTCCGTCGAAGTGTTTGTTTATTGTTAACTACTTATTTCCATGTCGATTTTTTAATTACCTCATTTGTATCGGAACTTTTTAATTTAATCAATTTTACTTGACTTTTATCCGGGGTCAGGCCAGGCAGTGTAACAAAATGTCTGAAAAATAGTCAAAATTTAGAAATCAAAATTGTAAATACAATATTTCCAGTACTCACACAAATTCAGCGGTATTTAAAGCATTCTGACTATCTGGATCACGGTTAAAGAAAATTTTTGAATTTTTCTTGCGAATATCATAATGACCGAGCAACAATTGTTTTGTCGCTTCAACATCTTTGTCGGAGCGATAATAGAATCTGGCCAAGTAAATGCGATCTGCAAACATTTAACATTACGAAAATCCTGTGAACATAGTATTTTTTTTCCAACGACCTACCTATTTTCTTGGGTAATTTTTCATGATCCTCAAACCATTGTTGCAATAGATTCAAATCACTTTCAATTTCTTGGTTTGCAAATATTTCCATTATTTTTTGTTTATTTGCTTTTTTTTGCTAAACGCAATTGATTGTTAGTCGAACGCTTTATAAATACTGTTGATATTGTGATAATTGCAATAACTGGTCGTAGTTAGCTGCGTGTTTATGGACCTTGTTTGCAGTCAACTCTTTCCGATGCAATAGCAAGGTCTTTGTTTTGAGTCAGAATTGATTATCTGTATTTTTTATCGCTTAGATTTGTTACAATATGGGTAATTTCTTTTTGAAGCAATGTTAGCTCCGAAAGAAAGAGTCAAAGAGAAAAAACCAGTTCTAAAATACACAATCGATCGAGAACTTTGTAGTTGAATTAATTGGTGATTACTCAGTACTTTCTTTAAATGAGAAACGGCATAATACTGTTCTCACATTTGTTTTTTGGGATTCAAAATAAAACATATTTTAATTATAGTATTAATTAAACCCGTTCTAACAATTCAATATCTTGGTATATATGCATACATATTAAAAAATGTTTAGAAGCGTTTATCCCAATTCCATGATCCCAATCATGGTAGAATAAAGAAGGTAAAGTCATGTCGAATAATCATCCCCATTTTTGCATTTTCTGTAACAGAGCTTGTCAAATACAATCATTCAAATGAACTGTCACAACAAAAACAAGAATTGTTTATTTACATTTATAAACCATCCGAACTTTCAATTAAAGGTATTACGTAGTCTGTTCCATCCATGATCCGTCCATAATAATAATAATAATAATAATAATAATAATAATAATAATAATAATAATAATAATAATAATAATAATAATAATAATAATAATAATAATAATATAATAATAATAATAATAATAATAATAATAATAATAATAATAATAATATAATAATAATAATAATAATAATAATAATAATAATAATAATAATAATAATAATAATAATAATAATAATAATAATAATAATAATAATATAATAATAATAATAATAATAATAATAATAATGATATAATAATAATATCATAATATAATAATAATAATAATATAATAATAATAATAATAATAATAATAATAATAATAATAATAATATATATAATAATAATAATAATAATAATAATAATAATAATAATAATAATAATAATAATAATAATAATAATAATATAATAATAATAATAATAATATAATAATAATAATAATAATATAATATAATAATAATATATAATAATAATAATAATATAATAATAATAATAATAATAATAATAATATAATAATAATAATATAATAATAATAATAATAATAATAATAATATAATAATAATAATAATAATAATAATAATATAATAGATACATAATAAATACTAATAATAATAATCATAAATAATAATAATAATAAATAATAATAATAATAATAATAATAATAATAATAATATAATAATGATAATAATAATAATAATATAATAATAATAATAATATAATAATTAATAATAATAATATATAGTATAATAATAATAATACTAATAATAATAATATAATAATAATAATAATAATCATAATAATAATCATAATAATAATAATAATAATAAGATAATAATATAGAATAATAATATAATATAATATAATAAATAATAATAATAATAATAATAATATAATAATAATAATATATAGTAATATAATAATAAATAATAATATAATAATAATAATAAATAATAATAATAATAATAATAAGAATAATAATAATAATATAATAATAATAATAATAATAGATAATAATAATAGAATAATAATATAATAATAATAATAATAATACTAGATAATATAAATAATATAATAATAATAATAATAATAATAATAATAATAATACTAATAATAATAATAATAATAATAATAATAATAATAATAATAATAATAATAATAATAATAATAATAATAATAATAATAATAATAATAATAATAATAATAATGATAATAATAATAATAATAATAATAATAATAATAATAATAATAATAATAATAATAATAATAATAATAATAATAATAATAATAATAATAATATAATAATAATAATAATAATAATAATAATAATAATAATAATAATAATAATAATAATAATAATAATAATAATATAATAATAATAATATAATAATAATAATAATGATAATAATAATAATAATAATAATAATAATAACTAATAATAATAATAATAATAATAATAATAATAATAATAATAATAATAATAATAATCATAATAATAATAATAATAATAATACTAATAATAATAATAATAATAATAATAATAATAATAATAATAATATAATAATAATAATAATAATAATAATAATAATAATAATAATAATAATAATAATAATAATAATAATAATAAAATATAATAATAATAATAATAATAATAATAATAATAATAATAATAATAATAATAATAATAATAATAATAATAATAATAATAATAATAATAATAATAATAATAATAATAATAATAATAATAATAATAATAATAATAATAATAATAATAATAATAATAATAATAATAATAATAATAATAATAATCAACTGCAACAGAGTCAAACACCATAATTTTTAAATTTTTTTATCCCCTTACCTTGGCAAGGAGGGTATATTAACTTTGTCATTCCGTTTGTAACATCCCTAAATATTCGTCGTAGACCCCATATATATATTCATAATCAGCATAAAATTCTAAGTCGATTTAACGATGTCAGTCCGTCTGTCCGTCCGCCTGTCTGTCTTCTGAAATCATGATACAGCCCACATTATTTGACGTAGAGCGTCAAACTTTAGCAGAATAATTTTTATTGTGTCTAGGATGGTTATCTCCCGTTATTCGGTATTTTGATGATTTTTGCCACATTTTTTCACGGATTTGTCTGAAAATTGGTATTTGTAAGTCTTAATGGGATCTAGCTACGGTGGCGAAACACTGTAAATATAGGTCTACGTTTTTGTATATACCCCATAAAACGGTACCTTCCGATATTCGGTATTTTGATGATTTTTGCTACATTTTTTCACGGATTTGTATTAAAATTGGTATTTGTAAGTCATAATGGGTTCTAGCTACGGTGGCGAAACACTGTATATATAGGTCTACGTTTTTGTATATACCCCATAAAACGGTACCTTCCGATATTCGATATTTTGATGATTTTTGCCACATTTTTCCACGGATTTGTTTAAAAATTGGTATTTGTGGGCCTTAGTGGGTTCTAGCTTTGGAGGGGAAATATTGTAGGTATAGGTCCACGTTGTTGTATATCCTCAATATAAGGTTATCTCCCGATATTCGGTATTTTAATGAGTTTCTCCACATTTTTCACAAATTTTACTAAAAATTGGGTTCTAGTTTGGGTGGCGAAATATTGTAGCAATAGGTCCCCGTTGATGTATAGCCCCCATGTAACGTTTTCTACCGATATTCAGTATTTTGATGATTTTGCCACATTTGCTAAAAATTAGTATTTGTCCTTCGTAATGGGTTCTAGCTCCGGTGACGAAATATTGTCGGTATAGATTCACGTTGTTGTATAGCCCCCATATAACGGTACCTCCCGATATTTGGTATTTTGATGACTTCTACCACATTTTTTCACGGACTTGTCTAAAAATTGGTATTTGTATATCGTAATGGGTCCGATATGGCAGAAGGTACTATATAACGGTATAGAAGTTCGGCACGGCCAAACTTAATGTTTCTTACTTGTTTGAAATTCAAATTAGAAAAATTTGAAAATACTCCTTCAATTACCCTGTGCTAAACAAAAAATAATTACTGGGAAAATCCGTAAAATCGGAGGAAGATGTATATTGAAGCTATAAATTCAAATCTGAACCGATATCCAAAAAATTTGACAGATGTATTTTTGAGAAGTATCTGATGTCCGGTATCAAGTATCATTGTTGTGGAGTGCATAGAACGCATGCGAGGGACTTAAAACACCAAATCGGATGAAACATATATATGGGAGCTATAGCTATTTTTGAACCGATTTTCATCAAAATTTAAAGCACTTGCTTTTAGGCTGAATTCCGTTGGAAGTGCCAAAATTCAGTCCATTTGGGCTGATATTAGCCATTTCATGCACAAAAAAAAACTGAAATCGGATAATGATATATATGGGAACGAAATCCAAATCTGAACCGAAGATTATTATTGTGGAGTGAATATTACGCAATACGGTGCACAACCAAATATCATTCCCATTTGGTGCACAACCAAATATCATTCCTGTGGAGTGCATATTACGTACATGAGGCACATAAAACCCCAAATCGGATGAAACATATATGGGAGCTATAGCTATATCTGAACCGATTTTCATTAAATTTGATGTGCTTACTTCTACAGTGAGTTCGGTCAGATGCGCCAAAATTCATATCACTCGGGCCGACATTGGCCAAACAAATATTATAATAATAATATTTATTATAATTATGTTTATTATTATTATTATTATTATTATTATTATTATTATTATTATTATTATTATTATTATTATTATTATTATTATTATTATATTTGTAAATATTATTATAATAAATGCGACCTACATTTTGTTCACAGAAGTATATGTACAGACGGACTGACTGATATTCATAAATCGACTCAAAAAGTAATTCTATGAATATCCTCAAAAGTAACTATGGGTCTATCTCGCTTCCTTCTCCATATCGTTATTCCTTTGCTTCCTTTCTGGTTACCAGAACTCCTGTTTAAGAGATATATGAATCACATATTTGCATAAACAAATCAGCGAATTGTCTATGTCTATCGGTTGCCTATATCAAATCGTTCATTCAGCTTTAATAATGGCCCTACGCTCAGGTCCATTTACACCACACCTCCGGCACATTTTACTCTACAATCTAAAACAATCAAAGATAGGACGATATACCTAAATTGCATTACGCACGCGACAGGTGTTAGCCTAATAAAATAAAGAATTCACGACAAACTGTTTTAAACCTCTTATCAAACAAAGAACTTTCCCTGAAAAACTGTACAGCTTGCATGGGGGTAACACGTGTGGTCTGAAATAAACATGTTTAGAAGTTAATAACCTTCTCGTACTGGGGGATTTCAATGAACAGCACACATTGTATGACGCCAAATATTTTTTGTTAATATCTAAATAGGAACGCCACAATTCGGTGCATGCTCTATTCTAAGCTGAAGATATATTTCAAGGAGACAGTCTCTAGGATTTTTTTACAAAGTTCTTCTCATTACTCAATCTAAAGTTGAAAGTAACGAACAAGTTTCTAAAATCTTGCCCTATTTAAAACATAATTTGAAGAATGGGAAAAAGTTTTCCTCATCAAGGGGCCAGGATTCGATTGAGGAAAATACTGTTGGGGAAATGTGCAATTGTTGTCTCACCGTCACCATATTTCATTCGTAATAGGTCTACCCAAAAGTTTGCTAAAACTTTATTAATCATAAGACATTTTTTTCGAATTCGGACTGAACACGTTTAGAAGGTTAACAAAAATTCACACGATATTACTTCCGAGTGCGGTAGGAAATCGGTCCGACAACTCCAATTTTCCAAAAAAAAATCTTTGAGAGTTCGTTTTTAAAGACGGCAGAAACTTTAGACTTTCAAACACCTCAACCACTCCATACATGGCTTTTTTCAGAGGCCGTCCCGCATTCGCAATCAGAACTTTCATGCGGTTCCGTTTACCTCAGTTCTATGCAGACAAATCTTGTAAATTCTTGAGTAGCTCTAATTGCTCCTAAATGTATTGGTACCAAATTGTTTTTTTTTAGGCCACCACCATCTTGCACTTCCTGTTTAATTGAAATTAATTCACATTTGGCTCACATTCGATTTGAAATTTTAGCCCCTCAAAGTCGTAAAATCTGCAATGATATCAGATACAGTTTAGAAATATTTTTGACAAATTTGGTCGCAATCGGTTCAGATTTAGATATAGTTCCCACATAGAGGAGTATTGGATCCTATGATAAAATCCCAAGTAGTTCTATGTTTCCATATTTGTATCGAATCGATTCCGATTGCTGAAATCCAATTTATTACATTTGTCTTTTTTCACTGATTGACTGGGCCGAACTTTTAATATTCTCCACCATTGGGTAAAGAAAACATTTTTATTTAAAATTAACTGAATTCAAACGTCTTCCACTTTTAACCACAAAAACCAGTAAGACCGTTTGGATAATGCTGTTAAGCTTTTCAAAAAACAATAAAATGGGTCAGGCCGTTATATGGGGCCACACCAAAACGGAAATCTCTATAAATAATTTTATTCCTCAAGTATTGTCATCATAAATTTTTATAGAAAATTTAGACAATTTCGTGGGTAGATGTGACATGGATTATCAGAATACTGAATATCGGTGGGTATCGTTATATGTTCCCTATAGGAATCGTGGACCTAAATATTCAATGTTCTGCCACCGGAGCCAGAACCCATTATGAACTACAAATACCAATTTCTAGACAAATCCGTGGAAAAATGTGGCACAAGTCATCAAAATACTGAATATTCGGAGATACCGTTATATGGGGGCTATACCAAAACGTGGATATACATATATACATACAATCATATACATATATGATTTAATTCTCACAAACGGGTGTAGGGTATCATAAAGTTGGCCCCGCCCGACATAACGAATTTTTAACTGTTTTTTTTTTGTTAATATCATGCAAATAGTTTTTGTTGGGCGCCAAACACATCGCATCGTTGACAAGTTGTTGCCAGATTTTAATTCTTTGTTTTCCAGATTTTAAAAGTGTCATAAATATAATTCTATTGCCTTTTCATTCAAATGACTATCTTCAAAAAATGGCTTTTGGCCATTGGCCCCATAGTGCACTGTATGAATACTAAAGCTGGAAATACATAAAGCGCTTATCTGGCTGGCTTAAGTCATCGGCTGGCTTCTTCGTAAATGAACAAAGGAGGTTTAGGTTGATTTAGTTCGATTTTGGCCCTAGGCTCCTTTGTTCATTTCCGAAGAAGCCAGCCGATGACTTAAGCCAGCCAGATAAACTCTTTATGTATTTCCACCCTTAGACTGAGAATACATAAAAAACTTTTTCGACTAGCTTAAGTCATCGACTGGCTTCTTCAGAAAATCGCAAAGATGTTTTAGGTTGACGTAGTCCAATTTCGACCGTAATTTATACAGGCGTAGGGTACAGCTCCATTGCAAAGAAGCCTGCCGGTGACTTAAGCCAGTTTAAAACTATTTATTTATATATATTCTAACCTTTACTCTTAAAAATGCATGGCGCTAGGCATCTAAAGCCTCCGAATATATATTTGAAAAGTATGGAAATAAAATTGTGTTTGTGTTTGTTAATAAAATTGTATTTATCAAAATTTGTCGGTAGATTAGCTACGAAAATAAAGTAGTCTCTAATCATGCCAATATTTGACTTAACTCAAAGCGTAGCGCGTTCTCTCTGCTTTGGCTTTTGAGGTTTCTTTTTTAATTACTTCACGTTTGGTTATATCATGTTCCGACCAGTAGTGCGATTCTCTAACTCATTTTTTGAGTTACCGACAAAAATTGGTAACTTTCAAACGACAAATTTTAATATAACATAAAAATAAAATTTGACAACATTGGTATCTATCGGTAGGCCTTAGCGACTACTTTAATTTCGTCTCTAACTCACCGACAAATTTCGTTAATTTCCAAATTTACCGATTTTTGTCGGCAACTCGAAAATTTAGTTAGAGAATCGCACTACAGATAGATAAGATAGGAAGCGAAAATGTTGCACAGGTCAGTCTTTTGTCTGCAGGCAGGTTCAAGTTCGAAGATGGCCTATGTAGGTCTAAGATATCATATAGCCCCCAAACTAACGGTAGCCCCCGATATTCGGTATTTTGACGATTTAAGCTACATCTGCCAATGGAATTGTCTGAAAATCCACACAAGGAGTTCCTTGTTAGTACTTTATCCATATAGATCCACCATATCCTATAGCACCTATTTTAGCCACATTTTTTACGTAAATTTTCTGAGATTTCACACAAGGAGTTCTGTATGAGTACTTTATCCCCTAGAAAAGGAATTGTTTATATAGATCCACGATATCGTATTTCCCCCAAATAACGGCAACGATATTTTTAAGATTTTTAATGGATTTTATTTTTTTGAAAATTTCCTAATTCGTTCCAAATGGTGGAGGGTATTCAAAGTTCGGCTCGGCCGAACTTACTGCTTGTTTACTTGTTTATTAATGAAGTCCTTAAAAGGGTTCATATTATATGGACAACAAATAATTACAGAATGATATTTAGATCCAATTGTTTTACAATTATATCACATACACACAATACTCATACATTTACAAAGTCTTAAATTAAATACACCTAAATTAAATTCGATAAAATCACCATAAACTCCAGCGACTCGCTGGCTCTTCAGTTTTGTTAACTTTCCAATGTCTCGGATCCATTAAATATGTCCTGCAAAATATATAAAAAAAAATATTGTAAAATCGATATATTTTTCACATTAAAGCCGTGGCACAATGAAGCGGTTATTTGGTTGTTTGTCGGCGTCATCAACAAAACAACAAAAACGACGGAGACTTTGCCAGTTTTACGCCTTAAATACTATCGACGAATCACTAATCAAAGGGAGATGGGTTTACCGATATCGAACATTTCCTAATAGTTTTTTATACCCTTCACCATTCTATGGAGGGTATACTAACATTATCATTCCCTTTGTAACTCTTCGAATATTTATGATAGACCCCACAAAGATCAGCATAACATTCTAAGACGATTCGCATACAACAAATATATTTTACCAGTAGGCATGTCAAGTTCGTAAATGGGCCAAATCGGTCCACGTTTTCGAATATACCCCATATAACGGTACCTCCCGATATTCGGTATTTTTATGATTTTAGCGACATTATTTACCGGAATTATTTCAAATTTCGTATTTGAAGTACGTAATGGGTTCTACATCTTATGACAAAAGTTTTTGTATGCAGGTCCATGTCTTCGAATAGCCCCCATAAAACGGTACCTCCCGATTTTGATGATTTCAGCAACATTATTCACCGGAATCGTTTCAAATCTCGTATTGGAAGATCTTAATGGGTACTACAACCTATGTCAAAAAATGTCGTATGCAGGTCTACGTCGCTACCAAATACGAGGTATTTTCATGATTTTAGCGACATTATTTAACGGACTTATTTCAAATTTCATATTTATAGTTCGTAATGGGAACTAAAGCCTATGACAAAAGCTTTTGTATGCAGGTCCACGTCTTCCTATATCCCCCATAAAAAGGGTTTCTTTTAAGTGGTAGTTTTCGGATTTTTTTTTTTTTTTTTGAAAATTTTCAAGTTCCTTCTAAATGGTGTATGGTATTAAAAGTTCGGCCCGGCCGATCTTATCTGCTTTTTTACTCGTTTATCGATATATTTAAAGCGTAAAATGGTTCAAAGCGTTCATTCCGTTTAACCCATTTGAAACAGCATACTTTTTGCTTTGTATAATTTTCCACCAATCAGCTGAGATGTCCGCCAAACTACGTGCATTTCCGCCATAGTCCAAGGGTAAGATATCACGCGGAACATGTTCGAATAAAGAATCAAGTCCCTTTGTGTGGAAATGAGTCTGAAATGTTAATAAATTTTAATAATTCAAAATAGGTAATCTTCAATAAAATATCACTAAGGTCTTAAATATTCAAAATCTATCTCATGCTCCTTACCATATTGAAGACTTCTTCCCTTATAAATGGTTTCGTGATGGTCACCATGCGATTAACATGTGTGGGACAATTTATAATGTGCATTGCCTTAAGTCTCACAGGATATGCCTCCTGCAGGAAATTCATATAGGCTCTCATTACCATTAACGACATATTGGCTATGTGACGCAACGTGTAATTGGCAATATCTACAATATGTATTTCACCATTCGACAGAGAAGACATGTCATCATCAATGCAGTCTTTGTCATCATCGGTTGTCGCCGAGTTCGGCGCCACATCCAGGAACTTATCGGTAACGTCGTCAAAGGTAAAACGTGTATCGGTCATCATGAAGAAGGCTTTGCTTTCCTCTATGCTATTTTGCTAGAAAAGAAACGGAAGGTGGCGAGTGTTTTCACAAATGATGGCTAGTGGTGGTTAGCACTTACGGTTTTAGGATCCTTGTTGACCATCCGAAAACATAATACTTTATAGTTTTCCGGTGTTAGACCAGGCAATGGAACCATTTCTCTGAAAGAAAAAAATACTTCATGTAAATTTAAGATGGGCAATGCAGCCGTCGAAATATTTTACGATAGTGGTGCCATACACTATTCGGTAAATGGGATTACCTCTTTAATTCTCATCAATTCGTTAACATACACTTTCAAATAATTTGGAAAAAAATTTCAGTAGAGCGAAAGAACGAATGGATGTGAGTTTTTAGAACATTTTTGAGTCCTTCATATTAAGACTTTACCAAAGATAAAGAGCCCCCAATATTTTCACTGTACTATGATATATTTAATAATAATAATTGGTATTAAAAATTGATAAAATTTTGTATAATCCCCATGCAAGGGTACCGAGGGTCGTATCTCTCAAATAATATTTTTAAAACCTTAAGCGAGATATTGGGCGCCATTTTTCAAACTACTACTCAGTGGTGAGCAACACGCCTGTATAAAAGGAAACTTGTTAAAATAGCTATTCGTGAGGAGGCCAGGTATATGGAAAATAAGAACAAGAAGAAGAACTCCACACTGGCGGATTTACTTGACATAGAAGTAATCTACAACAATGTGGAACTAAAATCCATATATACAGGGTAAACTGCAACCAAATTCAGACAGCTGTCATTTCTAAGCCACTCGTCCGACAGCTGTTAAAATTATTCCAGTGACAGCTCATTGCATTGTTTACAAGCGTACAAAAGCATTTTGGTGAGAACTTCCCAGAAAAAAAGTTATTCGTGATGGAATTTAAGCGTGATAGTGTGATTTTTTTATATTTGACTGGAAAACCACAAGTGGCTATCGTTAGAGCACTCCAGCATTTAAAGTGAATAAATCCCTTGTGTCTCGTACCATCGCTCATTACCGTGATACTTGTAGCGTATCCCGACATCAAGGAAATGGACGGACGAAAACAGCAACATCAGCAGAAATGGTTCGAAAAGTAAAGAAGCGACTTGATTGTAACCCGCGCCGCAGTGACCGAAAAATGGCTCGTAAGCTGAACATATCGCAATATTCCATTCGGCGAATATTGAAAAATGAGCTCGGGGTAAAGCCATTGAAATTCCAAAAAGTGCAAGAACTGACACCTCAACAGAAAGAAAATAGACTCAAAAGAGCTAAAGAGTTGCTTCGCTTGGCCGAAAAGTGTGAACTTCCGAATTTAGTTTTCTCAGATGAGAAAACAAATGATAGTGTTTACTTGCCAAAGAGGTCAGCTGAAAATGTGCACATTCGGTTGGCCACCATATCTCAAGCGCTGGCCATGGTGATGGTATGGGCGGGCATAACAGCCGAGGGTCGCTCTCCGCTCGTGTTAATCGACCGTGGTATCAGAATAAATGCCGAATATTATAGCGAAAATATTCTGGAGGGTGTATTAAATCCTTGGGCAACCAAACATTTTGGCCGCAGACCTTGGACATTCCCGCTGGACTCAGCACGCGCTACCCATGAATGGTTACAAAACGAGGTTCATCGCTTCATTTCCAGCGCAAAATATTTTGGAAAGCAAGTTTGGCACTAAAAAATACCAAAGTGTCGATCACCCCAAGCAAGCGCTTTGCCGGGAATGGGCCAAAATACCGCAGAGCAACATTCGGGTAGCGTGTGAAGGTTTCATTGGCCGTTTGAAGGCCATAATTCGTGCCAAAGGTGACCAATTCGAACATATTTAAACGTGTTCTAAAATATGATGCTATTTCCGACATTTTTTGTTTGCATTCTTTGTTGCAGTTTTTTATCTCACCCTGTATCTCCAAACATGATGTTGGACAGAATTGAGATTCTGCTTCTAAATGGTCTGCCAATACATACAGATGAAAGCAAGCACGGGAGCTGGAGTTTTCTGTCAGCAACTAGGAATGCAGATGAAAGCAAGCACGGGAGCTGGAGTTTTCTGTCAGCAACTAGGAATGACCTACTCTTACAAGTAGGGTGGAAAGTGTAGTGTTTTCCAGAGAGAGATTTTTGCTATCATAAATTAGGATAGTGACAGTAACTATTTATTTGAATAGTCAGACAATTCCGATGCAGTCTTGAGACGTAGAACACCTCTAGAAAATCTGGACACTACTCTCCGGCATTGTAGGGTCGTTGATATACTAAAGGAAATGAGAAAACCGATGAATTGCCATGAATGGACTCGCAATCAACAGACCTTGAAGTCGTCAGCTTGTTAAAACCCCCTCTTTGTCGTTTTAACAGAGCATTAGAATTACTCTTCGGGGAGAAAGCCTGTCATCTAAAACTTTGCATAAAGGCTTTACTGCCTCTGGCGCCAGAGTTAAACCATAACTTTATTCGACGCATTTCTCCAACCTCTCTACATTTATTTCCTTTTCCTTTTTATACCCTCCACCATAGGAGGATATATTAAGTTTGTCATTTCATTTGTAACAGCTCGAAATATACATTTTAGACCCCTCAAGAATATATATTCTTGATCAGCATAAAATTCTATGTCGAGTTAGCCATGTCTGTCTGTCTGTCCGTCTCTGGAAATCACTCTATCTTCCGAACGAAATAAAGTAGGTTGATAAAATTTTACTCATATGTATGTTATGTCTTCAGTATTTTTGACATTGAAAATGGGTCATATACGTCCACGTTTTGGTATAGCCCCCATATAACGGTACCTCCCTATTTTCGGTATTTTGGTGATTTAAGCATTATTCACCAGAAATGTTTCAAATTTTGTATTTGAAGTTCGTAATGGATACTACAGCCTAAGACAGAATATGGTCTGTGCAGGTCCACGTCTTCGTATAGCCCCTATTAAAAGGTACCTCCCAATATTCGATATTTTGATGATTTAAGCGACACTATTCAACGGAATTTTAACGGTTTCCTTTTTTTAAAAAATTCGAAATTTGTTCAAAGTTGTGGAGGGTATTCAAAGTTCGGCCCGGTCGAACTTATAGCTTTTTTTACTTGTTCCTTTTCTCTTTTACACAGGATGATCACAATGGACCGATAGGTCTCCGTGTGAGGTAGTTATAATTTCAATTGTAGCTACACATCATCTAACCTACATCTACAAAAATATTACTAAACTTTTAAATAATTTCCAGCTGATTTTTTGAAATTTGGAAATGCTATTATTTGAGATTCACGAAAGGTAATAAATAAGTCTGGCTTAGTCTCGGGTATAAAGAGTGTAGGGGAGTTTTGGAAAAATTAGGTTTTCTCCAATACCAACTCAATAATTTTCTGGGTGTAGGGATCATTAAAACAATGTATTAAATACGAATTCGCTTGGCCTCACGTTGGGCGCCATTTAGTAACTAGCTAAATAAAATATAACAATATATTGAAATAATTAATAAAGATTATTATCGAAAAACCCGGAATGATATTTTTAGAGAATGTTTGTGTGTCGTTATCTGTTACATCGAGTCTAAAAATTTCAAAAGATTGGAAATATTCAAAATATTGCAAGTCAAGAATTGGAAATAGGTATCTTTTATACGCAAATACTTTCCTAACCTGTTATATTCGGTCGTATTTTTTAAACAAAATTTGAAGTATCGTGTAGTCATTACTTGGCAGTGCATTTAATTATCTGACACTGTTACTTACACATCGAAAAATGATTTTTTCGTTGCTTCATCATCCGGATTGCGATCAATGAATATCTGTGGTGTTTTGTTTCGCAAGAGGTAATTGTGTTCCACCAATTTTTTCGTTTCCTCCAAATCGCCGTTCATGCATTTAAAAAAACGCTTTAGCAGTGTAGGGTCTAAAAGTAAAAATATAAATGATTATAAATTCTGTAGAATTTTTTATTATTGTGACACTTAAGAGGCTTATGATCTATAAGAAGCTTAAGAAATAAAATGAGGTAATTCAAAACTTCCATCTTTGGTTTTAATTTAAGCAACACTCAAATGTATAATATTTGAGAACATTCTAATTGATAACAGTGGGAATGAAATTGAATCTCTTCTCTTCGTTTGTTGTGCTCAACTAACCATACTCTTAACCACACAACAATGTAATCTAATCTCTACAGAAAACAGGGAACAGAGAATGAATTTCAGAGAGGCACACTCTGTCAGGTGGCAATTGTTTTGAGAACTGACCACAGATAATTGACAATGAAAATATTAGGCGTGTTTTTTTAAAAAACCTTTTTTGATTATTGGAAATGTTTTAGTATATAATTTAAATTTTTATTTAAAATTTAGTAGGGATGTTAGTTTGAAAATTTAAATCATCTATTTGGTTATTTATTAATTTTCTAAAAATTGAGATTTAATAAAACACCACTATTCTTAATATGCAGTTGATGCAGATTTACCTACACTTAACAAAACACAAATAAATATTAGACTTGTTATTTGATGTCTTGTTTGCCTTTCGAAAATGTACATATGTTTGATTGCAATTTATGAATTCGAAAACCGCAGCACAGATTTTCCTGAAAATTTCCAAGTATACTATAACATTGCCTGAAAGTAACATAAGCTATTTAAATTTTTGAAATTCCACCTGGAAATGGAATATATCATCAGAATTAGAGGTACCTCCCAGAAATTTAGATTTGATATGCACATATCTACTGATCGATTACAGATAGAGTCTCCAAATTTAGAATGCGTAACGGAATTTGGAACAAAAATAAATTTGCCAAATTATATTGAAATCGGTTCAGATTTGGATATAGCTCCCGTATATATTTTCGACCGATTTCATGTATGTGATGCACTAAAAACACTGTACAGAAAAACACTGGTGAGATGAAAAAATTGCAGCCAACTTTAGACTGCTGTCATTTCTAAGCCACTCATTCGACAGCTGTTAAAATTATTCCAGTAACAGTTTATAATATTGTTTACAAGAGTACAAAATCCTTTTTGGTGAGAAATTTCCAGAGACAAAGCTTTTCGTGGTGGAATTCAGGGGCGATAGTGCGATTTCTTTATATTTATCTGGAAAACCACACGTGGCTTTCGTTAGAGCACTCCAGCATTTAAATGTGAATAAAACTTTTGTGTCTTGTACCATCGCTCATTACTGTGATATTGGTAGCCTAGCCCGACGTCAAGGAAGTGGACGGAAGAAAACGGCAACTTCAGCAGAAATGGTTCGAAAAGTAAAGAAGCGACTTGATTGAAACCCGCATCGCAGTGGCCGAGAGCTGAACATATCGCAATATTCCATTCGGCAAATATTACAAAATAAGCTCGGGGTAAAGCCATTGAAATTCCAAAAAGTGCAAGAACTTACACCGCAACAAAAAGAAAATAGACTCAAATAAATAGAGCTAAAGAGTTGCTTCGCTTGGCCGAAAGTGGTGAACTGCTGAATTTGGTTTTCTCCGATGAGAAAACATTCGTTGTCCAGCAGATTGTAAACAAGTAAAATGATCGTGTTAACTTGCCAAAGAGGTCAGATGAAAATGTTGATGGTGTTGATGTTGGCCGCCATAGCAGCCGATGGTCGCTCTCCGCTCGTATTAATCGACCGTGGCATCAGAATAAATGCCGAATATCGCGGAAATATTCTGGAGGGTGTATTAACGCCTTGGGCACGCAAACATTTTGACCGCAATCCTTGGTCATTCCAACAGGACTCAGCACCATCGCACTTAGCCACCACCACCCAAGGATGGTTACAAAATGGGCCAAATACCGCAGAGCAACGGGCAGCGTGTGACGGTTTCATTGACCATTTGAAGGTCATAATTCGTGCCAAAGGTGACCAATTCGAATAAATTTTTTTTTTATCTCAACCTGTATCTTCAGCCGATTTCGGGTTAATTGTGCGTACATCAAATTTGATTAAAATCGGTAAAGATATAGCTCTCATATATATGTTACATCCGTGACATATATATCTTCAACCTAATCCGAAAGTCCTGAATTTTTATACATCCGAGCGAAAATTTTGTCGGGATCGGTTATAGCTCCCGTATATATCCATAATCCGATTTCTGGTTTATTGTGCAAATAATGGCTAATATCAGCTTAAATGGAGTGAATTTCGGGACCTACGTTTCAATTTTGTGGAATTCGGCTCCGATATATATTTATACCCTACAACACTATGTGTTGGGGTATTATAAGTTTGATTGGGCCAAAAATTATGTAACACCACGAAATATTGGTTTCCCACATAGCATATATGGATCTTCCTATCTCGCCGAGCTGAGTTGATCTAGCAATGTATGTCCGTCCATCCGTCTGTCCATGTTAATTTGTAATCGCTCTACAGGTCGCAATTATACCCCGATCTTCACGAAATTTAGAATGGAGGTGGGGCTAGAGTCAGAATGGAGCCCTATTTCTTTTGGAGATGATCGCATAATATTTAGGGGTTGAAATGGACCAACAACTGAAAAAATGTCTGATTTTGCAGTTGCTCTACAGGTCGCAATTATAGACCAATGGGGCTAGATCTTAGGGCTGGGCAGAAGCCTTCCAATTTTGATGGTCATCGGGGTAATATTTAGTAGGTGAAATAGGCCACAACATTTGTATTAAACAAAAATCAAATTTTCCATTAAACCGCGAACATTTTTAATCCCAGTGAAATCGCAAATAGACGAGCAGGTCAATTTTGACCTTTACGTAGATCCCGATAGTAAATATATCGGTTATATATAGCGAAATATATACAATGTATATATACAAGGGGATGTTAGTTAGAATGTTTATATCTCAAGTATGGGTGGTCCGATTTTGACAAATTTTGTCAATTCAGAATGCCCCCTTGACATAAAGGAATAAAATCTAAAAAAAATCGCATAAAAAGGTATCAATAATGACGTTAATATAGATTTTGAAGTATTTTTTGACATTGTTTTATTTTTTCATATTTTTTATCGCATGCGATTTTTTCAATTTGACTTTTAATATTTTGTAATATTTTTTCACATTACAACACAGGTTAGGGATATTATATAAGTATTGCAAATATCGTCCGATCCTCACGAAAATTTTCACAAGGGTAAGGTTGGGCTCAGAAGGGCTAGGCCTATTGTTTTCAAAGATGTCCGCAATATAGTAGGGGTTGAAATGGACCAACAACTAAAAATGTTCCTGATTTTGCAGCCGTTATAAAGGTCAAAAATAGAAATCAAGGACACGAAATCTCGCATAAAGTTAGAGTTTAGGACTGCGGGTACAATAGACTACTAATTTTGTGTGAAAAAATACCAGCATTACCTACAGACTATATCCGAAATACACAAAAGGCGAACTTCTGGCTTTTTTATGCTGATTTCGTTGACGAATATAGCCAAATATCGTAGACAAGAAAATCATATAGATGAGTCTAAATTTGGAAGTATGGAGGGGCTTCTTGCTTTTGGAGATGATTGCAAAATAGTTAGGCGTTAATATTAACCAAAAACAGAAATGTTTTTCCGATCACACAATCTCTTCACGCCTGTGAAGAGAGTTAATGACAGGGAAGAATTCTAGCATTTTGGATGACCATTGGATTATATTTAGCTGTAAAATGGACTACAACAACTAACAGCCCGACGGAGTGCATAAATATTGGGCAAATGTCCCTAGTCAAAATCCTAATTTCAAAAGCGAAATCATCCAATATGGGTTTGGATATATGGGAGCTTCTAACATATTGTAGTGTTGTAGGGTATAACATAGTCGGTCCCGCACGACTACAGCCGTTGCTTACTTGTTTTTTAATATAAACCTTCTCGAATTGATATCATGCACTGTTATTTGGTATAAAAGGTTAAAATGTCTCCGTCAAATTTAGTGAAAATCGATTCAGAATTGGATAACTGTTCGAAAGCCAAATGTTGATAGGTGGTATGATCTACTTCAAATAAATTCTTTTGTTACGGGAGCTCTACTAAATATAATAGTGGTGTAGGGTATCATACAGTCGGCCCCACCCGATTTTTTACCTTACTGGTTGTTCTTGTTTTGTTGTTGCAAAACGTCGTTTTACTATAAAAATTTCGGCAGAATTTAAATTTGTTTAAATTTATTTGTTTCAATTTTTTATTTAATTCAATTATTTGACATAAGATTCGCTATTGTTTTCCACCTCTTCATGATAAAATTTCACTGACTATATTTTAAATTTATTTGGCCACTGTTCCAAATCTACGGTTACTGATAACGTTTATATTGTTGGCACAAGAACAAAAGCTAATTATCTTTATCATTTATTTTTATTTTTTTTCATAATTACACATCCAGAGGTCAATTAAATAATTCAATTTGAGTTGAAATGTTTTTGTGCTATTTTTATGCATCATCGACATTATGGCGAACTGAAGTCCATACGAAATGTAAACATAAACGAGCTAGACGAGTCATATAAATTCTTATCGCTATCGAAGGCATCATCAGAAGACCTACCGATTTCTTCCGGCAGATTGGGATTTTCACGAAACCATGTTTTGAGAAGTTTTAATTTTTCTTTTACACTGATTTCGGCACTCATTGTTTTGATGTAGCAATTTAGATTTTCTCCGTTTTTTTTTTTGCACGAGTATATGGTTAATAATTACTACTGTTCTGTTGTTATCCGTTCAATGACTGATTACAAACTAAACTCGTTGGCGGGTGGGTTGACGCTTCGGTTTGAATATCAGAAAATTGTGTTCTGTGTTTTTATTTTTTTATTGGGGAAACACAATGTGCCGGCAGACGGCAGGGTCGAGACATCAGTTGTGGAAGTCAAACGAGATTGTGAAATTCTAGCATGACCTAGCGTACGGATTAGGGGGGGGGGGGGTTAGGGGCGGGAATAATATTTATTCAAAATTATATTTACTGTTTAGATTTTTGTGTTGAATTAAAGAATGTTTGTTGTTGTTGTTTAATGCGCTTCATTTAGACTGGTAATTGTAATTATATTTGTGCATACACCGTAAGCTGGTTATCGTTTCGAATTAACATTTTACATAAAGTTTTTTTTAATGTCGCCGCGATGGAAGTGATGATATATATATATATATATATATATATATATATATATATATATATATATATATATATATATATATATATATATATATATATATATATATATATATATAAGTGTGTGTGTCCTACATATAAGATCCAAATGTATGGTATTATCCGCTACCAAGGTTGGAGGGATGAGAATATATAACCCTAAAGTTAGGAACCTTCTTAAGCATTAACATTTGACATAAAAATGTTATGTTATGTTGAAAATTGAAAATTCTGGGAAATGTAACCAAAATAATAAATTTGACCAAAGTGGTCATAGCCGTTTAGTTGAAAAATGTGTTGTTGAAAGCTTTCAAAATACCCAAAATAATTTCAGAAGTGCTGAAAATTTAACAAAAATTTACATTTTGGGCCAATGAGTTTTTAGGTAAGCGCTGCTTTCTTGCAGTTAATTTGAAACTTTTTGGCTCTCAAATTAAAATTATAGCCGCCATTAAACTTAAACAAAATTCGAATATAAAATTTGAAGTTTTGCTGTAAAGTTCGCAGTTGTTGGTAAAGCTGACTTTGCGATTCCGACAGCTATATACCCTTGGCCTATGGTAATTATATTTCCATCTTCCCATTTTTTTAATTTTGATATTAAAAATGTGAAGCTTGGAAATTGATAGGATCAATATTTCGACCCTTTACATGAAGTTGTGGTAGTTCGATATTCGGCTAGGGACTTGAGATGTTCTACTCTGGGTATGTCCCGCTCAGCTAACGCGAACTCAAATTTACTACATTCAATATTTTTTGAAAGTAGTTCCCACAGCAAACGGTCATACTCCCCATTGGGATTATGTCCGCTGTGGAAGCGGAAGCGTCTTCATAAGGACCCACAAAATCTTATGAAGTGCAAAGACTAGAATTCTCCCTTTACTGGTTTTGGAATAAGTTTTTTGTATTGATTTAAAAACTATATCACAATCAATTCGTGTTTAAATTCGGTTTAAATATGTATATATGTTGGTATGTATATATGTCAGTGATGCTCGGGAATCATCATCCTTCTAAAATGGTGATTTGTTGGAGATTTTTGAACAAACCCACACAAAGTATTAAAATAATAATAATAATAATAATAATAATAATAATAATAATAATAATAATAATAATAATAATAATAATAATAATAATAATAATAATAATAATAATAATATAATAATAATAATAATAATAATAATAATAATAATAATACTAATAATAATAATAATAATACTAATAATAATAATAATAATATAATAATAATAATAATAATAATAATAATAATAATAATAATAATAATAATAATAATAATACTAATAATAATAATAATAATAATAATAATAATAATAATAATAATAATAATAATAATAATAATAATAATAATAATAATAATAATAATAATAATAATAATAATAATAATAATAATAATAATAATAATAATAATAATAATAATATAATAATAATAATAATAATAATAATAATAATAATAATAATAATAATAATAATAATAATAATAATAATAATAATAATAATAATAATAATAATAATAATAATAATAATAATAATAATAATAATAATAATAATAATAATAATAATAATAATAATAATAATAATAATAATAATAATAATAATAATAATAATAATAATAATAATATAATAATAATAATAATAATAATAATAATAATAATAATAATAATAATAATAATAATAATAATAATAATAATAATAATAAAACAATAATAATAATAATAATAATAATAATAATAACAATAATAATAATAATAATAATAATAATAATAATAATAATAATAATAATAATAATAATAATAATAATAATAATAATAATAATAATAATAATAATAATAATAATAATAATAATAATAATAATAATACTAAGTTCTTAACATATATGAATTCCTGGCGTTTAGGTACGATTTAGACCCTTGATGTCTTCTAGGACCCATAGCAAAATGTTATCACAAATTATTTTCAAGGATATTTTGATTTGCTACGATCCCCTTTAAAGGGACTTTTAAATCATAAAAGACAGAAAGACCCGTTTGTGACTCGCTATACGTGTCTCCCTTTTCTTAGCTCTACTTTAATAATCAGATGGATTCCCATGTAATTATTATAAATGATGGCTTTTCTGACGAAGATTTAAAAGTTTTACAAACAAGGTTTTACTAAGGTGTGAAGAATAAAAATGGCCACCTTTTAGTTTCTACTCCACAACGGTCAATTAAATATGGGTCTTGGTTATATGCCTTACCCTGAAAAAGTGAGTTATAGCTCACGTGCGAAACATTGTATGTGCAGGTCCAAGTTTTTTGGTATAGCCCCCGTACAAGGGTACATCCGATATTCGGTATTTTGATGATTTTTGTCATATTTATTTCATGGATTTGTCTAAAAATTGGAATTTTTTGGCCATGATGGGTTCTAGATCCGGTGGCGAAATATTGTATTATAGGCCCACGTTTTGGTATAGGCCCGGTATTTCCCGATATTCGGTGTTTTGATAATTTTGGTCACATTGCTGGAACTTACTGAATGTTGTCTTTATAATTCGTTCTTATAATTTTCGTAGAAAAAGAAAAATGTCTTTCTAAAACTCTAAAATAAAACATGTTATAAAGCTGCTTTAGTTAGCAGCTTTAAACTACACCATTTGAAAGGAACTAAAAAGAAAAATTTCAACAAATTTCGAAAAATAACGTTTAAACTGCATACTGAATCTTTTGTCGTAAGCTGTACTACCCGTTATGAATATGAATACGAAATTTGGAACAATTCCGGTTATTAATGTCGCTAAAATCATCAAAATGCTGAATAAAGGGAGGTACCGTTTATGGGGGATATATGAAGATGTGGACATGTATACGAAATTTTTGGGCATAGGCTACAGCACCCATTACAAACTTCGTTAACCAAATTTGAAACAATTCGGGTAAATAATGTGGTTAAAATCATCCAACTACCGAATATCGGAAGGTACGTTTATTTATATGTCGGAAATAGCATTAAATTTTAAAATAAGTTTAGATTTGTTCCAATTGGTCACCATTGGCACGAATTATGGCCTTCAAATGGCTAATGAAACCGTCAAACGCTGTCCAAATGTTGCTCTACGGTAATTTGGCCCATTCCCGACGAAGCGCTTGCTAGAGGTGATCGACACTTTGGTATATTTTAGTGCCAACCTTGCTTTCCCAAATACTCCAGACACAATATTGATTGGTATCCGGAGATTTTGGTTGCCATTATACGCAGGAAATGAAGCGAGGAACCTTATTTTGTAACCATTCTTGGGTGGGGCGTTCTGAGTGCGATCGTGCTGAGTCCTGTTGGAATGTCCAAGGTCTGCGGCCAAAATATTTGTGTGCCCAAGGCTTTAATACACCGTCCAGAATATTTTCGCGATAATATTCGGCACTTATACGAGTAGAGAGCGACCATCGCCTGTTATGGCGGCCCACACCATCACCATGACCGGCACCTTCTGGTGGCCAACCGAAGGTGCACATTTTCAGCTGACCTCTTTGGCAAGTAAAACACGATCATTTTGTTTGTTTACAAACTTCTGGACAACGAAAGTTTTCTCATCGGAGAAAAACAAATTCGGCTGTTCACCACTTTCGGCCAAGCGAATAAACTCTTTACCTCTTTTGAGTCCATTTTCTTTCTGTTGCGATGTAAGTTCTTGCACTTTTTTATATTTTCAATGGCTTTACCCCGAGTTAATTTTTCAATATTTGCAGAATGGAATATTGCGATATTTCAGCTCATGAGCCATTTTCGGCAACTGCGACACGGTTTTCGATCAAGTCGTTTCTTGACCTTGAACGAACCATTTCTGCTGATGTTGCTGTTTTCTCCACTTCCTTGATGTCGGGCTACGCTACCAGTATCAGGGTAAAGAGCGATGGTATGAGACACAAAATATTCTTTTCATATTTAAATGCTGGGAGTGCTCTAACGATAGCCACTTGTGGTTTTCCAGCCAAATGATAGATATCACACTATCACGCTTGAATTACATCACGAATACCTTTGCTACTGGAAAATTCTCACCAAAATGCTTTTTTACGCTTGTAAACAATATAATGAGCTGTAACTGGAATAATTTTAACAGCTGTCGGCTTAGGAATGACAGCAGTCTGAATTTGGTTGGAGTTTTTTTATCCCACCCACCCTTCATGAATATTTCGAGGAGCTACAAACGAAATGACAAAGCTGAAATACCCTCCAAAGAATGGTGGAGGGTATAAAAAAAGCCATACCTAATTATAATTTCTATCAAAATCAGCTGATTGAAATGTTAGTGAATGTCTAGATTCTTCTGCCTCATGCAAATATTTAACCCTTTGTGGAGACCAAATTCTCTTGGATCTTTTGGACATGATGTCTTCTCTCAAATTGCACATTTGTATCCTTTAAGTTATTGTCTTTGTTGTCAGTGTAACAAATAGATAAAATGCTATCTACATAAATACTTTGAGTAATCACAGTAAATGACTAGGAAGATATGTGGATACGTCAGAATTTGAGAGTAATTGATTGTCTCGGTATCTTCGTTCTACTTGCTTTTCTTATCACATTCGCATACCTGC